CAGAACAACGATCAGAGCCAGGATCAGAACAACGATCAGAGCCAGAACGAGCAGAACCAGGAGAACATTCAAAGTGAGGACAACGAGGACAACGAGGACAACGAGGACAATGAGGACAATAGTCAAAATGGCCAAAACGGTCAAGACGACCAGAATGGTGGAAATGACAATGGCAACGGAGACGACTGGAAGACCATGAAATGCACCCCGAACCCGGGAGATCCGGAGGGCCTGTGGCAAGAAACCAATGCCGACGCCGCGTGGAACACGACAGTCCAGTCCTGGAAACAACAATCCGACAAGAGTGGTGGATTTCCCCAGTTCGTCAGCAACTTCCTCCAGGGACCTAACGGGATGCGCTGCAGCGACATTGGCAGCGACAACGGCTGCTCGCATCCTGTGGACTGCGAGAGTGTTAATATCGCCGCTGGGTATGCTAACTCCCCGTTCACTGGACCTGTTCACTCGACGTGGGGCTGACATGCTTTTGCAGTGTTTCGATTTTGACTGGATTTGCTGGTATTCACCAGGTAGGTTGTCCAACCCGAGGGGCAGCGTTATTGGTATATGCTGACACACCCTAGCTCCATGCCGAGGCGCATCAAGCAATCGAATCCGTGCAGAACAATGTTAACGGCATGGTGGGCAAGTTCAATGAAGTATTTGCTCCCCAAAGGCCCGATGAATCGATTGCGTTGAAGAATGCGTGGGACAGCATGATGCTGGTTGTGAGCTTTGGCACGTCCGTCGTGTTTAACACCTGTATGTTTCATGGCTATCCGCATTTCTGGGGCAAAGTGCAACGTCGCTGACTTAATGATGATTCTATTAGTGCTTCAGGATGTTGCTGCCGCCGCCAAGGCACTCCAGGACTCTAAGGGGAAGAACAGGGGCACTCAGACCGACCAGCAAAGCCAGGGCAATGGCAAGCAACCTGCAAACAACCAGCAGGGCCAGGAAAGTAGCAGCGGCCAGATTGACGGGCCGGGACAGGGGAGTAGCAGCGGCACCCAGAACAACCAGCAGGGCCAGGGAAATAACCAGGGCACCCAGACCGACGAGCAAAGCCAAGGGAATAGCAAGGGCACCCAGACCGACGTGAGCGGCGAGAAGCCTAGCACCAAAAGTTTGAGCATCATAGCGGACATGACCGCCGCTGTGCAGGCTACAATGGGGGCGTTATATAAAACCAATATGCAAGGGTAAGTATCCCACGGAGAGGATCAGGCAAGGTGGATGCTAATTGACATACAGCCCGGGTGATAAACTCCAGGCCCTGAGCTCAGTGTCTGCGTTCGTGTCCACGACGATGGATGGCTGGAAGAATATTGAGTCCAAGTACTTGGAGTTGATCTTTTCCGGTGACGATGAACAAGTGAATGCTCTTTACCGCATGATCCATGGAGGCGCCATGAACGCTGCCGTGAACGGACTGCACATGGACAAAATCAAGAAAGACGTCGAGAAGATCCTTTACAGCCAGATGATCCCCTTTGCGTGGAGTGTGTCGCCCACCGCGGCGCGTCCCTTCATCTGGTTAGTTTTCTTTTTTTCCCCTTTGGTCTTGCTCCAGCGAGCAACATTTGGTCGGATACCCTTTTAAAAATGACTATGGCTAATACCCACTGCAGGAGAAGTCAGTCCGATTGTGACGAAAACACCAAGGACATTCAATTCGACACGGACAAACAAAGCTACCAGTTCTTCACGAACGACGTCGCCACGAAGACATACGTTTGCTATAAGGGTAAAGCGACCTACCTGCTCAACGCCCTCGACCCGGAGGACAAGGATGGCTACAACCCCCAGCTTCTCCCCGGCGGAGACCTTTTCAACCTGGACGGCACCAAATGGGGCGGAGTCACTTTGGCGGACATCGTGGAAAGCAGCGTGGAGGGATGGGCTACCAACAACAAGAAGAACGGATGGGCGCGGCCCAACGTGCAGGACATCGTCACGGAATTCGGCGAAACCCAGTACAGCATCCGCACTCCCGGCTTCTTCAACATCCCCGTCTGTGAGAGCGAAAAGGACATCACGTTCAATCTGAACGACAAAAGGGTAGACAAGTCGGCCCCGTTCTGGCCGTGCAACCCGCCTGAGAATTACCGCTCGGAGGGCACCGACATCGTGAGTACCTCCTGATTTCTATGAAGGACCGTCACTCACACATCGCTACACAGAAAATCGACAAGGGATGTATTATTGTCAACAGCTCCAAGATCTGCCACAGCACTGGCGGGTACAGTAAGTAGTTCGGGTCCAATCACTGGCGAACTGACTCTGACCAGAGATAGATGTCAAAAATACCGATCAAGCCAATAGCACCGCCATCATCTACGCGGGATTCGACGGTGATAACCACGTCAATGCCCGGGTAAAGCCTCCGTGCAAGATCGAGGCTAAATGGCCGGCGGAGTGGCCCCGTCTGAATTTCAACGAGAACAACTGTCTGGTCGACGAGACCGGTGGTGATTGGTTGAACGAGTGCTGCGAGGGGCGTCCCGCGAACGAAGACATGGTGGAAAATCCCTATATGGGTTGATCAGTGGGGTGGATTTAATGTGAAGGTGTCAGTCAAGCCTGTGAATGTAACTCAAGATTATGTCACGAATGCAAAACTTAATCTTTTTGAAATCAGTAGCATCACCAAACAAGTATGACATCGCGGTGACCTAATATCAAGCCCCCGGGAGGCTAACCGTAGCCCGACCACCATCCTCTTCTCAACACCACAATACACCCTCTCAGCCATCCAAAATGCCCGTCAAACGTGCCGTCATCGTCGCACTAGACCCCCTCCTTGTCCGCATCGAGACAAAGCTCGAATCCCTCGGTCAATGGCACCGCGCACAGTCTCTCCGCCACCATGCCGCGACCTGGCGCGGCAAGACACGCGAGCTCCACGCCTGGGTGCAGACCTTGATCGAGATTGACATTCGGCTGCGCGAGGTTGTCCAGCGGGAGACCTTCCTACGAGACCAGATGCGCATCCTAACCACGAAAGGCGAGATGCGGCCACCGGCCGCCGAGGAGCGGGCACAGGCAGTCGCATGGCAGGGGGAACTCGACGACCTGGACATCGAGTACTGGCGGCAGGAGCGGCAGATCTACGCGGCGGAGTCGCAGTGTCCGTGGGGACCGTTCCTGCGCGGGTTCTTTTCGTACCGGCGACAGCAGATGTGGTTCCTGACGGAGTGGTTGACGGCGGATTGTGCGGGGCGGGGCGGATGTTGCGCGTGGGGATGTGGGTGCTGTAAGCGGGAGCGGAGCAAGACGCGCGCGCGTCGGTTTGGACACTGCACGGCTATGTGTGGCTGCTGTCAGCGACAGAGGGGGTTTCAATTGACGGCACAGGATCGCAAGCTGATGCAGCCGCCGTTTAATTTAGTGGGGATGGGGGATGATACATATAGTCGAGGATTGTTGAAGGGGTATATCTGGGGGATTCCGGTTTGATCTGCCATGCGATCTTACGCTGACTAGAGATCAGCCACCAGGATATTCTTTGCGGTTCCGTGGTCATATGTGTCATTTTATGTCGACTCCTGTCAATCAAGGGATGGTGGGAGCTGGCGTGGGCGAGATTGTTCCATGTTGGTCAATTACATATCAGAATGAACTGGATCGATTTTTTTTGTAACCAGCCGCCATTGCTAACCAGACTATTGTTTGAAACATATAAATACTAACAGGACCAAATATGATATCACCCAGATGACTGATGTCCCGATCCACGGCCGATCGATCTCGGCATGGACCGACTTCCATGACGTCACATACCAGGTACCTATAAAGGACGGTTCTGGTCCATCCGCTGCATTCCTCGCTGCCAACTTTCCAAAAACCACACAACATGCCTTGGTCAACTTCACTCCCCCAGGGGATTCTCAGCTCACCCCTGCTGTCCATTGGGACACCCACCGCCAGCGGACTCTTGGTCGGGTACCTAGTCAACCGTACGTTTCCCTAGTAAATCATAGTGCAGCCCAGCTAATACACATCCAGGTGGAGGACGAACAAAAGGAATCTACCACTCGCTGAAGCAGCCCCCCTACCATCCCCCGGCATGGCTCTTTCCCCCCGTCTGGTCGCTCCTATACACCTCAATGGGGTACGCCGCGTATCACGCAAACGTGACCACCTTTGACGACTCGTGGCAGCCCTTGTACGGGGCTCAGCTGGCGCTCAATTATCTGTGGATGCCGCTGTTTTTTGGACTGCGCAAGCCGGCCTGGGCGCTGGCAGACTTGACGCTTTTGGGGGGGACCGTGACGTCGTTGATGAGTGGGTGGTGGGAGACTGATCGCACGGCGTTTTGGTTTATGGTGCCATATGCGGCATGGTTGGGGTACGCGGCATATTTGAACGTTGGGGTTGGAGTGTTGAATAAGTGGAGAATTCCGGGTGGACAGAAGAAGGGGGAGTGATCATCTGTCGAGGTAGCTGTGGAATGGTTGGTGATGTTGTTGCACTGAAGTCATTCGCCAGTTAAGCAACAATGTCACTAAGCTTTCATGCCAAGGGTCTGTGATATACAGGATCAGATTCATGAATGTCAGTTTCCTGGTAAACTTTAGTGGGTGCTTGTCACTTATGTTATCTTGGCAGGTGAATCAATCATACATCACCTCCTTGGGGGTTAGGTCAACAGCATGCAACCTTTCAAGCAAGGTTCCAAGTTGGTCTGATGATAAGCCGGCAGGCAGATCACTACTTGGCTAATGGACTCGCAGTTATATCAACGTCTGAACTGCTTGTTGCCTATGGTAATTATTGGTCTTCAATAGGCTCTGTTCTTGGCTCAATCTTTTGTATAGACCCGGCCTCATAGATTTGTTAGAAGTAACGCACAGGGTGGAAGTTTGATAAATATGATTGTACGATACGCCTTCACTGGAACATTGCATAATTAGCCCGACCATTCAAGTCTACTGACTGTATGGAGATCGGCAATGAGTAGCTGGCATCGCAGGGCATCAATCAATTTAAAGACGAGACTCGATGGCTTATAGAGTGAATAGCGATTGCCTTCTATCCGCACCATTATTACGGGGATTTGGACCGTAGGAGGCATGTAATGCGATATATTTCTTTCGGATAGTGTCAATTAAATTGACCCCATTTATGGACGTCCTGAGATTGACTATTACTTTACATTCGGGGGGGAAACGTTTGGAGTGTGCAAGCTAATTATAGCATTTCATTCGTGGTTCAGATTTAGCCTGTTTCCGGTAGTCACTCAGATGGGCTGAGGCTGCAGGGCAAGACATAAAATTTCCATTTGAGACTCGAGCAAGGAAAATCTGGGGAAGTATGTCCCAGCCATCTATAAAAGTAGCGACATCATAAGTCATCCGCAGTATAGGCCATGTCGTGACACCATGGCATAGCTAGAAACCCATGTGCCTGACAAACGTGCCTTAATCCGCCCATCCATCTCGAGACCATCCCCTTTCACCCCTCAAATCGGACGACATGCATGTCAGGAAACAGACTGGAATTTCCGGGGGCAGCAAACAACAGTCTATACTACACTGGGCAGCACCAACGCCGATCGCCGTCCCATTCCACCAACCTTACCCCATCCAGCTATCCATCCCTCAGCTGCAGAGCGTCCGGTCCTTGGCAACGGACGAGCCACCACTGGGCGAGCCTTTACCCCTGGACATGCCCCGAAAAAAAGAGGGAGAGTCAAAGCACAGTTAATGGAGGCTGTTACGAGTGGGGCCTGTTTAATATCGTTATGAACACTGGCTGGACGAAGACGTCGCAAATACGAGGTCATGCAGCTAGGCTGCGGACACGGGACACCTAGTGTGAATATATAATCGCGACGCAGAGCAGCTCGTGGGTGAGTTTTTTTTTGCGAGTCAGTGATCTTTCTCTTCTCCATATCTTCCAAATAAATCTCTATCTATAACCAGCTCCATACAATAACACACATCGATTAACACAATATGAAGCTCCTCACGCTCGCAGCCGCCGCAGCTCTCCCCACCGTTTCCCTCGCCTGGGAATTCACATGGCACAACGCCGACGGCGAGTCGCACACCGAGTCCGGAAAGGGCGCCAGCGAATGCATCAAGGTCAACCACGCCAAAGGCGAGGTCTTCCGCATGGACTCCAAGGGCGAGAAGTTCATCGACATGCGCCTGTACGACACGGATGACTGTGAGGGCGATCCCTCCGGCCAGGCGACCAAGTTCTTCACCAAGGAGTCGTCGATTGCCATCAAGGGTTTCCAGGTCGTGCAGTTGAATGAAGCGGGTGCTGCTGGTGATGATAAGGAGGATGAGGATGATAAAGACGATGAAGATGATTTCACCCTTCCAACTGTTTCGTCCACACCCACTCCTACTGCCACTTCAACTTCTGCGGACGGGGGCGCGAAGCCGACTGGTGCGTCCGGGTCAACGACCCCGTCGCCGACGCCGTCTGGGTCGTTCGCCGCGCCCGTTGTTGGTGGAAACATGGGGCGTGTTGCGGGTGCATTTGGTGCTGCTTGTGTGGTTGCAGGTTTGTTTGGATACTAGATGTGGTTTATTGGTTGCTGAGCTGTGTATATACTGGAATGTGATCTACAGGAGAATTGTTAGTCAGTGGAAATGTGATTTCAGGTACGATGGCACCTTCAGAAAGTGTAATACAATTGTATCTATCTTGTACGTGACACTTACTATTGTACTAGCAACCTGAATGGCGACTCTGGCTGGTCACCCTGGGCCCATCGTCGGGAACCCATTTTCCGCTGACGGGCTCGAATGGAGTGGTCTCGAAGGACGGCAGCAGGTACAGACACAGCTGTTCCTGCTCCTGCATGTGTTTGATATGCGCAGTGACGGCGGCGACGGCGTCCTGCAGCACATCGTGTCTACCCTCGTCCGTGTTGATCAAGTGGTTCGAGTAAATGACGAGTAGGAGGTGGTCCTTGGTGAGGGCCTCATTGTAGCGTCGCAGGATGACGTGTTGGCTGGTCGTGCGGATTTTGGCGCGGGCAGCGACGAGATAGTCCTTGATGGTGGGGATGCTGTCGGCCTCGAAGGGGCCGACGTAGATGTAGTAGTAGTTGGACATTTTGATAAATCACTTGTATGACTGAGTGGGATACTAGTTGATCATAGCCGGTGGTCAAGTGGGGGGTTGGGTCTATATATGTTGGCTGGGGTCATTATTGTGTTGTAGATGTGACCTTCTTTGAGCCAGAATAGATCCCATAATGGATCATGGACATATCCATTGTTCGAAAGGAAAACAAGGCAGGATAGCGCCATTGCATTGATATACTTGTCCCGGCATATGAAACATACGATGGTTAAACAAAGAGGAAGTTGAGATTGAAAGAACCTTCAAATCAATGGTATCATATGAATCATATATGACCGTCCGATCCTTTCCCCAGATATGCAGTATTATATTGCCAACGGCCTGGACTCCCGCCTAATTAAACACGGAGGTCCTTCCCCTCCGCCAGCATCTCTAATCGCATCTCATTCAAGAAGCTCTCCATGACAACCCGCAACTCGGCGTACGAGTCGCAAAACTCCCGACTCTGAATGCCATAGCTCTGCTCCTGCAACTCCCACTCGACAGCATCCAACCCGGCAACATGCGCGCGCAAAGGGGCCAGATTCCAGTCGAGCAGTTCGAGTAGCTCAATTGGCGTTTTACTAAGGCTCAACAGCAGCGGGACATTGACCGCCAGGCGGACGACGAGTTCACGCAGACAGCGGCGCGCGCGATTACCCAGGCAGCGGGCAAGGGAAGTAAGATGGTCTCGAAAGGCGAGGAGGGTCTCGACGACGGCGGTGTCGCGGACGACGTGCGGGGTGCGCTGCAGGGAGAGCCGCAGCTCGAGCCTGGTGACGAAGCGGAGAGTGTCTGGGAGGGGCGCGTAGGGGGAGAAGATGCGGCCGCAGAAGACGATGTATCTGGAGTCGAGGGAGACCTCGTACGGGACGGCGCCGTACCACTCGCGAACGAGCTCGTGGTACACGGTGTGGTTTGTGCGGAGGAGCGCGGCGGCACAAGGCTGGCCGTCGTGACGGAGGGAGGGGGGAGGGCTGGAGCGCGCAAATCCACTGCGGAGGATGAGGCCGTTGCGGACGGGTATACTGGGGATCAAATGCCGGTAGATGTTGAGACGGACCTCTGTGGGGAGATGAAGGAGAGGGATCATCTCGTCGCGAGTGTGTCAACGGATGAAACGTGTTTTGGGGAGGACAGGATGACGGTGTTGATGACATGACGTAGTGATCGGACTCCAATGCATGTTGATGCTAAAAATGGTATCGTCCAATCCGAATGATTCTCAGGGGTGTGGGGCGTATTGCACGGACAGACATAACCACATTAAGAGGATGATCGTGGCGCGTCTCATCGGGGAGTCAGATCCAGGATAGACCAGAGAATATTGGAGAACAGTCTGCATATGCAAGGAGAACAGCGGTCTAGGGTATCCTGGTCTATTCACTTGATGATATATATATGTAGGTATATATATTGATCAACCTCACCGCCATCCACAATTGTTCCTCTACAACACTCCATCACAATGCTGCCCGTCATCAAGCACACAACTGCAAGTACACCCCTACCTCAAGTCGAACCTACACTGACACTCCCCAGCGAATTACAATCCTTACCATCCTGGGTCTCTATCTAGCCTCCCGAGCGAGATCGCTCTCCCTGTTGTACAACAACCATCCAGAACGACTGGTGGAGATCAATCAACTACCCCACTATGCCATCAAATACGCCGACCGCATCCGCAACTGCGAGGATGCCGTGATGGTCCCTGAGGATGGACTGGCCATTCTCAGCTGCGACCCAGGTCGCGATCGTTGGAACACCGTCATGGGCACCTTCACCAAAGACAAGAGTCTCATCCCTCACGGCGATCTAACCATCTACCGTTACACAAACGCCGAAGACGAGGGCAAGGCACTCACCACCATCAAGCTGGTCGACTTCCCCGAGATCGACAAGTTCCACCCCCTAGGTGTCGAGTATCACCGTCCGAGCGGACAGCTCTTCGTCTGCAACCACCACTACGACGGGTCGCGCGTCGAGATCTTCAGCCTCGACTTGTCCGACCCCGGCCACCCGACCGCTCATTACCAGCGCACGCTAGTTGACGCGACCATCCGGGCGCCCAACGCCATCCTCGCGCTCAGCGCGCACGAACTCTACATCACCAACGACCACCACTACCTCCAACGGACGCACCCAAAGCTCGCCAAGACCGAGACGCTCAGCGGGGCTCCGGGTGGCGCCCTCGTCTACGCTAATACCCAAACGGGCGAGATGCGACGCGTCGCACGGATCCCGTTCGCGAACGGGGTTGCGCGAGTGAACGCGTCAACCGTCGCCGTGGCGTCGACGTCCACAGCAGCCGTCTACCTGTACGACGTTCAGCCGCACGACTATTCCGTCAGGTTTGTCCACAGCATCCCCGTGCCCTTCTTTCCAGATAACCTGGAGACCGATCAGGCGGGGGTGCTGCTGATCGCGGGACATCCGTCCATGCAGGGTCTCGAGGCGACCGTAAAGGCGCGGCTGCAGTGTACGGGGGTGCCGTCAGAAAAGGGGAAGTGTTACAAGGCGGGGGCACCAAGCTGGGTGGCGGAGTGGACGGAGGAGCGGGGGGTGCGTGATCTGTATGTCAGTCGGGGGGAGTTCGGGAGTAGTTCGACGGCCGGGCGGGATGCGGAGAGAGGAGTGGGTCTGGTGACGGGGTTGTATGAACGGGGGATATTGGTCTGGAGTGAGTCTGGGCTAGATGCCTAGGATGGTGATCCGAAGCTTATTTCTTGGATATATGCATTCGCGAGGCAATGAGGTTTATGAGGAGCTGAATTGGTACAATAGATCCCGATTTTAGCTACAATGGCTCCAGCTTATAGGAATAATCAATGGATAAATTTTGGACTCGGTCGTCCATAAAACAAGTCATAACTTACTACAGTATCAATGTACAAACAAGAAATCAAAATCATAACAGTTAGAAAAACTCCCCCCAGAATACCCATCCCGCCAACGCAAGCGACCCCCCACACATCACAAACGTCACAATCGCAGCCCCCGCCTTGTCTCCCGCCGTGATGGGCTTCAGCTTGTCCTTATCGTCGTCATCATGGTTCACCATGCCCGCATTCTTGTCACTCTTGCTATCTCCGCCAGTCTTCGACGTGACCGGGTCATCGTCCATGCGCAGAATCAAGTTCGCCGTGAACATGCTCAGCGCACTCATATCCTGCTCCATGCCACCATTCCCGTCGTACTTGTCCTCGTACCACCGCATGCCGCACTCGTTATGTTTGGAGCCCGTGCACGACTTGGCCGCCGCCCGCGCGGCGCCCTCCAGCTTCGGCGTGATGCGGTCCCGTGTGGTGGGCACCACCCGGGCGACGAACGCCAGCCAAGATCCCAGCAGGCCCTTGTACGTCTTCATATTGTTGTCGCAGTTGCCGGGTTTTTCACAGCCGACTTCGATCAGCGTCTCTCCCTTGGGATTGTACCCGAAGTATTTTTGCGGCCAGAACTGGTCCAGCGTCGCGTCCAGCAGGCCGTTCACACGCTTCAGCCATTTCTCGTCTTTGGTCTGTGCTCGTCTGTTAGTGTAGCTCCTCCAGTGATCCAAGGACAAGGGGAATTACATGATTGTACATATACGCCGACCCAATGAGATACGTCCCATAGGTATAAGTCCACTGCTCACGCCCAGCCGACTTGCACCCATCTTTGGTACTCGTCGAGTCGGCGACGTACCAGGTCTCGTCGTTGATAAGCGGCACCGACACCGACCAGTCCCAGATCTTGTTCGCCCATTCCACGTACTCATCGTCGGAGGTGTAGCGGGCTAACCGGGCCGCAATCTGGAACAACCCGCCGTTGGAGATACTGTTCTTGAGGTCGTATCCGGGTTTGACCGAGTGCATCTGCCAGCGCAATCCGCCACCGCAGGCGGCGGGGTCCCACGCGGGCTTTTGCGTGTTGAACACCGCTTGCGCCAGGGCCAGCCAGGACGCGCCCTTGGGATCTTCGGGGTACTTGAGCTCCGCGGCTGTGATGGCGGCGACGCCCCAGAACATTTGATCGTCGTTTCCCTAGACGTCGTCAGCGTGTGAAACCAATCTAGACCATGAGAGAGACACACTAGCCAGGCGAGTTCTGACTTGGGTCGGTAGTCCTGGTCCTCGCCGGATTGCTCCTGCATGCCCTCGGTGGTGTCTTTGTTGTAGGTGTCATCGCCAGTGACGTGGTAGTACTGGATCAGATGCAGGAACATGCCGGCGGCTTCCCACCAGGTGCCTTCGAGCTTGCCTGGGTTATCCGTTTCGTTGGCTTTATACGTGGACATCATGCTCCATGCCGCCGAGCTGGCGGCCTTCTTGAGGGATTCTTTCCGATGTTAGCATCGTGAACACCATAGGACAGGGACATCCGTGGAAGAAGACAAAGGTCAATGGGGGCAACTCCGAGCAATAAGTCATTGAAGGTGACGATAAGTCGAAGAAACATACCATCACTCTGGATCTCTAGTTCGAGCCCCGCGCTCAGGTGACTCCACCAGAGAGCCAACCATAGGGTTGGGAGCCATGTTAGGGACGACGGTTTCATGGGGAAAGCGACGTTTCACTGGTGCGAAACGCGGGTGTGAAAAATAAATAGAATAAAACAGGGAATACCCCCAGCGACTGACAGAGTTCCCCAGCCACAGACACTGAATTGGCGTGCACAGAGTGAGATACCAGCGCTTTCAATCCAACGATTGATTACCTAGGCGGTCAGAGACAGGAGGGTTCAAAGAAGGAAGATTGCAAGTGTTTTGCAAGCGTGACTTGTCGACGTAAAATGCGACCAGCCAGACGAGGCTGACAGGAACCACAGCCCCTCGACGGTGTCGATCGGTCTGAAACCAACATGGTTCATCGGTGGACAACTAGACCAGAAATGGGGTGACCAGAGCGTCGACCGCACCAGCTGACAAGGGTGTATGGATCAAAGGAATTGAAGGATGGTGGGGGAAGGATTTTATAATTAGCACCGCCAACTGTCATAGGGCAGGATTGAACGGGGAATGTGCTGGGATGTCTGTCTCTCTGGACGCTGATTGACCAGGTCGGGATAGTCGATCGCGTTAGGGCGCTGCACCGGAAATTGAGGGTCATGACCAATTTGGCCAGGATCGATGGTCACAAACCACACAGCCTGGAAAAGTGGGGATGGATCTCTAGCATGTGGAGAAGCCATTCCTTGGGGCCAAACGACGCGGACACCAGTAAGCCCTAAGCAATTGATATACGAAAAACTCCACTCCCGAGGCATGATGTCAAGAGCCTAGGATTAGGTCTAGGATGGAGTCTTGGCCAGCCTCTCCCTCCTTTTCTGGGTTATGATTTCGTTTGGGTTGGCTTGTCGCTATGATTGTCCCTGTTGATCATGCTGGAATTAGACCAATTATCACTATCGCCCATTCCGCCCCATTCATCCCGTCCGGTACAGTACGGAGTATGGACATGCTTTGCCAAGGCGTCGGATTCTGGTGGAACGCGCCACGTGTAAATATCGTGTCACTCCGCTGTTGCAGGGGCATCGTTGATTTTCCCTTATGTGATTTGGCGACACGGTGACAATATATCGACTAGGTGAATCCTGCCAAGGCGTGGTCTAGCTTGCAGGGCGTGGTTATGCTTCATTTGCTCCTTCATGGTTAGCATCAGAGAGGAACCTCGAGATCAAACCATTCATGATCAATGGCAGGTGGCTGTCTGAATAGTAAGTTTATCAAACGGATATCCTCATCATTGGCCTTGACAGACGATCATGACCATAGACCGAAAACCTGTCTGATCCGGCCAGAATAGAAACATGCCGATCACCCTCGGCCAGTTTACTGGCCGATATTCCAGAAATTACCACCAAAGTCTCAAACAAGGTTAAACAATCCTACCACCGTGATATAAAAAGAACTCTAGAGCGAAGAAGACATTAACTAAAAGAAATAACAAAAATCCACAATTTTGCCTCTGCATTTGCAACGATGACACCGGGAAAACCCAGGAGGATGTCCCTGGGGAAAAAACCCCATGTCCAGGCTAAACATAACCCTTCGCCAATCGAGTCCATTGTTCAACCGATATATACCAAGAAGCCTGAAATTATCAGTTCGGGACCCCTTATGCAGAGTACACGTTTACTTACAACCTTTAATTGCTCCTGCGGAATGGAACTAGTCACAATTTCACTGTGACCGTGGCGGAGAGAAATTAGCATGTCGCCTGGGTGGAGCGGGGCGGAAACTCTTGTACCCTGTCGGCAGGTGCAGTGCGTAGCAGCAGTCCGACGTGAACTGGGTGTGCCGTTACTGGAAAATATACGTCGAATCAGGGTTCGCAACTTACCAGCTCGTTATGGCTCGATGCCTGACTCGGTTAATTCACCCATGCATGATTATCATTTAGTAAAGCGAACGCACAGGCTGTAGACATGTGAGCTAGCTACCTCATACTAGAGTTGTCTATGCTTACTGCCGGGGTCTGGATACCAACGCAATTCAGGATATATTAGAGTCGTTCCTATTCGTATGACATTTGGGGTCACTCGCCCTCGTCTGCAAGCGGTCGGCACGCTACTGGAAGGAGATGCCAATGCACTTACTGGCTGTATCTAATTAGCTAGGTGTTTGTTCACGCAAGCTGATGCTTGCACAGCTTACACACTGCCAGTAGAAATGAAGAGTGATGGGATGTCTAGCGGGTCAATGTGGTTCGTACTCCGCGTGTCTACATTTGATTTGATATAACATATTATTGTGAAAAAAAAACTTGTGTTTGTTGTACTGATTTCATTATATTTTTGGGCGTGTACAATATCTTATATTTCTATCTATCTCATAAATTGGAAGGCGATGTGATGTGGCTATTCGACGGTTTACATATTTCCAGTGCCCGCATCGCAAGGAGTAGATGTAAACCAGCCCCCGACAATGTTGCCACAGGATACCTACGCATCGAAGAACCTCTAAAAAGAAGAAATCTCTATTCAGTGGACTAACTTCAAACAGCCGAAGATGTGGTCTGCAGTGCTTACAAGACATTCCCACGCTATTTTGTATCTTGTTCTCTTTTTGCAACTTGCAACTTTTTGAGCCCTTCTTCGTAGGATCAGCAATCATCAAATTTGATATTCGTTTGTTTCAGAATTTACCTCCATACATTGGAATTGCTTAGGTCATTTGCAAGAGAAGACAATTATACGGATACCTGATAATGGCCTTTCTTTGATTGCGCACCCAGTTATCAGAACACGGCTTGTCGTAAACCCCGCACACTGCTTTTCTTATAACGCCACTAATGCCGATCATGGCTCGCAACTAGTCGAATCTACTATACTATTTGACCCAAGAAACTGGCCAAGGTTAAGTGTGCCAATCATGTGTATCCTCTACATCGAATACGAGGTCGGTCATCTTCTGTCCCAGCCTTGTATACGAACCGTCACATGAGGAACAGCCTCACTATCATGTCCAAAAATAAAAGCCTCCTGTCACCTCAAATTACGCGGATTGAAATTTGACATCTTCTTCCGAAGAGAGGGATAGAGTTCTTGCAATTGACGAGCAAGATGCGCCTCAACGTATTCCCTGTCATTGCCGCCCTTCTCACCCTTCTCTGTAGTGTACAAGCACAGGATACTACCAATGGCAGTGCCTCTGACTATGAGCTCGTCCGCGCAAACGAGATGGAGTTGACGATGGGTAACGACTCCATTTCGCTCGACCCGTTCGACGATCCGCTGGAAAAACGCCAACAGTTTCGGTGTTTTGACCCAGGTTGGGGTATGTGCCCCCTTCTTCTTTACTAATAAGAAAAACGTGTCAAGCGCAGGTCGTTTTAATGATATATTGCAGTGGAATGTCCGAATGTCCCCCGTCGCTGCAAACCACCCGCGGCCAGTTGTTGCAGCACGGGCTATTATTTTTACCCGGGAAGGAGCCACTGTTGCCCTGCCGGAGGGACGTGTTCCAGCTCGCTGAAGTGCTGCCAGAAATCATGCTGCCCGCAGAGCGGCACCTGTGGAGGCGATGGGTATTGTTCGACGCGACGATGGAGCTTTTCAACGAAGACCCAGACGAGCACCAGTACCCGCACGAGCTCCTCGACAACCACCACGACGCGTGAGATCACGACGACCAAAACATCCACATCGACGTCGACGTCTAAATCCACATCGAAAACTACGTCCAGGTCGACGAGTACGGAACCCGAGTGCACTGTGGAGCCGACTGCCAACGTACGTCGCACCTGGTTGGGGGGTCTCACGGACATGTTTCAAGGTAGTGAGCATCAGCTCGAGAAGCGACAGCGTCCTTTTCCAAAATCTTGCACCACGGAGTGTCATACATCCGGTCAGCGGTTGCCTGTCGTTGAGTTCACACCCGTTCGTGGGGAGACGGATGAGTTGGTTAAGAGCATGTGCGCGGGTAAGCCCTGGTTCTCTCTCTCCTACTCGCTCGAGACATGGGAACACATGATACTCACAGAAGATAGGCATGAACGGTTGGTATAAAAGACAAAAGTCCGGCATCGATGGCCGACACGACATCTGGACGGACCTAGCAAAGGGAGAAGACGTCCTCACCTACGGTGGCCCAGCAAAGAAAAACCCCGACGCAGCAGACAGGCGAAAAGATGTCCAGTGCAAAAAGTTCTACAAGTCGGAATGCGAAGGTAGAAAACATGCCCCTTGGCCGTCACAATCACCACTGAACAGGAATCAGCACTAGGGAAGAAGCGAGGTGTTGCCATGGAGTGCGATGAATACCCACCCGGTACGTTCCCATGATATTGATTACCCTACATGAAGAATCGCCTAATAGAATCATCTACAGCGATGAGTCTCGAAGGCGGCGGTCTCGCGACTCGGATGTGTGTACCTGCAAAGCAGAATTCCCGGACACAAGGCCCTCAGTTTCGTCTATTCGTAAAAACCTGTGGCCTCAAGAGGGGTGACAAGTTCCTTGTCCGCTTGAAGGGTGGCTGCAACCGATTTAACTTTCCCGCTCGACGTGAAGACGCGACGCACACCATCGGCATTGCGGATGAGGATGCCACCTTCCGGGACCCCAACGACGACGGATCACTGACCTACGTTGCCGTTGGACTGGGAGATCTGGAAGTTGGACATTATGAGATTGACGCCGAGTTTAATGGGACGGTCCGGGAGGCCGTGATCTTGAATCAGTACGGAGACGAATATGCAAGGTAGGCTTTCCAGCTCTCATGGACTTGTGCCGGTCACTGATACATGTCTCAGCCTCGATTCGCCGAGTGAGTCGGCCAAGATGAGTTTCGACGTCACAGATGACTACTACCAACCGGCGGCGCTCGTCGCATATACCGAGCACCCAGTCAAGGTGTCGTATAACGGCACTGTGCAGGCCAGCAACAAGACTGGGGCCCCTGCGCCTTCAGAGACACCGTCATCGGCAATGGCGCTCGGGAGATCTATCGCATATACGCTGTCAACCACCTTGACGCTCGGAATACTACAGCAGTTGTTGTGATATATCTGGTCAGTAATGGATATGGCGCACTCCCTTGTACTTACTCTCTACATCTCTTTGATGTTTACGCGCTCAGCTTAATGACTCAATTATGGATTTACTCTCGCACATAGCTACGAAGTTCAACGCACAGTGAGATACACACATAATGTCTGAAGTGGAACTGTAGCCAGGTCGAAAAACCATGTAGCCCTCGTTGTGGAACGCCGAGTGATGCCGACCGTCAATATTAGCATACTATCAGCAATATTCCGGTTGCAATTGATCTCCACGCTTGAGATTGACCGTATATTAGAAGTGTTTGATATCTGTGAAATCAACGAACCAAAACAAGGCTCGACCGCTCGGGTCATCCTCCGAGCAACATCCAGCAATTGGATGTTCCCGCCTGATGACATCATGACCGAACCGGAATGCGATGACAACACGACCAGCTCGTAGAGTCGCAGGCACGTTGCAAATTTCTATTCAGTATCATGCGAGATGTCCTCGGTCGGCCAACCGAAAAAAGTCGCCATTATCGGGGCGGGGGCTGCTGGTATGGTAAGTAAACCCCGATCCGCTCAGCTTTCTCAGCAGCAGCTAAGAGTTAGTCCTGCGCGTCAACCCTCGCCCAACACCCCGACAAGTTCGATGTCACTCTGTTCGATATAGCCACATATACAGGTGGTCAGGCAACCTCCATTGACCTAGACAGTGGTCGGTATGGCGCAAACTGGATGAACGACGGCGTGCAAGGAGGGTCGGGGATCTTCCACCACACGTTCAACTTCTTCCGACGATATGGGTACGAGCCGCGCGCTGTTCAATTGCAGGTGGCATTTGGAAAAGGGCCGGAGAGCTTCTTCACAAATATCTTTCCTAGTCCATTGATCGACCAGTTCAGCCACGAGATCAAAAAGCTGGGACGCATGCTATCGTGGATCAAAAGACTGATGCCGGTGCTGGGAATACTGCCTCTCAAAACCACCATGCGGCTGTTTCGTTTCAGTCGGGATTTCTCGAACCGCATTGTGCTCCCTCTTATTGCTCTATTTCTAGGGACCGGAAACCAGACCCCAAACGTTCCCAGTGCCCTGCTCGAACGGCTCTTTGACGACCCCAACATGAAACTATGGGACTACGACCCCGACGCGCTGCTCCCCAATCAGCCAACCATGTACACATTCCCCAATCTAAGTAATTTTTACAGTGACTGGACCAAGGACCTCGCCTCTCGCGGCGTACACATCCGCCTCAACACGAGAGTCCAGCTTCTCAAACGCGACAAGTACGAGGTGATTCTGCGCCCGCTCCGAACAAGATCCTACTCCATCGCCAGCGGCGACGATATGTACTCGCCACCGGAGTCCTTCGACGACCTCGTCCTTTGCTGCCCAGCCGACGAAGCCAAACGCATTCTCGACGAGCACGCCTCTTGGCGCGAGCGGTACGTCCTTAACGGTGTTTCCTTTTACAACGACCTCACTGTCACCCACTCCGACGCGAGCTACTTCGCCAACAACTTCGAAACGCGCTTCCGGACTGAACTCTGCGGATACACGAGCACCGAGGCGCGCAAGGACCAAGCTGCCTTTGCACGACAGCAGCCCCCACTCAGTCGCAAAGATGGCTGGGAGGGGTTCGCCCCCATGTACTTCACGCATTCGCTGCCCAGCGCTCCAGACAGAATCGAGATGGGCTTCGACTGCAGTCACTACCAGCACCAGTTCCGCGAGGCGTTAGGCGAAGACACACCTGCGCCTGAACCAGACCGGCACGTCTATCAAAGTATCTTTTTGAATGACGAAGAAAGCCACCTCTGGACACTGGATGGCATCGACGAGAACAAGATCATCGCCCGGAAGTGGTGGCATCAGTTTGGTCATCGGTGGCAGCATTATCTGCGGGTTGTGCCGGGGATGATGTTCATCAATGGGAAGAATCGGACACTCTATGCGGGGAGCTGGACGATGGTGGTGCGTTCTATCCCCCCCCCCCCCCCCTGTCTTTCAATGAACGCCACACTGACTGGTCAGAATATGCACGAGATCGCAGTTATCTCGGGTATCGCAGCGGCGTATCGCCTGGGAGCTGAGTATCGTCCTTTTGACGAGTTCGCTGAAGACTGCTTCAAAAAGTATCTGCTTCTGTCTCATGGGACGCGGTACGAGAGACGGCGTTGATGTCAACCGGCCAAGCTTGGTTTCTCCTTACCGTGTCTACGATTCCAGTCCGGTTAGCTCGCAAACCATGAATGACGGTGTACGTGTATATATCGGCCTCGTATCCAAAGGGGTAGGCATGTAGTTTATAAGCCATAATTATTTGGCCTTCGCCTAAACAAAAAATTGAAACACGACTTGCTCGTGATTGAGAGACCGGTGTGGGGAAGACCTGTGCAGTTCATCTGTTGGTTGTACTTATACCAAGGACAGAGTATTTGTTCATGACATGGATGGACTAGTAATATGAGAGGCAGTGGGTGAAGGCATTGTGGATGGACACTCGAGGTTCTACCAATGTACTGACGTTGCGCTTGAGCAGTTTGGGGCTCCAGCTGCCCGAGCCCTACATCAGGCATACAGAGTCTGTATATAATATTTCAACACGTGTACTGCAATCCTAGCACGAGTCTACTAGTTTTTGTTTACGATAAGGGTAAGTACATGGATGTGGTTGGTTTCTTAATATTAAATCCTACATACGGTAAGAACAAAGTATTTGGGCATCCACAATGGCCACAACCACCACTACCCTCATATTCTACCATGGCTGCCATCCCCCGTGATGGGATCAGCTACATCATCAACACTCGCCGAGGGCCGCTGTATGCCGTCAGTTCACCATACACCAAAGCTTTCTTTTCTTAGAATACAATTCCACTCACCAGCCGTGCACTTATCATCAGTGTAATAGCCATTGACATAGCAATACTTGCCATTGCTCATCTTGACCGCATCCCAAGTGCTATACTCTATCAGCATCACTTCAAGAACCAAAAATCCCGCATTGAAATATCTCACCAGTTGTTCTCATAGCAATCCCCAGACTTGTAACATGTAAATTTGTACCGTTTAGCAGGGTAGACCACCGCCTGGATATCATGGCTGAAGCCAGGCCCACTCCGGCACTTGACATATTCCGATTCGGTGTTCACGATCTTGCAGGAACGATTTGCCCGCTTCCCCAGACCGAAAGCCTCGGAGACGTGGCGCGCGTCGTCCTCAATCGCCACCGGGATGTCGACCTGCTCGTCTGCCTCCGTAGCGGGAGCGGCCAGCACGGTGAGAGGGAGGAGAAGTCCGACAATGGTGGGGAGCTGGATTTTCATGATTGTGTTTGATTAACGTGTTGGGATGGGGTGTTTGACTCTAGTTTGGCTTTGGGGTTGCGGTGTTTCTGTTGTCTGGGTGTTGTAGTGATAGAAAGTACACAGATGGAAATCGACCCTCTTTTATACCTGGTACATACAGGAAGCATATATCGTTTCATGTGATATATCAGCCTATGTTGATGCTGTCGAAGCGCGAAAGCAGACGCCACAGCATATTACCCTATGGTCCTCCATCTCGCAGAATGGAGCCTTTTCGAGCGGTGGCTGTGGTAAAGCGTGCACTATGTGGGGTAGAGTCGCTCGTATAAACTCTACTAGAAGAATATATGGATAATTATAGCTGCGGTGTTTGCTTGTTTGCGTCTTCAGGGCGGACCATGGACCTTATTAGCCGGGTATCTCATGATTCCATGGGCCTATATCCGCTGTGGACACACGTTCCTATTCGGTCGACAACCTCGGCGGCAGATCAATGGAATGCCAGAGAAACAAATTACTTTGAAGACATGCTAATTCCTTCGGTTCAAAATTTCTGGATCCTATTCTTGCTAACAGGTGCCGCTTGGGCCTTGGCTGCCAGCATCGAGAACTGTTTATAGATATTATATACGAGACAGCCCCACAGGAAGACCCACGTGCCAAGTCAAAGAGATGGATTTCTAAGCGAGTAAACTGTTGCCAAAACATGGCAGAGTTAAATTAGGTTCTTAGAAATATGATGTAACCATCAGGATTCCCTTCGATATATGAAACTGGACGTAGCATTATCTTCTCCCTGTATTCTGTCAGGTAGACTACACCCAACGCCATTTTCATGCTACCGAAGCCACTCAGTCACAACATCAAATGGTAGCAAAGATCGCGGCTGCATAGTATATATGTCGTTGTGTGGAGGCCCTTTGCCGAGTGGTTTTGTATAAATACGAGTTGGGCATGGAGAATAGGTCGGTGCGTGTGGCCTCAACATTGCATTGTTCATTAGGTCTGTAGTTAGATTGATATGGTTTCAGACCGTAAAACTTAAAGGTTATTTCTTTCTGTCATACTCCCTGACTCGTCACGCGAGAAGGCTCTGACCGTCTAATTCGGCAGCTGCCCGCTGCAAGCTTGAGGAAATTATTCAAACATGTCTAGATAAGCCCGATCTATCGTGATCAGATTAACAGGGGTCAGGTCTACCTCGCATATCAACAGCCTAGGATTCTGTCGTGGCTCTTCATTGCGGCTGATATCTGCCATGGAAAAGGGGTTGTTTAAATTGGTTTGTGGTATGCCGGAATGCTATCGGGGTAATCAAGGAGATGAGATGACCTGTGTCTCCACACCTCGTAAATCTTGTTTTCCATCTAATTTTAGTAGCAAGATCTCTTATTTTAGCTCATGATCCTCATCAATCGACATACAACCACTGAGGTTTCCAGTGAATACTCTCGTCAGTCTAATCCTGTCAAGTAATCAACAATCAGTAGTGAGATAAGTGATTAAATTGGCTTTATAATTCATCATTAAACACCATTTTTTCTGAACAGGCTAGCAATCCTGAGAGAAAAGCAGGTCAAGTTCGCAGGCACAGCCCTTATTTCTCTGCAGAACTATGAGGCTCTACAAAACTATCTAAAAAGAGAAAAGAAGAGAAAATCCTCCTACCTGGTGGGTGCTAGGTCTTATCGGGTAATCGAGTGCAGTGAGTGATTCCAGGAAGGCCCTCCGCAGGAAGGTCAACTCATCTGTTAATAGTGACAGTATTCATATTATGCAAATAAGGCAAGGTAATTTATGTTTCATATGATGATGATAAATTTTAAAGATGCTAACGGCTGATGATGGCGATATATCTAATAATGACCAAACATGCACGTCTGTCGGGGTTTTTCTTTTTTTATAAAACCTCCAAGTCTGCACGCACCAGATGTATTGATACTCTATTGATTTCTATTAGTTTTCTACTATCATACTCTATGAATATCTGAAGAAGCTGACCAGAAGATAAGACCTCAGATAATCCACTAGCTCCGCTCATAAGTCCAGCATCCTGATTTATTATCTACCCGTAGCAAAGGCCAAAGAGAGAGAGGGAAAGTAAACACAATTCGAACCAAATAATGGCATGTGGGTCTCCCTTTCAGCCCTACCCCTGGGTCCCTGCTGGAATTCGGCAGCATTTACCACTAAGCTGCGGAGGTCTTTGACGTCACCCCGCCCGGTCCTCAACTCGATGACCTCGCTGACCCCGCAATGCATCTTGCGAATAAGATCCTTGGTAAACGGGTAATACCATACTAGTGTAACTCATCTCGTCGATTGACAATCATTCAGGGTCCTAAATCTCATCATTGGTCCTTTAATATTCACTGTTGGGGGCCTGGATGATGCACCCGGCAGGAACAACCCACCTAGTATCCACACACACCTACATCGACTCACCACACTTATCAGGATAATTCACCATACATACAATGACCCCGGGACATTCCTACTATGAGTTCCCCTCGCATGAGACCGACGCCCTCCTGGGCCGTCGAAACCAGGACCCTACCCGCCTGCATCACCTGGCAAAATACATGCGCACCGACATCGACCCGCGCGGAGCCGACATCCTCCTCCTACTATGCTACGTCCTCACCGGCCTCCTAGACAGCTCAGCCGTCTCTATCTGGGGCTCCTTCGCCAGCATGCAAACCGGCAACACCGTCTACCTCGGGCTTGGGCTAGCAGGAGTTGACGAAACCGGCCGGTGGCTGAGATCACTCGTCTCCATCGGCGGGTTCTGCCTCGGCTCCGTGTTCTTCTCGACGTTCCATCGCGTAACGCAGCCTCCAGCCCGTGCGCGGTGGGCCCTCGCCCTCTCGTTCGCCGTGCAGACAGCGTGTCTCATGTTGGCGGCGACGGTTGTCACTGTTTACCGGCCGATCGGGGAGTCAGCGCTCACGTGGAGGACCGCACTGCCGCTGGGTCTGGTTGCGTTTCAGAGCAGCGGGCAGGCGGTTGCGAGTCGCGTGTTGGAATTTCGGGGTCTGACCAGCGTGGTACTGACAAGTGTGTACTGCGACTTGTTTTCGGATCTGTTGGCGTTTCGGGATCCGGAGCAGCTGCGGAGACTGGGGGCTGTGGGGGGATTACTGGTGGGGACTTTTGTAGGGGGCGTGTGGGCGAGGAGCGAGGTTGGTGTGTCCGGGGCGTTGTGGACTACTGTCGTGGGGAAGGCCTTCATGGCGGCTTCTTGGTTGTGGTGGCCTGCTATGACAGCTGTTTAGCAATTGGTGTATATCAGTAAGGGAATATTAAATTTAATCGGTGACGTTGTAGTCTGCCTACTACTCAATAGATGGCGTGCACAGTCCGTATTCTGTCACCCATTACTCCAAGGAACGAGATAGGAGCAACACCTTGATACACAGGTCCTCTGGCCGTTGCCATAGCCATAGTTGACACTAGATATTGAGGGACAATGGCTCAGAGTCTAAGATCTCACCCTCCCACGTATATGTCTGGCTATACAATATCCCTGCTTCACGAGATCCCCCGGTCAAGCTATAATAAGCCTTTTCCTATATAGGCTCTACCCGTGCATATAATATAAAATATTCCGCGTATGTGTACTTGAAGAAGCATCAGATAAGATTTCCCAGCAATCATCTCACGACATTAACAGCCCATACCGGCGCAACGTTTCAGATAAATCGCACATCTACTTCCGCCACGGAAGCAAGGAAGGAATACCCGAATTGCCTAAATCCATGAAACCCATATAAGCCCTCATTTACCATCTCGGCTACAATGTCGAACACCAAAGAGCCCATCGCAACCATCAAAATGCGCTTCCACTACACCCCACTATCCCTGCTCCCACTCCTCTCCCTCGCAACCGCCCAACAACCCACCACCACCGACTCCCCAACACCAACAGGAACAGCCACCCTCGAACCATCCTGGTCGTGGATCCGCGCCGTCGAAACCCCCTACTACCACAGCTACCTGCAAAGTCAGCCAACGCAAGCCGCAGGGGCAGCCCACCTCGCGAAGAACACGAACGCAGGCCAATTCAACGTCATCGACGGCCAGCTGGTCTACAACACCGGCGCCGACAAGAAGCCGCTGTACATGAACGTGGAGCATCGTGCGGACGACGAGCAGCGCCAGCTGCAGACGTGGTTCAACGCGACGAAGAACGAGTACGGCGCGTTTGCGTTCCAGGGCGATGCGCTGACGTGGGAGGCGGATGACTTTGAGAGGCCGAATACGGCGGCTTGGTATGTGTGCCAGGAGGATAAGGTGTTTGTGAACACGGGGGCGTATCTGGATAAGACGCCGGAGGGATGTTCGGATCAGACGGTACGATCTTCCCTATTCTTTTCATTGTGCTTGGTTGTTGTTTGTTCTTGCTGCTTTGAGATTGTTGTCGCTATGTGGATACTGATACAGGCCCTAGATTCATTCGTATGGGGGTCCGGTAGCTGACGTTTGATGTTGGCTCTTTTGTCAGTGGAATGATGGAGGGCTGAGATGGTTCGAGTTGCAGGGCGGCTGAAGATCGATCATCGGGTCCTGCAGATCATCCTGGGGTAGGAAGTTCCACATCGACTGAGGCTAGGGTGATTCATTATGTGCAGTCTATATCATGGCTTATCTATTCTGTTTTCAGTCGATCCCGCTGTCGGAAAATCCCATATGCGTAACCGTTTGGATGAGGGTGTCCTGGTTGTATACCTCGTATGGCTGAATCAGGCGACGTACAAGCCTAGATAATGGATCACTTGAAGGGTAGCTTGGGAAAGGATGCTCCTGGATTTACTGAGTAACCGTGTCCATATCCAAGCGAGTTAGCAATTCCAATGGTTAGCGCTTCAAGAGCCTGCCAGTGACAGCGTCTAACGAAAGGTGGCATTTGCAGTCCAAAGCCACGGTCTCGTGACTTACACCATTGCCCTACGACGAAAGAGACGATCTAGCGCCAATATCAGACCAAAGAAAGCAACACCAACAAAAAGATGCTTCATATTATTACAAACTATTGCAACCGATAGCAAGGGTATTAGACATGTCGACAAAAAACGGACGCGGCAGGAACGCCATCGCGATCGAGATCCGACCGACGGGAAACGCTTTCGACAACTGTGAACCTCAGGACCATCTCCTCCGTCGCAGTGCCGTGTGTATGTATCGTGGAGTGCACGCCTATATCCCGGTTTCCATCGCAGGTGCATAGCTCGTCGTTTCCACGTTTCCACCATTTTCGAGTCGAGTTCAGGGGGAAGGAGGGGGAGGACATGACGGGCGTAGGAGAGGTCGGGTCGTCGATGGTTAGGACAGAAAAGGAAAAGAGAAAATTAAGCACCGCCGACAAGGACGTTGTTCACGGGGATGTGGACTGTCACTGTGTTAGCGAGATGTGTCGCGTACGAGTCGAGAACCAGGAGAGCTCACCCAGCTTGACGATGAAGCCGATTCCACCCATGACCAGGAAACCGACACCAACAGCTTGGCTGATCTTGATGAATTCCCGTCGGTCGGCTAGACATTGGTTGTCCGATTAGCATTGGGTGTGTGGGCGCAGGATATCAGCTGGACGACTCACGCTTCTGGCTGCGGTGGATGAACTGCATGCCGTCCCGGAAGAATTCCCGGGGGACATTGAGGAGCTCCTGCACTTGGTCGGCCATTGTAAAGATCGGGATGTGGGAGGGATTGGAGATGGTCGGAAGAGGAAGACGAGGAATGTATTGAACGGATGGCGAGATGGAATGAGGTTTAATTGAGCTTCGCGGTCAATCGAGATGTTGATCGGGGAAAGGACAGAGTCGCCCCAATGCCGCGGACTCGGGTTAACTTTGTGCCGGGAAAGAGGCCAACTCGCCCTCGAGCCACTGTGGCTGGTGGTCGAGTCGGGTGTGGCGGTGCGGTTTGTTCTCGGCCAGGCAGTGTCCATAAGCCAAAGACATCAGATTCAAGGGTTGTATCCACTATTGGCATTATACAGGTTTCATCCGTATGTAGTGTCTGTTGTGGCTCAGATGACTCCCTGCAATGCCAACAATACTAGAGCGACATAAATAACCTGTGGTCAAAATCATCGTCATCCTTTTTTCGGTATATATTTCCACCTGTTGTGTACCAAAATAGAAACAGATCAAGGTGCTGTAGTGTAGTGGTCATCATGAATCGTTGTGGTTTCAAACAACAATTCCGATTCGACCTGGGTTCGATTCCCAGCAGCGCCATTGGCGTTGACTTGATCAAATCTTTTTACTGATTACCTCAACCGTGATGACAAGGGAACCTCTTAAGAGCATGGTGCCGCTGGTTTTTGTTTAAAATCATGAACAACAAATACTCGTGGGATAGGGCTTGTTTGTTGAGCTTATACTAAATATGTGTTTCTACAAAGGACGCTTTCAAATATTGTTCTTCTCATGTTATCAGATGCGTCTGGCTGTGTCTACTATAAATTTTATACATACCACCGCTAAATGATTATACCCCAGTGAAGACCTAATCGGACACCCATTATTTCAGCATGATAAATTTCTTAGTAAACTGAATAAAGTAGATAAGCAGTACTCAGAGACAACTCGAGTCGCATCCGACTGCCTGACCAGGGATGATGTGCATCGTGCAGCTGATAATCTCTCCATAACCAATGAGCAACACAGTGTCTTATCAGGATCTACCTCGATAGGGCTCAAAACACCATCACATATAGACGACCCAGTTCCCTAGAAAATGAAAACACGGCTACGGAATCATACTGAACAATTGCAAAAAAAAACACCATGACTGTCCAATCCGCATGGGAGTCGTGCTCCCAAACCGACACACTCTTCATCCTCGTCTGCAGCGTTTTCTGCTGGCTGATCATCCCCGCCGTCGGCCTCGCGTACTCAGGCTACTCCACGCGCTTCAACAGCCTCGCCTCCTTCTACCCGGGTCTGCTCGCCGTCGCCGTCTGTTCCATCCAATGGTGGATGATCGGGTACTCGCTGGCCTACGGCGACGCCAACAGCGTCTTCGGGGGTTTCGGCAAAGCGTTCCACATAGGAGTCCTCGCGGACCCTGTGGGCTCCATTCCAGAGATCCTGTTCTCGCAATTCCAGCTGATCTTCTGCGCGACGGTGTGCGCGATCGCAATCGGGGGAGCCTGTGAGCGCGGGCGCCTCCTCCCGTTGATTCCTTTCATTTTTGTATGTCCTAGTAAACAGCCGAAAAATCAATGGTTTGAGAACAAACCTTACCCGTAACTTGACCCATGCCACAACGACCAGAAAATTAACCCATAAGATAAACAGGCCTGGTGCACATTCATCTACGCCCCGTTGGCGCACATGGTTTGGTCAGACACGGGCTTCCTGGCGTCTCTCGGCGCGCTTGACTTCGCCGGCGGCACGCCCGTACACATCTGCAGCGGCGCCACAGCGACAGCCATGAGCGTCTACCTCTCGTACCCGCTATTCCGGTCGCGACGGTCAAACAAGCGGACCCCGCAACATTTAGTGTTACACAAGCCGCACAACGCGCTGTGCCAGCTGCTGGCGCTGATCATAATCTGGAACGCGTGGGTGGCGTTCGACGCGGGGACGACACTCGCGCTGAACTTCAAGAGCGTGATGGCCGCCTGCGTGACGAACCTGTGCGCCTCGTCTGGGGCGCTCACCTGGGCGAGCCTCACCTACCTTGAGACGGGGAAGTGGAGTCTGGATAGTACCTTTCTCGGGGCGATTGCGGGGCTGGTGCTTATCACGCCTAGCGCGGGGTTCATAGACATGACTACTGCGGTCGCGTTTGGGGTCCTTGGTGCGGTGTGTGGGCGCCAGGCGCTGCGGATCAAATTCACCAAGACGGCTGCGCGGTGGAGGTGGGTTGATAACGGGGATACCTTTGCGACTCACTGTCTGGGAGGGTTTCTCGGGACGATTGTCACGGGGCTGTTTGCGCAGCGGGAGGTCGCAGCGTACGATGGGCTGACGGTTATCGCGGGTGGGTGTCTGATTGATGGGAATTGGCGGCAGCTGGGGGTGCAGATCGTGGAGGCGTTGATTGGGTTCGTGTGGAGTTTTGTTGGGAGTTATTCCCTTTATGCGCTGATTGATTGTGTGCCTGGATTGGAGGTGTTGGCTACTGATGAGTATGTTGAACCTTTTTCTCCCGTCGTTGTGAGAATGATGCTAATGAGTGGTAGGGATGTCATGGCTGGGATGGATGCGTCGCAGATGGACGAGTCCCTGTATGCGGCACAGTGGGCAGGGGAGGAGGATTATCATCCTTTTGCGGGGGTTCGTCTATAATTCGAGATGCTGTTCGGGTGTCGCATGGGTGCAGCATTGAGGATATTGTACTGTCGTAGGGATGGTAGAAAGATACCTGCCAGGTATCTGTAGTATAAGTAAATAGCATACCAGTAAGCCCGGAATTATCACCCACGATGCTTTAGAGCTCGAGGCATTATTAGTAAATAGCCAAATATTGAGGCTCTCATTCTGTATACATTGAATTGGCCACATCGATCATCCAGAGACCAGTCTATTACTTTTGTCGCCAAAGCAAAAACCCACCATGGCAAAATATACACGCAAGATCCACCACATGATATACATATAAGCCCACTTAACCAAACACGACCGTCTTGTGTCCGTTCAGCAGAACCCGCCGCTCAGTCACATACTTGACCGCAGTGGCCAACACATTGCTCTCGACGTTGCTGCCCGCGTGAGTCAACTCCTTCGGGCTCATCGCATGGTTCACCCGCACGACATTCTGCTCGATGATTGGGCCCTCGTCCAAGTCGCTCGTCACGAAGTGCGCCGTCGCGCCGATGATCTTCACGCCGCGGTCATAAGCCTGGTGGTAGGGCTTGGCGCCCTTGAAGCTGGGCAAGAAGCTATGGTGGATGTTGATGATGCGTCCGGACATAGCCTCGCACAGCGTCGGCGACAGCACCTGCATGTACCGAGCCAGCACGATCAGGTCGACGTTGTGCTGGCGCACCAGCTCCAGGATCTGTCCTTCCTGCTGGGCCTTGGTGTCTGCCGTGACGGGGAGGTGCACGAAGGGGACGTTGTAGGTACGCGCCAGGGTCTCAAAGTCGGGGTGGTTGGAGACGATGACGGGGATTTCGATGGCCAGCTGGCCGGTTGACTGGCGGAAGAGGAGGTCGTTGAGACAGTGGCCGATCTTGGAGACCATGATGAGCACGCGGGGTTTCTGGGTCGCGGGGACGAGCTGGAAGTCCATGCTCAGGCCCTTGGCGGTGGGATTGAAGGCATCGCGAAGAGTCTCGACAGTGGGTGCAGCCTCCGAGGGAGAGGATTCGGCCTTGAAGTGCACGCGCATGAAGAAGCGCTTCGACGTGGGATCGCCGAACTGCGATGAGTCAATGATGTTAAGGTTCTGCTGGACCAGGAAGGCCGTGACCGCGTGGACGATGCCGGGGCGGTCTGGGCAGGAGAGGGTCAGGATAAAGCTGGACATTGTGCCTATGCTCTGATGTTGAATCTGTGTTCCTGAAAAAAAAAAAAAAAAAACTGTTGAATGGGGACTTTTGGTGCCTTTTGTTGTGGGATGAACTGGACTCGATCAGCGGAAATTTCCCGATGCGGGCGGAGATTTTCAGTCCCGCATGCGGCGCTGACAAAGCTGATCAGATTAGATTAGATCGGGTCACATGAGTCATACTTTCTATACTGGGTCCATAATTTTCAACAGTTCCACACGCGTTCACCCAATGATAAGGTAGAGGAATCTTTCTATAGGAAGTTATGTAGTAATGTGTTGAAGAAATTACCAAAGGGGCAGGTGCTGTGCTCTCGGCATGTCAGACCTTTTCACCGAGACAAGGAGACTCGGTGCACATACTCGGCATGTATTCAAGGTTCGAGCGTCATTACAATATGGACGGTGTAACTCCTTCAGTGGTGTTACGGGACATTGTTCAAAGTGCATTATCTTTTCCCGTGGTTGGCGAAGTAGCATTGCTCTGTTCTCTATAACACCAGACAGCTTCCCAGATGCCGCCAAGGATGCGCAAGTTTGGAACAGACACCAGCTATCCACACCGGACAGATCTGTTTGTTTTTATTTGATTTTCTTCTCATTTCACATGGTTTGGACGTTTCGCTAGTCGCTGTTTGACTGGTATTCTGGACGTTGCCATATTTTACAATAAAATACTTTGACTTATTGTTGAACTCTCATTCTTTGCCACTAGACCAAAAACACCAATTGGCGAGTGGTAAGGGCTTGAAACTATTGATATCCAACACTTACAGATATCAAAAACCTCTCGATTTTGCGCGCGCTGACCCAAACAGAGGATGACTTGTTGAGAAACTGGTATTCGTCCTTTTTTTAAACGCGCTGGGGGCCGGCTCGGTGCGGAATCCATAGCCCTAATCCTCCCCACCCGGTCTGGTACTTGGCATGTTTTTGTGTCTTGTGGCCAATACTGGTCAAGGAAAATCTCGCACATTTCATGTGACAGCTTAAGGAGATCTAGTTGAATTGTTGGATCATTGAAGTATTGAAAATACTGGAACCAAGATATAGCGTGGTAGTCAAGGTCACAGGTCTCAATTATATTATTCTATCTAGATACACAACCAAGTTCTGACATGGGCAGTCTCGCAAGCAATAGTGGAAGGCCGTTCAACCGGAAGTAACATGCAGAGGCCCGTTGCCATCATCCTCAGGACAATTGTGGCTTTTGGCATCGAATTCGACGACACAGGCACCCGACATGCCGATAGAAATACCGATGAATTCCGTATCCGTCTTTCCCTCGCCCGTCCCGAGGGACTTGCCATTGCTATCTTTGACCTCGCAGTATTCAGGGTGGGCTCCAAAGTCCGACTTGCACTTGAATTTGCGAGGCTTATCCCAGCAGTCCCCCTCGATGGTGAACTCGCGGCCATCGCCCTTGTTGTAACAAGGCGAATGGTCGCCGGGGTATGGCTCGCTATAAATGGCTTTGCCGGCCTCGTCGAAGATCGCGAAGCGCTTGAAATGCCCGGACTCGTTGCCAGTGGGGCCCGAGATAGTTGAGAAATCGCCAGCAGACCAGACGGCCTTTAGGCGCTCGCCGTTCACGGCAGCAGAGGTCGCTGCGATGAGGAGGAGGAGGTTGGCGCGTAGAGACGGCATGATGCAAAAAAGAAGACTGGAAGCTTGATAATTGAATGGGACGAGACTGTTGAGCGGAATCCTCTGGTGGAAGTGCAGTCAGCAGGTCTTTTATACCCATTCTGCTCGGGAATCGCCTGTCAAGTCAATTGGCATATTCTGAGGGTGTCAGCCTAAGATGTATAGCTTATTCTGGTTAAGATTGGCGGGGACAATACGAGCCTAGCGCGTGGGGGCTGAGGTGGAGGAAGCCACATACTCAATGGTGCAGGTAGCGGCCCCAGTTGGGGGCCGAAGGATTTATTCAAGGTATACTCGTCTCCAGCTGAGTGCACGAGTCCGTTGTCTGGGTAAGGTGGATAACTGGGGTTGAATGGGGGAACATCAATCTTGAATACCTACACTTACCGGCTAGAAGAGCGATAACCCAAGGAAGAGAGTTGTTGCCGTCACCACTGGATTCCACGCAGCCGAGAGTATCTATTCTAGTGATCTGCGTGGACTCGATGCCTACAGAGCACTTTTTCACCTGTATTCCGCTCCCGAAGTGTTAACCCTGATAGGTGTCAGAAACAAGGCTAGTTCGTTTGCCACCAGGACGAGAGGAGGAGGCATACCACAGGGGAGAGAACAGCTAAGTGGGGCCGTCATCCTTCACGTTGATTGTGTAGGAGTAGCTAGCTGTAGATCACAGCCGTAATAGAGTGTTCTATTTTTGAGTCGTCTTCCCCATGAGCTAGACTTTTGCCTGCATTTTGAGTGTCTGTAAATAGAGTTCATAATTGCTAGAATCCAGCATGGAAATCGACATGAAAAGTCTAGAAAGCAGTGTTAAATGCCATGGGATACTCGTATGCCGAAACTAAAGATAGAGCCCTGCTGCAGGAGGCTCTCTCAAGTCTGTGTAAAAGCTAGGCTTGTGCTCATTGGACACTGCTCGAGGCATTTTCTTGGATGCCTGGCACTCTAAGCGAAGATTAGCTGTCTGAAAAGGGAAGAGGTTGCAGTAAGTCATGTAGATCCCTAGCAGTGGGCAGTCTTGGTAATAACGCATGATTTTTTGGTTCCTGTTTCTGTATGTTCCTATGGGCTCAAGGTATTAAGTCCTAGTTTCACCCGGTTGAACTAATGCGACTGGTCGACGATCAGGAAGTAGGCTTTAACGTTGTTAAATCTCTCACTTGTGGTGGTCAGCGACAAATCAGTGTCTATCATCTGCATGATATCCCCCGATGGCTAGACGAGAGTCGTCCTCCTTCCCATCATATGTAGATTGGAGGTTTCCTCTAGTCTGCAACACGCAACTGGATTATGTATCTTTGGGAAATAAATCAGCACGCAAGATGCTATCTTCATCTTGACAGGCTTGCTGCATACATAGAAAGATACTTAGCTAGACTATTCTACATAAGGTATAATGGTATCAATTATCCTAGTTGACTAAATTTTCTATGTTTATGTTCCCTTTTTTCGTATTAACGTAGAGGATGTTTACTGAATAAATTAAATATAGTCATTACTACAAAGTAGTTCATTTTGATATGTTGGCAGGAATAGAGAGTGGTAGATTCCTATTTTGGAGTAATTCATGATGTACTACTACAGGGCTAGTAGGAGTTGCAGGAATACTCTGCTTCCTGCGATAGTAACGTGCTGTTTTCTTTTCTGGGAGGGATCAGTTGTAAGCCAGCTGAAGAAGACTAGTAGACTATAGATACTATTGAGTCAGCAGCGACTCACTGGTAGAGAAACCATTTTGGGTATATCAGTCAGGTAAAGCCCTATACCAAATGTCGGTCAACGTTTTTGGCGTAGCGGTCTTGAGAAATTACTTGCAAGGGACCTAGTAGCGTTAGCATGTCATGTTTAGCGCTGTAAAGATATTTTCATGGTTCCTAGGTTCTTTAATATAAATTCGTTCACTGATGGATCCAAGCACATGCATGTATGTATTTTTTTTCTCTAAGCATAGAAGGTCGGTACTTGTTTTATTACATGGTTTATGAGCAACATGTCTATACAGGAGATAAGAAACCTGGAAACATAATCAATACTAAAATGGCAGATATACTACTGATACGGATGGTTGGAGTCGCAAGATGCCCTACTACTACATAGAGTACTATGATCATGGCTCAAACAAGTTAAGAGATTCGGATCCAACATTGGACCGCATTCTTCTCCCCACCTGTCCATATCACGCCATGGGGTAAAGAGCGTTGATGGAAAAAACTAGTATATCATGGAAAGAGTATTGCCCTAAGAACAGGTAGCAATGGGTAAAGCCCGATGTCTCCCATGCTCATTCAACACATTTTGTGACTGCTATCGGAAATTCGGCATAGGCTGGATTGGTCAATATTCTCCAATGGGGTTAAAGACCGGCTTCCACGAAATACAATCATCTACACTAAATCACTATTTGGCCAGTGAAACAAGTTCCTTAGTGCCCATTCAGGGTGTCGTGTCTCTGTTGCCTCCGGGTGCAATTGCCTTTACCCTTGACAATAAGCTGATACCTCAAAAAATAAGTAGCTCGGGAACCTCACGCCAATACAAGCGGCTAGATTCGGGACACTCTCCGCAGTTGTTAAGGCAATCTATCGATATTACGATAAAAGACAAATGCCGAAGCTGGCCAAGCCATCGCCACGCCAGTGTCCCCTGTCAGTTCTCCCATTCGTTCGATCGATGCAAGAAGACTCCTGTTAGCAACCAGTTGATCAAAGCTCACGATTTAGTCGCATCTATTTATCCGGATATTAAAAAGTCTCGCGTGGCGCTGAACAATGGGCCATGCCGAAATACCCTCGCTTACATTGTCCGTCTTGAAGAATGGAGACAAATGTGGGGTAACCCTCTCCCCACGGGGTACAGTTAGGCTTCAATAGGTGGACAACAATTCCTTGGTGACCGATGGCTCGACGGTCGACGGACCGTAAATCCGAATGGAATAGAATAGAAGATTTGAGGGCAACGGAGAGGCAAAACGGACGCTGTAAGCAGGATATAAAAGGGTGACAGGTCTCTCCCAATTCATCGCAATAACGTCTCAAACAACTATTACACAAACATCAAATCCTTTATCACAATGCCATCGTCATATAGCATCTGGAAGAACCTCCTGCTGCTCGCTGCCTACATGGGCGCGGTGCAGGCCCAGAAGGTTGGCACGCAGAAGGCCGAAACTCATCCTGCCATGACCTGGCAGACATGCAACAGCAGCGGCACCTGCACGACCAACAAGGGGCAGGTCGTTATTGACGCCAACTGGCGGTGGGTACACACGGTTGATGGGTACACCAATTGCTACACGGGCAACACCTGGGACACCAAAATCTGTCCGGACGACGAGACCTGCGCCGAGAATTGCGCTGTAGATGGCGCCGACTATCAGGCTACCTACGGAGCGACCACCTCCGGTGACGCCCTTCGCCTGAACTTCGTGACCCAAGGGGCGCAGAAAAACATCGGCTCGCGTCTCTACCTCATGAAGGACGAAAACACCTACGAGATGTTCAAGCTGCTGAACCAGGAGTTCACCTTTGACGTCGACGTCTCCAACCTGCCCTGTGGCCTGAACGGCGCTCTCTACTTCGTCTCCATGGACGCCGACGGTGGGAAGTCCAAGTACCCCACCAACGAAGCCGGTGCCAAATACGGCACGGGCTACTGCGACTCCCAGTGTCCGCGCGACCTGAAGTTCATCAACGGCAAGGCCAATGTGGAGGGCTGGGAGGCGTCCGAGAACGACGCCAACGCTGGAACGGGCCACCATGGCTCGTGCTGCGCCGAGATGGACATCTGGGAGGCCAACAGCATCTCGACCGCTTACACCCCACACCCCTGCGACGTCCCCGAACAGGTAATGTGCGAGGGCAATGCCTGCGGCGGCACGTATAGCAACGACCGTTACGCCGGCACCTGTGATCCCGACGGGTGCGACTTCAACTCGTTCCGCCAGGGCGACAAGACTTTCTACGGGCCTGGCATGAAGATCGACACCAAGAGCAAGGTGACGGTCGTGACGCAGTTTATCACCTCCGACAACACTGCCACCGGCACTCTGTCCGAGATTCGCCGGTTCTACGTGCAGAATGGCAAAGTGATCCCTAACTCGGAGTCAACCTACTCCGAGGCCCCTGGCAACTCTATCACGGAGTCGTTCTGCAGCGCCCAGAAGAAGCTCTTTGGCGATACCAATGTCTTTGAGAAGCACGGTGGCATGGCAGGCATGGGCGCCGCTCTGGAGGAGGGCATGGTGCTCGTCATGAGTCTCTGGGATGATCACAACTCCAACATGCTGTGGCTGGACAGCAACTACCCTACTGACAAAGCGTCCACCGTTCCCGGCGTTGCCCGCGGAACCTGCGATATCTCTTCGGGTGTTCCCGAAGACGTCGAGAGCAATGACGCCGACTCGTCGGTCGTCTATTCCAACATCAAGGTCGGACCTATTGGCTCAACCTTCAAGGGATCGACTGGCGGCGACGGTGGCTCCACGACGACCGTACGTCCTCCCACCTCAACCACCACTGGCGGTGGGAGCACTGAGACGGGACTGGCGGCGCACTACGCCCAGTGTGGTGGCATTGGCTGGAAGGGACCGACCAAGTGCGAGAGCCCGTATGTTTGCACCAAGTCGGGTGACTACTACTCGCAGTGTCTGTAGGCCGAGCATATGACGGGTAGCCTTCCAATGGTATGAGAAGTTTATAGTCAATATGATTACTTTGTTGTTCACTTCTTGTGTGTATTTCCACCAATAACCTACATATGTTGATTTCCTGTGAAATCTGCCCTGAATGAATCTCTCGGCAAGCTTTGTAGGACTCTTTCCCTATTAGATCTTAGTGTTGATTCTTTATTATTCGCGGGGAAGGTCTGGACCTCTGCAGCGCGGAAGCAGATTACCTGCATGCCCTGTCAGACTGCTTGCCTCTCAAAGGAGCAGTCTATTCTTCTTGACCCCATTTGCTACGCTTACTTCTCCTATGCTATTGGGTTGTGTTTTACCTGTCTGAGCGGAACGCCCTCCGCATTGTTCCCCGCATAGTTTGTTTATACGTTGGATGGCACGTGGTGTGGCAAGCCCTGAGTGAGACATACTAGGCCTGCAGATTTGCCTTCATTTCAAGTCTATGGCATATCTGGGGCACTGATTGAATTAAATGATGTCTCAACTGACAAAACATGAAAGACACCAAGGGGTGTGTAGGATACTACCTAGTATTCTGACTTGTCGGCAAATATTTCCACGACACCACTGTGTTCGAGCTTCGGCCTCGTTTAGCTCGAGACAAGGATGTATGCCAATACAAACCCCTGTCCATCCCCAACACACCGGATGCTCTGAGCGAACCACGTTCCTTTCGGCAAACTATACCCCGTTCTCCCAGTCTCGGCAATCCCCTAGTCAATATAGTCTGTAAAAGATACTAGCTCTACCAAGACATTCATCCCCGTCTCTGCACAGCCTGAATTGGGTGTCAACTCCGCAGATCCGGCCACCTCCGGATCCGCATAATCATACTTTGCAAGTGCCGTGACGAATCTGTCTGTCCGTTCTGGTTTGGGATGCGTTCGTTCTGTCGGGCTGCGGTCCGGTGGTCCGTGTTGTTGACGCTTCAGGTGTAGTCCTGCGAGATATGTGTGTCGGTGTATATAACTTGTATCTCTCAAGAGGCCGTTTCCGATGACGAGAATCAGCAAGAATTCAGATAGAATCCAGTCGTAAAGATGAAGCTGGCATTGCTCTCCCTTCTCTTCCCCCTCGTCATGGGAGCCCCCAACAAGCGGGCTTCCCCATTCGTCTGGTACATACTTTTCACCCCTCAATCATTTCCTAAAACTATTTCTCCAGCGCACTAACAATGGTAGGTTTGGCTCCAATGAATCTGGCGCTGAATTCGGCCAGAACAACCTCCCCGGTCTCCTGGGCAAAGACTACATCTGGCCGTCGGCGTCGACCATTGGAGAGGGAATGAATATCTTCCGCGTTGCTTTCATGATGGAGAGGCTGGTGCCGACTACTATGACGGGGACGGCAGATGCGACGTACATGGGAGATCTGAAGAAGGCATGTTTGGCCTGTACTTATGGGATATTAGGGCTGGGATATACTGACAGCGATGATAATAGACAGTCAAGGCAATCACCGATCTTGGGGCCTACGCACTGATTGACCCGCATAACTTTGGGCGATAGTGAGTCCTCTTCCAGATATCCCGTTCTCAGCACGACTTCTGATCAGGGGTTAGCTATGGCAACATCATCACGTCGACGTCGGACTTTGCCGCCTTCTGGACCACCGTGGCTAAGGAGTTCGCGTCAAACGACCACGTCATCTTCGATACCAGTATTCTCCCCCCTCCTTTTCCCACCAAGAACAATGACTCATTTAACTAACCGCCCAGACAACGAATACCACGACATGGACCAAACCCTCGTCCTTAACCTCAACCAAGCCGCTGTCAACGCCATCCGAGCAGCCGGCGCAATCAACCAATACGTCTTCGTCGAGGGCAATTCCTGGAGCGGCGCGTGGACCTGGCCCGCCATCAACGACAATCTCAAAACACTAACGGACCCCTCCGACCTCCTCGTCTACGAAATGCACCAGTACCTCGACAGCGACGGGTCGGGGACGAGCCCGACCTGCGTGAGTAGCACGATCGGCGCAGAGCGCATCGCAGCCGCCACCAGCTGGCTGCGTGAGCACAACAAGCGTGGCTTCCTAGGCGAGTTTGCTGGTGGTGCGAATGACGTGTGCAAGCGCGCTGTGGTCGGTATGCTGGACTCGCTGGTTGCCAATGCGGATGTCTGGATGGGTGCCGCTTGGTGGGCGGCGGGTCCATGGTGGGGAGATTATATGTTTAATTTGGAGCCCCCGACGGGGACTGGTTTCGCTTATTATATGGATACGTTGAAGGGGTATGTTGCGGGGGGTACTCCGGGTGGTGGGAGTACGACTACGACGACGACTTCTACAGCGACTCGCACGACTACAGCGACGGCGACGGCGACTGGTGGTGAGGGTGTTGCGCAGCACTGGGAGCAGTGCGGTGGGGGTGGATGGACGGGTCCGACTGTCTGTGTCAGTCCGTATAGTTGTGTCCGGTCGACTGAGTGGTATTCGCAGTGCCTGTGATGGAGTTAGGGCTGTTGTTGGAGCCGATATCTATTGTGGAACTGAAGGACTCCACATGGAGTTCGTCGAGCGAGGTAGCTCTCTACCGTCATGGTACTTACCAGTATAAGCCAAGAATTCTATATTATATTCGAAGGTATTCGTTTGAGCTGGTCTACATTCTTGTGAAGAAGCAGTAGCGCGATCCTGCAGACGTTAGCTCAGGATCCGGGTCTACGGCTCCATATTCCTTAGTCCGTCAATGGGTTAGCCTGACATCCGCTGGAATCGGGAAAGATGTACACTACAGCTAAGCCAAACCGGGACTAATCGGTTCGGCGGGTTGATCAAACATCGTGGGCCCGCCACAATGCTGGTTTATATGTGATTGACCCCTTTCTAACCTCATTATCGTCGCATCTCTCCCGGTCCGTTACCCGACCACGAGTATGGCTTGCGCGATGAAGTCCCTCCTAGTTCTCCCTCTCCTGTTTGTCCTCTCTTCGAGCGCCCCAGATCCCTCTCACTGTCGCTGCAGACCGCACGAGCCCTGCTGGCCTGCACCGCAAGAATGGACCAACCTCCATCACTCCATTGCCGGTAATTTGGCTGCTGTGCGCCCCGCAGCAGCCGTTTGTTATCCCGGCGCAGCCGCTGACCCTGACTCCTGTAAAGAGGTGACCTCCTCGTGGAACAACTCCACCTGGCGCGCCGCCCATCCCGGCGCCCTGCAGTGGGAGAACTGGGAAGCCTCGTCCGCTCGTGACGAGAGCTGCTACATCGAGTCCGCCGAGTCCACCTCCTGCGACCAGGGGCGCATCTCGCTGTACTCGGCGCAGGCCAAAACCGCCGCGCACATTCAGGAGGCGGTGCGGTTCGCGAAAAAACACAATCTGCGCCTCGCCATCAAGAACTCGGGCCACTGCTTCCTGGGCCGGTCGTCGGCGCCGGACTCGTTGCAGATTCTGACTAGCGCTATGAAAGGCATCCACATCGTCGATGACTTTGTCCCTGCCGGTGGACCTCGGTCGGAGGGTCAAGCCGTCACACTGGACGCCGGCGTCACGCTCGAGGAGATGTATGCCGCGCTAGCGGAGAAGGAACGCATCGCTGTTGGGGGCGCTGCTCGCTCCGTCGCCCCCGCGGGGGGCTATATCCAGGGCGGGGGACACTCGTTCCTGGGGCCGTGGAAGGGAATGGCCGCTGATAATGCGCTGGAGTTCTCGGTGGTCACTGCGCGTGTAAGTCCCTCTTCGCTAGTCGTACACCTATACAACAACTAATCTCATCCAGGGCGATTTGGTCATCGCAAACGAGTACCAAAACACCGACCTCTTCTGGGCGCTGCGCGGTGGCGGCGGCGGCACCTTCGGCGTCGTCGTCAACGCCACCGTGCGCACCTTTGACGAAGTCCCGCTCATCCTAACCGATCTCAAAATCTCCACGCCCGCCGGAAATCCCTCCTTCTGGCACGCCATGGCCGATTTCCACGCCGCCCTGCCGCGTCTCATCGACGTCGGCGGTGCTGGCTACTACTTCATGGTTCCGAAAATGCCTCTCTTAGGCGACGCGATCAGCATATCCGGCATGACCGTCGTGATGCACTTTCCCAACATGACGGACAAAGCCCGCATCGACGATCTCTTCGACCCGCTCGTCAAGACCCTCCGCTCCAACAAGGGCGTCACCGCCCTGTACCAGTCCAAGCGCGTCCCTAACATCGAGACCCTCATCAAGGACGCCCTTAACCCAGGCGGCAAGGAAGACGTCGGGGGGAACAAGCGTGGCGCCTCGCGGCTCTACTCGCGCGATCTGCTCACCTCCCCGTCCGGCGCAGACCATCTCGTCTCCGCCCTGCAGTCCCTGCACTTCAACCCCGGCGAGGCCGTCCTCGGCAATATCGTCGCGGGCGGCGCCGTCGCCGACAATGCGGATCGCGTCGACAGCGCGCTGAACCCCGCGTGGCGGAGGGCCCTGCTGCATTTGGTTATCGAGCGCCGCTGGGCGGCCGACGCTACCCTCGAGGAGCAGGATGTTGTCAAGGCTAATATCACGGACGTTGAGGTGCCGATTCTGCGCGGGGTGGAGGGCGCGGACACCATGGGGGCGTACTTGAATGAGGCAGATGCGGATGAGACGGACTTTCAGGCTTCGTTCTGGGGGAAGAATTATCCGGAACTGTATCGGTTGAAGCAGAAGTGGGATCCGACGGGGTTGTTTATTGCGAGGAAGGGAGTAGGCAGTGAGGATTGGGATGATGAGGGACTGTGTCGGGTTTAGTTACCTTTTCCTCTTTCGCTCCTCTCTATTCTTGAGGGGGTCATTGACAGCCCTCGGGGATACAAGACTTATGTATAATACATTGATATCGGCATCCTGTCATGTCAGTCAGAGGCGTCGTCAAGTCGTTTCAGATATTACTGTGAATTATGTATAATTATTTAGTATATATAAACCCTTTCCATGCTCAGAGCAGGAGTATTATGTACAGTAAGATTAACGATACCGTGAGTCATACCCATTATCACCATTGGCTGAAACCATGGGTATTTATATGAAGCCTGGTTCCTGGCGTCACAACCACCTCGCTGTCGCTCTCGTACGCAAATTGAATGAAGCAATACCGTGGATCACCAACGAGAAACACGTCACTTTGGGAGATCATTCTGCGCAGGGCTTGGGGCCGGTTTCGCAGGAGCGATCCAAAACACCGGGTAGCGACGCTGGATATTGTTCAGCAGCAGTGCTACCAGAAGGACCATCGTGGAGGACAGCAAAACCACAGGTAGGAAGTACCATGACATCTCCCACACCGCATCGTCCGTCGCCGGGAGAAGGGCCGTCGCGCCCGCCGGGGGATGAGTGGTCTGCGTGACCTGCATGACCACAATGGCGACAGCCGTGGACAGCGATGCGGCCAGCCATCGCACCGACTGGAACTTTTCCTCGTCTGGGATCAGGCTAAACAGCTTCGTGATGCATATTCCCACCAATGCACTCAGGAAATGGCCGAATATGAGTGCACGGGGCTGTGCCAGGGGAGCGTCAATTGCACCATAGACCAGCACGGCTGATGCACCCTACGTTTCAGTCAGACATTGCATCTTATGAGGCGGGTGGGATACTCACGAAGGAGGCAATGATGCCTGGCACGCCTCGACTAATGAAATACTGGGAGTAGTTGAATATGGCCTGCAAGACACAGAGGCCGCAAAAGGAAGCGATGAACGACCAGCCCCAGACCTGGTACTGCGGTAGAGGTTTGTGGGGACTCGAACGATAGCCAAGCCAGCGGCTGACGGACTTGGGAAGCCGAGCCAGCGCCGTTTGTTCGGACATTGCGAGTTGGGACGGGTCCAAGATGTCCAGGGGTGGAGCTCCAAGACGTTGCAACGTTCACACCAGGGGCTCAGATGGGGTGGCCGTTGGTGTAGGTGGTCGGACGAGGCCGTTTGACTTCTGTGTCGTTATCCGCCGCGTGGTTTTCTTTGATTCTTCGCATTACGTGGGGTTGAAGGCTGGGGAAGGCGAAAAACACTGACCTGGTTATGAATCAATTACCTAACAGTATAAACAAGGGTGCTGGTTCGGCCCAACGGGATGGTCTGGGTGGATCCACTCATCCATCGTCATGTCCCAACTGGCGAACTCTACCTTAACACACCCGATCATAGTATCTACCGGGTTTTATTGGATATTGATGGATACATTTGTCCTTCGGAGATCTATAGATGTAGGCAAAACATCAAACAACCAGCGCTTAGCAGTGAATAGGGGACTGGGAAGGGCAACAACCATTGCCGACTTTCGAAGCCGAAGTGGATCAAACCACATGGAACTTTCTGGATTGGGATTAGAGCGGATGAAATCGAGAAATGCTGATCCACAACAGGTTTGCAAACACTCGAGACTCAGTATTTATCTGAAGATATAAACTTCTAGAGGTCTATATCGGGAACTTCTCCGTGGTTTCCTGATCCTTTTAGCGGAAGTGCGATGCGCTAATACATGACATTGTGGATTCCGTATATCATCTGGTAGTTTTCAAGGTCTAGCCAGCGCATATCTCGGGTGGTTATATGGTGGGATTAATCTCATAGTGTTTCTTCAGTAGTCTGTGAGTAAGGGCACGGATCAGAGGATTCCAAGGAACCCACGATCTCATAGTTCTGCACGAATATTTCGCTACCAAGATATGGAACATCACTCGTCCCACTGGGAGCCGTATTCTTTTTGATTTGACAGGGATGCTTCGAGCCAATTTTAGAGCAGCAAGTCAGACGCTTCCGTGTCCGTAGAATTTCTGGGCGGAAAGTCAGGTACTTGCGAATCTCCGGTTTAAAGACTGCCAGATCTGGTATGCTCACCAGAAACTCCATATTGATCCGATGATATTCCATGGGAGTGAGGCATGCTGTGGGGCAGGGGTATTGTCTCCCCCTGCAATGACCACTGTAGGCCTAGAAGTACGTCTAAGCTTACTGAGGTCCAATGGAGACACCCAAGATGACAACACTATGGGGGTGCAACTGCAGCCAGGTAGCGGAAGAACGCGATCTGTTGAGACCATACATCTATTGTAAACAACCCCCCCCCTTGATCGTATCTGATCTCTCTTGTTTGCTGGAGATAGGTCAATGGAATTTTCCCGGAACCCTGGGTATACTCTCTTCACACCCCTCCTTATATTCAGAAAATGGCGTACATATGCCAATATACAAACTTGATTTTCTAGAACCAACGTGACCTTCCCTATTTGGATGGGCGCTCAGAGGGTTCCTCACTACGTATTTCTCATCACCGGTCAAGGGTTGGACAGGTATCATGGGGATTTCAAAAAGAGGTCCTTTGAGGGAGAGACGGAGGGGAAGGGTTTGGGGAGGAGAGACTGTGGGTGTGGGGGACATGGACGTGATACTAATCATGATTTGATTGATCCTTTGGTTCTATGAACTCTATATGGGGTTTTGTATATTCTCGTCCTGGCCACTCAGCTCGATCCATCTGCAAAACGTGTTTTCCTGCCGCAGACCGAGGTAGTCATCCTCCCTCGGTGCCTGCATTTGCATCAGCCAAAAATCTAGCAGACACCCGGATGCCGGATCTGTTTGACTTGATTAGGGGAACCTGGTGCGATGGCAAAAAGTGAAACAAGTGAAGCGAACCTATCGTGGGCATTCCTCTCCCTCCTCGGTCCGCAAGGTGGGGCGGCCATCGTGTGGCGACCATCTGGGCTCCCTCGAGTCCCCTGGTTCTGTGATAACCAGTTAGATAGTTCCTGGGCCATTCATGTTCATGATCTTCATTGATATGTACTCCGCAGTAGACCCGACCTGACCGCCTTCCGTGGGGAGTTCCAAAGCGAGAAGAGATCGACTATGTAGTTACTATCAGTTAGTTGGCTACTACGAAATGTTTTTCGTAGGAGAGCCAGGAACAGGTTAACTCTGGGATTCCAGCGCAATACATGATTCCAGGGGCTGTGTATTTACTATACTATACTACCAGGATCAACTAAGTACCTTTAGACCAATCCAATATACAAACTTCCAGGCCCATGCTGTGAAACCCCGCTTCACAGTACTGAAAAAAAAAAATAAATAAATAAAAATAAAAATAAAAAGTAAATAAATATATAAAAAATAAAAATATGTCTGCGAACCAACCCATTGTCTTGGTATTCTCCAGCATATTCATAACCCATCTCAGGAATGTCTTGTGCGCGCGTTTCGTGGTATAAATATTGATGGAAATGCTCCGAGAGTGCGTAGATTCAGGAACGGCCAAGAAAATGCAGACACGATGGCCAATCGGAGGCCACGGCAAAGAAAAAAACATACTCCGTACGCTATGCAGTATAGGTTGCTTTTAGGTTGCAGGTTGGTCACTAGGCATGGAGCAGTTATAGGTAGGGATGGATTTCCACATCTTTGATTCCCCCCCCCAGCTCGCACTCCGTTCGAAGTCAAACATTTGTGCCAGTCTAAAAAGAAGAACCTCTCGATGCAAGAATGCCGGTCCGGCAGCTGGCCGTCTTCTTCGCGGTCGCGAGCCTGTTCTACCTCTTGTACACTTTCGTCGTTCCCCAGATCCTGAGGTTTCGCTTCCGCGGGGACTTGAGTTGGTATGATCTGGGGTTGCACGGGTTCAGTCCCTCGAGGACGTATGTCTCGTTCCGTTATACGTCTCCTGTAGTGGAGATATCGCAGTATGGTTCGGGGTGTAATCCGGGCCTTACTTTTATTGCCCCGCGGGGACATTCCATTCCTCATCCCGGGCCGATGATTATGGACGCACGGGGGGATTTGGTCTGGATGAAGCATAATCTGAATGTTACGCAGGACTTTAAGGTTCAGCGGTATAGAGGGCAGGAGTATCTTACTTACTGGGAAGGGGAGGAAGTTGATGGGCGTGGACGAGGTACTTGGTATATGGTATGTCTATTTTTCTTTCTTTTTTTTTTTTTTTTTTTTTTACCCCCAAAATCGTAGAAGAATGGATGAATAACCGTTAATTTGCAAATAGCTAGATCAGTCATACACAAAGCAGTTCGAGATCAAACCAGCTGGTGTCCTCGACGGGGATTTGCATGAGTTCCAAATCTCCAAGGATGATACTGCCCTTGTGACCATCTATCAGGCGGTCACTGCGGACTTGAGGCCAATCGGCGGCCCTGAGTCTGGCTGGATCTATGACAGTCTCTTCCAGGAGATTGACATCGCCACGGGGGATTTAATTTTCGAATGGCATGCGTCCCATCATTTCCCAGTTGACAGTACGTTCGAAGAGCGTAAGGAACGCGGTGCGGAGCCGGATTCCGCCTTTGATTTCTTCCACATCAACAGCATCGATAAGGATCCCCAGGGCAACTATCTCGTCTCTGCACGACACACTCACACCATCAGCCAAATTGACGGTACCAGCGGCGCCGTCCTGTGGACGCTAGGTGGTAAACTCAATGAATTCACTGATCAGTCAGACGGAGCAGCCACCAACTTCTCCTGGCAGCATGATGCGCGGTGGCACGGGGACAAAATCCTGACTTTCCTCGACAATGCCGCCAGCTCCAACGATGACCTCACGGCTCAGAGCCGTGCCATGGTCGTCGAATTGGACATACCGACCCGCCAGGTCCAACTGCGTCGAGCGTACTACCACCCCCAGGAAATGAAAACGCTCTCGCAGGGGAACGTGCAAGTGCTGGACGGCAGTGGCAATATATTCGTGGGCTGGGGCCACAGTGCTGCCTTTACTGAATTCGACCCTGACGGAACGCTCCTATGCGACGTGCATTTTGGCGCTTCCGCATATTTTACCTTTGGACGTGTCGTGTCATACCGTGTATTCAAGGGCTCTTGGGTAGGACGCCCTCTCGAAGGGCCGAGCGCAGAAGTATCTCAGGGCAGTGTCTTTGTTAGCTGGAATGGCGCGACGGAGGTATCTCATTGGCGTCTGGATGTGGGAGACGGCCGGAGTTTGGAACAGGTGGAGTTCCAGCCTCGAGCCCTGGTTGAGAAACGTGGATTCGAGACCAAGATTCCCATTCCAGAGGACATGCCGGCCCCTTACTTCCGGTTGGCTGCGCTGGACTCTCAAAACGAAGTTCTGGGATACTCAAATATCCTCGGCGAGCGATTATCTTTCCCGCGAGAACAGCCGGTCTCTCTTGCAATGTGGTATTGGATTTCTACCGCATTTGTCTTTTTAGCGATCGGGTTCTTGTTCAAACAGATGCTTAGTCGCAGGTTAACGCGGGTGCGCAATGTGAAACCACAATGCTGAAATTATGTATATATATCAGAGCACAGTTGATCAGTCCTGTAAATAAAATCTAGGGAATTTAAACCGAGTAGATCTCGCCAGGACCCGTGGGTTCGCCCTTCCCCACATCGATCCGCTCCGAACCCGTCCGCCCCGAATCCGCACCTGCTGGGGTCCTCCGCAAACAAAAAAAAATCCAGATCTTGACTATTTCTCCAATAATTTCACCACCTCCCAGTGTCCTCGGTCCCGAGCTACCATGGCAGGCGTCCGTCCCTCAGCCTCCAGTTCCGCATTGGCCCCATGCTTCAGCAAGTAAGTAACAGCATCAGCCTGGCCTGCAAAGGCTGCCTCGTGCAATGCCGTGAAGTCTTTATTCTTCATAATAAACCGAAGATGATTAGTCTTCCGGTCATTATCATTAACATTGATATCCACCCCATATTTGAACAGTAGCAGGTCTAGCATTTCCAACTTGCCATGTGCAGCCGCCATCCCTAACGCGCCAGATCCATCAATCTGAGCGCCATGTTGAATTAACAGCTCCACCATCTCGGCATTGTCATTGGAGACCGCCAGTGCGATAGCCGGAAACTGGTACACCACGCCCGGCTTGTTCACATCGGCCCCGTGCTGTAAGAGGTACTCGGTAAGACCGAGATCGTTTTTCCGGACTGCGATGGTAATATAGTATCCCTGCCGACCGAGATTGTAATTCACGTCAAGCCCTGCAGGCATGAGAATCTCCATCAGGTCAAGAGACAGGCGCATTCCAACCGACTCATGGACCCAGCCGTTGAGCTCTACTTCTTTCGAAACACAGGCTCGGACAAGGTCAAAGTCATTGCTGAGGATAGCTCGGCACAAGATGTGTTCCAGCGTGACGGGCAGTTCTGGATGGGGAGTGCTGCCCTCCAAGGCTGACTTCCATTGAGCGCGTTGCTCCGCGGGCGCCGGTGACCATATAACTTTTGGGTCTTCTGCCATTGTCTAGATTGTATGATGTGCTTGATGATAAACTGTATAGGAGTAGGAAGATGAATTTGGCGATGAACTGGAGGATGGTAAAACAATGTGTTCTGACTATGGACTTCCTTTATGCTTGGCCGGTTTGCTGAGCCCCATTACGTCACTAGCAAACAGGGGGCCTGCATCAGTTATTCACAGCCCATTGGGCATGATTAAAGGTGGGGTGAGGATCAACTAAAAACACAGCCCAGCAGATAACTAGGAATAACGTATGACGCTCTTCCATGCCTGCTCAGCTGTAAGCCCTAAATGTAATAAAGAGTATTTTAGACGCATACGACAGATCTTACTTCCCTACCCGCTGCGCTCCATTCTTGGCAAGGCCGTTGAACTGAGGAGTTCAAGACCCACTTTGCCACCTGCTTTAGTTCTGCTCAGCTTGGATCATCCGATAGGCTCTAAACCCTGACTATACTAATTGATACTATATAAGTTTTGGGGCCATACCCACTCAACTATCGGTTCTTACTTCTCATACCCGCCCAGCTTTTAGTCTGATGGACTATTAGCTCTAATGAGCTGTGACCCGCTCAAGCTCTAAATTTGGACCTTCCCACGTTGGTGGTCAGACGCAGTCTGTATCGATATCCTCTCCACTCGACACCCGTAGCTGGAACATACGCCTCTGCGTTGCTTGTCTTTATACGCACCTCTGCTTTATCATACATGGCTTATCAGGACTATAGATTGGCGTGATTTTATCCTGGCAGCAGAGTTCACCTTTAAGATAATACGGCGGTAGGGCCCATGCTGTAGACTAATCCATTTTATGTCAGCTCTGGTGATACCTTGACTGTAGTTACCGTCTCTTCAATTGAACTATGTCGTATTTGACGCGGTGTTGATGGAATATGCTAGTTGAGATAGTCAGACTACACTTTAGCCGCCGACAAGCATCTCCCTCGCACTTATTCAATTATCTCGGCAGAATTTGAGGATAGAAGAAAAGATATGAGTGACATTCAGGCGGCTGAGAGTATACTCCGTACTGTGTACAAATTCAACGCAAAGGACCATCCATCAACCTAACTAAGCCCTGCATCCTGACACCACTTCACCACCCAGCAATTAGAACGGGGGTTTATCGTCCCAGTTAAGGCACTCGCCACCATCCCAAGGAGGCAATCCCTGCCTCTTCACAGGATCACCCTTCTTCCAAATAGTCTCCTTCGAGTTGGGGTCCGAATCCTGAACCTTGACGATCTCATCCACGTCAGAATTCTCCTTGAGCGCCGGAAACTCGATCCGCGCCCATGTGGTGCAAGCATCTTCGTGACCCATGACGACGTTGATCACTCCAGAGGAGCGCTCCGCAAAGACCCGGCTGGCTGTATCGACGTAGGTCCTGAACTCCTCGTCGTTCTTATCTCCCTCGAAGGAAAGGTCCGGGAAAACATGATCCAGCATTTTGTACCCTTTGTCCGTGAAATGATTCAGGGCCTCGATGTGGCCCACCTTCGAGAAGAAGAGCGACTTGCTCTTGGGTGGGTTGACGATTTTGGAGTTGATGTCTTCCTCGGATGGGTACTTGCCCCTGGCGACGATGTCCCTGGTCGCAGGAGGTGTGGTGCTAATGGCGTCGGCGCCATCTAGGGCCAGCGGGAAGGCAGACGCTAGGAATTGGGAATTGAAGAAGAGGCCGAGACACAGTAGGAGAGACAGGTAATGAAACATCTTATTCGGAAGAGATTGCATGTTGATTCTGGCCAAGTGGGATGGCAAGGGAATGCCCAAACAACGGTAGCGACAATGGAAAGGTCTTGGAGTAGGGAAGAGATTGCAGAGAACTCAGTTGAGAAAGCGTTTGAATTGATAGACTTGAGACAATTAGACAGACCACTTTATATGTATTCTGCCCACCCTAGGACCTTGTATGAGGCATTTCTATCCAAGCTGGCTACCATCATTCCAAATCCTCTATTGCAATCACAGCCCCAATGTCTGGCGGATCAAAAAGTACGATCCTAGGGGAACGTGAAACCGAAGCAACATCACAACACACAAGAACTGGATATCTACTAGCAATTGGTCGAAACGACCAAGTGATCAGCGTTACTAAATTTAGACCCTACTGTGGTGTACGGAGCAGTGAATGTATTCTGCGCTCAGCACAGGCACACAAGAACTCCATTCTGGAGTGTGCCGTTCCATCGGCGATTCAACAACAGGATCAGCTATAGGTTTAGCCATCACTGCCATCTCGGGATGAGGCTCGTCAGCAGACTCGGTTAAGGGACAAAGATCGTCGAAGGATTGGAGGCCACAGTCCCACCGGACTGCAAAATCTTATAGACGACAAGATTGTGAAGACACTCCTTCCATAGATGGATCAGGATCTGCGAATGGCCCCAATTCGCAGCCTTATCGGGTCTTACCATGACGTCAATTGGTCTTGGTCATTGAGTCCGTTCTAGCATATAGTGTGATTTCATTTAGCTATCTCTCTGTGCAATATCAACTGTCTGAGGTCAGTAATCACTAGAGGTTGTCAGCTTGGATTCTGATTATGGCTTCGGAGTCTAGTTGGGTAGAGCAGTGGGCACGAGGGGAAGCCAGAGTGGGCTCCAAGCCTTCTCTATCCCGCGTCTGACGTTACATGATTCCATTCAATTAAGCCCGGTACTCATTGCAGATAAACTACTCCATATGTGAAATACTAATGTGGTTCTTACCAAGCCAGGTGTAGGAAGCGCAGGTATTCTCATGTTTAGTTGGTCTACGTCGTGTTTGCCGGCTTGACAGTTGTATGTTGAACATGCTTCTTCTCTCTCTATCTCAATTCAAAAATAAAATAAACATATAAAAAGGGGGGATAGAGGGAAGAAAGCCAGACAAGACGGACACAGGGACACGGGGCAGTAAATGCCCTATCGCAATGTTGAAGATCGCATAATAATAATAATGAATTGATAACTAGTCCAAAGATTGACTAGTACTCCGTACTATTGACTACCTAGATAGTTGTGTCTGCTAACTGGATTTTCCTCAGGAATCTAGCTAAGGACCTGATCGTCGGAGGCACAGCCCAGTAGGTTATACAGAGCACGCCCGCGTGTCTGCGCACTTACATAGCTTATATCACTGCCGATCGACGCGCTAAAGCCATGAATACGGCTCGACCTATCTGGAGAATGAAACACAGGCATTCAGCTACTTGGCACAGCGCTTACTTGAGAATTTAGAAGCTATTGCCACGCTACTTGACGGTTGCAGCGGTGAAGATCTTCATCAAATGACTCTCCCCTCTTTTACTTTTCGCAGCCCCATTCTGCTGCAATCACTTCCCTCAAGGCCATATGTAATCTGTACAGCTTTACAAAACACCGAACTACTCTGTAGATCCTTTACCATACATAGAGGATCACTTCTGAATCGGGAAAGCGGGGTCAGTATGCCTGATCGCAGGGCTGATTGCAAGTCAGACGGTGTGTTCCGAGTAGCAGACTGCCCTCAGTGCGCAAATACACTAAACACAGACATGACTCTGGCCCCCAATGTGGAGTCTGGAGTGTGGATTATGGGTAAGCGAGCTGTTGGGTAACGTTCCCACAAGGTGTCGTCATTTTGTCTAATTGGATGACATGTTAACTACGGGGATTGTGTCCGGCTAAGTAGCTCCATAAGGTTTGATCTCCCAGTCCCACACGGTGTCGGACCATGCTTAGAGGGGCCGAACCCACTGTTCTTTTTTTATATTATTATCAATATTTATTTGATTATTTATTTTATTCTTAATTTCTGATTGGCAAAGCGGTTCTACTCGGGTGTAGGTGATGAGCTATTGGCCCTAACGAATAATGGGGCGATGTCAGCCTTTACATCATGAAGATGAAGCTCTAATAGTTGCAGACGGATAGATACAGAGGCCAGAGGGAAGTGCTACTCATGCCTTGTCGCTGAGAATCAAGATATAAAAGGCTCCAACCCTCACCTCCATCTCTCATCCATCCAATCCTCCAAATCAAAGCACATTGCAAACAAAGATCCTCATTCTTCTCTTATACAAGAAACCCAATTCCACCCACCAACATCAACATGCAGCTCAGCACTATCATCTTTGCGGCCACCGCCCTCATGTCTGGTTCTGCGCTGGCAATGCCTGGCCAGCTTTTCCAGCGCTCGTCCGTCTCCTTCTTCAACGGCGAGAAGTCCATCGTTGCTGAAGTGGAAGAGGACCTGCTCACTGCCAGGAATCTGCTGCAAACCAGAACTGAGGGTGACATTGATTGCAAGGGCTCTGCCTTCTGCGAGCGGCTGGGGTCCAGCTGCGACGACGCCTACCGTAAGATTGTTCCTGGCAACACTTACAGTGCCTATCTTGAGTAAGTTTCCGTCTGTTGTTCTTTGCCCGCGGGGGCTGGCATCGTGCCAAGCATGTCTAACTCCTTGTGTAGTGATTCCGACACTGGTACGTGCAGCGGTACTTGTGGCATCTTTGTTAGCGGTGACCGTTGCTCTGCTACGGGCCAGGAGCTGAAGGATGCCTACGATGACATCCGAAGCAAGGGCTCCTGCACCCACTGTGGACGGAAAGAGATGAAGGATGGATGCTTAATCAAGATTGACCGTGTGACCGGATGTTAAGTTATAGTATCGAGAAGCTGGCTGCTTGTCTCGGTCAGGGGATATTGTTTGTTGAAGAGTTTGGGACTCGTTTGTTTTTGTATACATGTGGTTCTTGTGAATAAGCAACTTTGCTTATAGAGAATTCGTCTGTGGGCTGAATTTTTTGTGCACCTGTTTTATCTGTCTATCTTTTATCCAAGTTATATCAAGCATTGTACCAAAGAAAGCAAGGATTTATGGCGACTCGCCTGTAGGCTGACCGAATAACCAGAAGCGATGGATTATACTCCAGAGTTAAGTCTGTGGGACATTGGTTTTTGTCGGTGTCCAACTTGGACTTTCAAACTATCACATTGTAGAGGTTGATAAGTTATTTGCTGGCCGAGGGTCCACTGCCTCACTGCCCCACTGCAACTTGTGGGTAAAGATCAACACACACCCCAGTCAGCCTAATTCAGCCCCCATTTAGTGCCATCTAGTTAGCTCCCGATTTAAAAACCACTGGGGACTCCTGATTTGGAGTGTGTGCTCACCATTTTTCTTTTATCTTTCTTGCACCTTTTTCTTTGCCTCTCTCGTCGCTGTTTCTCTGAATTTAACACTTCAACCTTTATAGACTATAGTCATGATCCCCCCGAGCAGCCGCGTATGTTCACAACAACGTATACTACTGACGGCTTTAATAGCCATCTGCGGCATATTTATATATCTAATGTGGCATGGAATGAACTCAGACCGAGACAACGTGCATCCTATAATCACGCAGCTCATTCCAGCAGGCCATTGCACATGCCAGACATCGACATCCTTCGAGTGCGCAGACTGCCTCACATGCCTCGACTCGCAAAATTCGTCCTCGAACGCTGCCTCCTCAAACTGGACGTACGAGTATGACCGCGACAACAGCAACCTCAGCCTGAACAAAGACCAATGCAGTCATTCATTCCCAGGCCTCTTCCAAGACGTGTACAGGGGCGGCGAATACTGGAAGCAACGAGGCGGCGTGTCCTACGCCGACCTCGAAGCAACGCCTCTGGAAAAAGGCATGGCTCGCGCCATCATACACAACGGGGAATTATACGTCGTTGCCGTTCGCACCATGAGTGAAGACCACCGGCGCAAAATCGTCGCCACTCTCTCCGCCATGTACCGTGCTCTGGCTGCCTCGCCGGATCGCTCCACCACCCCCAACATTGAGTTTATCTTCTCTGTGGAGGACCGCGTAGACGATGTGGATGCCAATGACCATCCTGTGTGGGTGTTTTCGAGGAAGGCCTCTGAGGAGTCGGTGTGGCTAATCCCGGATTTTGGCTTTTGGTCTTGGGGCCACTTGAGCAATGACATCGGGCCCTATACCCAGGCTATTGATAAGATCCAGACTACTGAGGCCGAGAGATCGTTTCTGGACAAGGAAAAAAAGCTTGTCTGGCGGGGCAAACTGAGCTTCGCGCCTAAGTTGCGTCGTGCGTTGCTGGATATTGCTCGGAATCAGGTATGGGGCGATGTGAAGGAGGTGGATTGGAGTCGGAAGGCAAACTTTCTTCCGATGGAGGAACATTGCCGGTATATGTTTATTGCACATGTCGAGGGTATGTTTTTTTCACTCTTCTTCTTCTCCTTCTTCTCCTTCTTCTCCTTCTTCTCCTTCTTCTCTGATGATAAGGAATATACTGATATCCGATAACAGGACGCGCATATTCCGCATCCCTCAAATACCGCCAGGCCTGCCGTTCAGTCATCGTTGCCCACAAGCTTCAATATATTGAACATCACCACTACCTTCTCGTACCATCAGGGCCGCACCAAAACTACGTGGAAGTCGAAAGAGACTTCTCCGACTTGCCAAAGGCGATGGACCATCTCTTGCAGAACCCCGAAAAGGCACAAGAAATCGCCGACAACAACGTAAAGACGTTCCGTGAGCGGTATCTAACCCAGGCTGCTGAGGCATGTTACTGGAGGGCGCTGTGGGATGGCTGGGCAGAGGCCACGGCGAATATGGAACAGCCTTCGGTCCCTGTCTACCAAAGGGGCTTACGCTACGAGTCTTTCCTGCTGCTGGACAGTAGGGATATGCTTCAGTTTTCGTTTGCTCCGGATCAGTAAGACTGTATTATGATTGCACGATGGATATGTCATTTTGGTTTGTCATTTATGTAGATTTACTTGTTTTGGGGTTGCTGATGCTGGATTTTTGATTACTTGGAATTTGAATGCTTGCTGTAATTTAAAATTAATACATATATATATATATCACTGCGGGGGAGAAGAAGGACAATGATCGACCAGCAGTTACATAAATCAAGCCCTGGCGCCCAGAACCATGAACTGCGCTGACCAACTACTGTACACTATTCGCCTAGTTATGTACTTCACATTCAGTAAAAAAAAAAAAAAAAAACCAAAAAAAAAAATCACAGCTTCAGGGTGAACAAACACATGCATAACATAAGGCAGACAGACAGCCGCAGACAGTAACAAAGACGCTTCAAACTAAATTATAAGCACATGCATGGTTCGGGTACTGCGTTTCCATTTTTATTATACCATCTTTTTATATCAGTTGGAACCATCTACTCTGTACCAAGCCCTCGTTGTCTATGAAATATAATATAGAAACACACTCAAAATTAAACTCAAGTTCAAGGGTCTATCAGATAAATGTCTACGCATGCATACATGTGTGTATGTGTGTACCTGCGTATTGAAAGACACAACAATGACAGACACAAATAGGATACTCAGCTACTTCAACTACCCCAGTGGGGCTTTTTATTAGGCTAACTCGATGGGGAACTCAATCTGACGATGAAGGAAAGGGTCAAACGGGGTGAGGTCCAAAGGGAAGGAGGAAGGGGAAAATGAAGAAAACAGATGAGGCAAAGAACCATCCGAAATCACCTGACATAGTCAGGTGACCATCTCCCCTCTCACAGTATGTAGCGCAGACAGATATATACCACGTGCATGGAAGGCCAGATCAGGATTGTTCTAGGTGTTCTATGCAAGCAGGCAGCCAGCATGATATTCTGCAATACGATCATGCATTCGATTTGATCAATTGGTATTGGGGAAGTATGTATGTATGCAATGAAGATCTACATCCAGGTCTTTATAATTACCTCGGCAAAGTCTTTGGAAACATGAGTAATATCAATTCTTCTATACAGCAAGCTGATATCTTGTCATCATCATCCCTTTTTCTGGACAGCTTGGATGCAGCATCTATAACTACGTTCTTTAAATTAACCAGATGAAGTGATATTTCTCTTGGTACCAATACCGAAAAACATACTATCGCCAAACGACTTCAATCAAGGTTGGTCATGAGGGCCACGACCACTTCATCATCAGGTGGTGAATATCAGAAAAGTCGTATCCACTTCATCAAGGCATTGGAAAGCTTTCAAAAAGGACTCTTAAGGGATTGGCAGGGCGAGTGATTAGTTTATTATTGTTATTTTGGATTTGGCGAATCAACTTCATGCTTGGTCTTTAGTGCTTTGATACTTCTTGGTTGGAGTAGATTCGTCCAGTCAGGCAGAGAAGTGTAAAGCTAACGGTGAGGCGTCCTGGCGATCCCGCAGCTAGCAGCAAAATGAGAAGCAGATAGAGCAGAAGACTACGGCTCAGCAGGATGAGATCCGAAAGCGACCCGACGCCCTACACCGGCAGGCCCAGGAGATCAAATCGTTGCTGCAAGAGCAGAACTTGTTCGGGGCTGTGATAAGACGCTTGGTCTGCCAGCCGGTCCCCTCCTTCTCCCACGCTGCTCTCCACTGCTATTATGCTTCCACACCGGGCCCTATACTTAGTCCCGACTCCAAGTCACAGCCGGCTTCGTAGCTGGACCTGGATAAGTCCCTCCTCCCTAATCCTGTCACACTGTTCCCGCGGGGGGCTGTGACCCGGCACAAACGCGAGCCCCTGCAGGACAGCTTGCTTGGCTAACTTAGCTATCTCTTTATTATCAAGGATCCTCTCATGTGAGGAAATCTATTATAGGGTCACCTGGATCTGTAGCGGGCCTTGGCAGACAAGGCCAGCCTGCGGGACCGCATCACAGCCATGGAAATTTCCATGAAGCGTATCGAAGCCAACATCAGACAAAGTGCCTAACAAGCGGACTCGTCGCTCTCCTCCAGCGCAGCGGCTCGGTGGTGGAGCTTTCGGGCGGGCGAATGGCGTCAGGAGCAGCAGTACACCCCGGTCACCTCCTCGCAGGGATCCTCCGGCCGCACCGCCGACCCCGGGATACTGATCCGGGAACTTGTCGATGGTTGCGAGTTGGTGGTCAAGCTCCGCGACAGCGAGACCCGGGGCGATTCCGCAGGCTAAAAGCCCCCGGCATCCTGCAGCAGATATAACAGCCCCAGGAAAGCCACAGTCAAGAGAAACATGAGCATAGCTCTGGCAGGAAACACCTTTATCTGACCGTCCAGAGCTGCAAGAAAAAGGCAAGACCGCAGAAAAGTAGACCAGTCCCATCTGATCACTGTGACGACCGGTTATTTTGTCAAAACACGCTCATGACACGGACATATGCCGCTACACTTTTTTTACTGACTAACATCATCATGAATTGAATATTTGATAAGGCTCAAAGCCCCTAGCACACGGGGAATCTCGATGCGGACAAAACCATTTTTAGACTCACTTCGAATAGGTAATAGCTGATAGACGATCCGCCGGTCTAATATGGAGCTTTAGTGGGTCCGTGTTCTGCACCATTCCCATGTACAGGCATGGGACGAATCCAATAGAGCATTATATCGAAGCATGATGCTTTTATAGGTGGAACTGACAGCGTCCCAATCTATGACATCTGTGAGCAGGGAAACCAGTCAGCCATGAGTGAATGAAACAGAAAGAGCATCTGACACAGCATGACCAACCTGGATGCATGCTGGACAACAACTCAACTTTCCGCTGTTTACAACCTCGGTTCAGGAAACACGCAGCAGGTATTACTAGTATGATTTCATATCCTCGTTGGAATCTATTCATTACATAATTTTTTTTTTTACAAGTGGTTATCATATGTGCTCCCTGATAACCTCCTCTCCGGTCCTCTTCCGGGCGACGTCGTCTGGGTGACTTCAAACGTCTGGTGGATGCTCAAGCCCATCTCGCCCCCCCCATCATAGTATCCTGGTGATCGCTCCGATGTCAAGCCCTCTTCGCTGCTATTCGGACTGGAGGGGGATTTCCACGTGTCGTGTGGATCGCGCTGCGTCTGCACGGTAGTCACCGTCACCGCTAGCTTATCGGGGCGGAATCGGCGCTCGACGCTGGCATCCAACGAGCCCAGGGGGAACGGCCGTGTCGAGCCGGCGCCGTATTTTCTCGATGCGAGTGGGAGGGTAGGGGCGGGGTAATTGCTGTCGTTGCGCGATCCGAGCCAGTGCCGGAGCAGAGGACGGAGGGTGGCAAGGCTGCCGGCTGTGATACCCAGACCGGTTTCGATGTTGGACCATATGGCAATTTCTACCGTGGCGTCTGAGCGAGGGATGGTCAGTTTTTCGCTGGCGATCTCTTTTCAAACAGAAACGTACAGAGAAAGTCAGGGTCCCCAAATGTGTGCACCCAGGGTATGCGAATAATGACCGCTGCTGATGCGCTGCGCAATTCAAGTTAGCGGACTCCCAATGAGTAGTTGACATGGGAAAATAAAAGGGCGACCTACATGCAAGCCATACTCAAAATTCCCACCACGGCGAGCTTCGTCTGCTGCTTCATGTGGAGTTTCCGGACGAGAAAGATCGGCAGAAGACCAACCGTGAAATCACACACCGCTGCAAAAGCACTGTACACATACGTCATTGCGATGATAGTATCCATGTTCATGCAGTGGCCTTCGATACTCGGGTCGAAGGCCACTTTCAACCAGAAATACTGCAGGGGCTTGCACTGCAGGAGCATCAAAAACATGAAGACCAAGCCCGCGAGCACGGTGAGGATCATGACGATGTAAAGGGTCCAGATGTGGGTGCGCTTGACAGTGATGCGCATCAGGAAAATGCAGACGGAGATCTTGCACCCGATTGAGGCGAAACAGTATGCGACTTCGCAGAGCCACCAATACTTTTGACACGGTTAGGACATCGAGATGTAGTGGACCAACGGATCATATTGGCTAAAATACCTTCATGGCCGTCACCCGCTCATGTGCCGTAAGCACCTCATATTTCCGCCCAGTACCATACAGAGACCCTCCGATCATGCAAGCCGAAAACATGACATGGAACAACTATTGCTGTGTTAGCCAAATCCCTTGCACTTGCACCAAACAATCACAGAGCGCATATACCATCGCCAAAACCATCGCTCCGTCATCCCAGCCAAACGCCTTCACTACCCATCCACGCACGTAACATCGCAGCATCACAGCCACACAGGCCACCGACATAAAAACAGCCGCCACCGACCTCACCTCCAAACTTCGATCATCGGCGGTCATTATGGCGGCGTAGGCGAATCATGGGGAGAAAATCACTGGGGAAGAACATCTGGTATTATACCCTCGGGGATTCTTTCAACTCTTCCCCTAATATCGATGGAATCTGGTGCAAAGTCTACGCGGATCCGTTCTCTCCCTAGCGTCAACATGGGGAGGGGGCAGAGGGGGCGACCCAGACTATTCTAGTGTACCACTCAGCGACCAGGGACTAGTGCAGAGCTACGAACGAGTTCTGAATGGTCCCTCGTGGGTAGTGCATCTCAAGAGCGGACTAGATGCGCTGGGCACCACGAAGAACCGGCCCAGCGGTATACACCGCGAAACAAACCTCAACATAGGAGAGTTTTGTTTTTTTTTTTTTTTTTTTCTTTGCCTACCAGGAGGATAGCGTGGGCGTCGGCTCCGGTAGCGATCAAGGCCCGAGGAAACATGTGGACCACATTCATCGCCATATGGGTGTGGGCACGATGTTAGTGTCTTTAGGGTGGTGAGTTGCCGTCCTATTTGTGACCGGGGGGTAGTATATCTCAGGCAAAGCAGGCAAATCCAACTCCGCTCATACGATCAATTGCGTGGATTCACCCCCCTCGAGTCCCATGTTTCAACCATCCTCCCGTATCATCCAGGTTCCTCTGATTTGCCGACGGGGAATTTTCCAGAGGAACCAAGCGACCGGCGATCCACTCCTACCCAAACCAGAAACTGCCCCATGAAATTGAAAGCCTCCGCCAATCATCCACCACGTACTGGGTCCTTCCTACTTCGAAAGGAGCAGAGATTTTGGATATCTGTCTAGTCTAGATCTCTGCCGGGGCTAGCGAGGCCATGGATCTGAAGAGTCAAGAGTCTCAAGTCTCAAATGCTCAACCCAATAAGTGAGACATCAGGTCTAACGTTTTTTTTTTCACCAAGCATGTCACGGACATGACACATGTCAACCACGCCTTGAAGAGACCCTGACGAACGACCTCGAACCACGGTCCAATGGCATGTGCTCCCAGGGTGCCCTGAGTATCAACGTTGCGGTGAAATGAACAAGGGCGCGCCAGCTCCACAACGACAGGCATTCATCGGCCTCAACAGACCAACTTGCAGCAGGGTTGCAGATTACAGTACATCGATTCTCGACGATCAATTGCCGGGATTGCCTCCCTAGTGTTTGACTAGTAAGAAACAGGACTGGCTGACCTTCACCACCTTCAGATGCCGCACTACCGAGACGGCGTCCTCAGAATAATGATCCCTCTTCGGGCTGGCTGACTCGATTGTCCGTCCTGGATCAACACCAGCTAAGGAAGCCGCCGTTCTCGCCATTGTATGGTCGTGTCCACTAGCTAGCTTCTTCATCTACTACCGGAAGTTCTAAACCATAATGTTCCTTCCATTCCTTTCCCTTCGTCCTTCGCGCCTCTGCCGATCATGACTAACAAAATATAAATAACCACGATTTCTGGTGCTAAATCAGACTAGGCTAACCAAACAACCAAAACAAGTCTACGCTCCCGGATACGACATCTTCCACAGCCCTGACCCCTTACCCGACTCAACCACCCAGCTCCTCCTCCCCAACTCAGACTCGCCGATCCACACTAGGTAATAGGTACATCCCAGAGCTGAGCCCCTTAAAGTCCCAGGGGACAGCTGGACAGTGACAGGAGTACAGCGTATACCCACGCCATGACATGCACACACCACGCCGATCCGCCATGACATATCAATCATCTTGCACATAACGAGCTGGCATCCCTATCTGAACCCGAGGCTGCTGTCCTGCACAGCTCTGCCTTTCCTTCGTTGTAACCCCATCCTCCTCCTCCTGCAGCCCCCGGGAAAAGCTTGGCCTAGTTTCCTCCATTGACTCCATCAATTGATAATTAACTTTTCGTGTTTAATTAATATAATCTATCGGTGATTAATTAATGAGGTGGCCGGTGCATTAGATAATCTTTTTTTAATTATCACGAGAAGGAACGTTCCCCGGTCTCTCCTCTTTTTCTATTCCTTTTTTGTTTCTTTCTCCGCGGGGCTCTTAATATATTCTGCTGTTGTGGGGTACCCTAGACCTTGTTGCTCGCCTTTACCAAGGTAGTAATGATTAAATTGGTGATATTGGCTGGCTGAGCCTCGCTATCTTCGTGTCTCGTCTACGTAATGCAGTGATTGGAAAGACGGGTTCTCTGTATGGGTGCTACGGAGCTAACGAACTACAGGTAGATTAAGAGGCGAACGCCCATAGACGGCAGATGCACATTCAGCTTCGTTTCGCATTGCTAACCTCATGTATGTACTAACCAAGCACGTGTAACTTTGATCTAGCTGTCGGGACCGGAATCGGAGAGTGTGAGGTTCGCCACGCGAGGCAAATCAACACTTGGCACAGGGTAGTCCAGGCCCGCGTGTGGTCTCCACATGTTTTGTTGTTTTTTTCTGGGCAAACCAGAGAGATGCTTTGTTCAGGTGGGACTTCTTATTTTATCGCGCCCGGAATAGATACTTGTATATTGGAAGTATCAAGCTCTGGCGCTGAGCCTAACTGCAGATGCATGTCTGCGCTGGCTCATATCGGGCAGTGGAGTATGTATCTAGAATTCCGTCGCAGCGTCCGTCGCAGCTTCCGTCGCAGCAGCCTCAAGGGCCTTCTTCTTGCCCTTCCGGTAGAAGCGCTCGTCATTCGGGTCGAAGCCTCCATTGCCCCACATGGCCCATTCCTCCGTCTCTCTCATATAGTCTTCAGGGCGGAAAGAGGTACCGTCGGCATTTTCCTTCTCCAGAAGCTCGAAGAATCGTTGGTAGTCGATCCGCGAATGCCACTTCCCGTCGACGTGGAATCGCTCGGACGCGAGCAGCACACAACAGCTGTGCGCGTGCTCGGCCGCAATGCCGTAGTCGAGGCCGCGGCGCTCCAGCTCCTTGTTCAAGGAGACCACAAATTCGGCGATCTCTTCGTAGAACGGGACGTTTTTCATGGTCAGCCCGGCACCTGCACTGGAGCTCGTGCCGCAGTATGTTACGCCCTTGACTTCCACGAAGCATGGGAGGGCCTTTTCGACCAGATCTGCGTAGCCCTTGACTTCGTCGTCCACGTTGAATCCTTTGACGAGGGTGAGGCGGAACACCGTGCGCTGGACATGACGCTTTTCGCGCAGGATTTCCAAGCAACGTTGGAAGCGTTCCCAGAAGTCTCGGTGGAGCGGACGGTCAATCTTGCGCAGACTCTCCTTGTTGCTCGCGTCGATAGACACGTACAACTGAGTCACGCGATGCAACGTTTCCAGCTGGTCGGGATGCTGGGCGTTGCACACCAGGAAGCTCGATATATGCTCCGCGTGCAACAGGTCCAGGAATCCGTTGATGTAGGGGTAGAAGATGGGTTCTCCGACTAAACTCAGAGCACAGTGCCGGATGCGCATGGCCTCGGCGAATCGCTCTGCGCGCACACCGGGAACGCCGCGCAGCATCTTGATCTTCTTGTAATGGCCATCCTTGACGCCATCAAAGATCAGCTCCGGAGAATCCACCTTCCAACGCCATGTGGTACCGACGGGGTTCGTGCCATGTCGCCAGCAGAAAATGCATTTGTTGCTGCAGGAGAGCGACGGGGTGGCTTCCATACACAGATGCGACCGGATACCGTAAAACGAATATTTGTAGCAGGAGCCCCGACCACGCAGCGCCGACTTGGTCCAGCGACAAATCTTCACGCCAGAGTGAGAGCCGACGATGGTATATCCTTGCTTGGTGAGGGAAGCGTAAGTAGGCGATGTTTTCGGAACCATTTCTTTCTCAGTCGATTGGGTGGAAGGTGCAGATTGCCCTCCGGTGGTGAAGTCAACCGGGATGGGAGCAGCTGAGCCGGAATCACCAGCGCCCATCTTGATGTCCTCCAGATCAACCACTGCCTGAGGCTTACCCCGCTTCCGACCATTCTTGTTGCTCTTGCCAGACTCTTCGTCATCCACATCCTCCTCGTCACTCTCGAGAGCATCTCCACTCCCGGGAACGCCTTCGCCCAAACCGCCGTAATCCAGTATGTCCCGCATGATATCCTGCAGTCCACGGGACCATTCCTTCAAAGCCGCTTCGCCGTCACTCTTCACGTCTCCAAATCCAAGAGGGTACGCCCTTTTGCGGCCCGTGAGCTTCGCCATCCATCGATCCAGCTCCTTGGCTTGGGAACAGAAGCCTTCATCCTCCGTCGGCCACCCCTCCTTGTCTCCGAATCCAAAAACAGTGTACCCGGCGAGCGTCGACAGGGATCCAGTGTCGATGCGGAAGTCATTGTGGGTCTCATCCAAGTGGCCAAGGAAGGTGGTAAGGACCGTGTCAATATTGTAGGTGGGGATCAATAGGCAGTACAAATAACGCGTCCCAGGCGAGTTCGGCGGAGGCTTTGGCGCGGTGGTGAAGAAGTCGTCAAAATCCAGGTACGAGATGTCCTGCAGCTGAGGAGGCAGAATACCGCGTTCGGGGTTCTCCGCGTCGGCTTGGTCTTTGGCTGCAGTCGTCAGCTCCTCCATCAAAACCTTGGCGTATTGTTCCGTAGTCCCGGTCAACGAGGCGAAGAAGACGATGGGCTGGATGGCAGACAGCTGCGGCGCCGGCTCTGCTCCAGCACGTCGACCAGCAACCTTGGCCGGTTTCTTTCCCGACACTCTCTTTGGGCCTGCAGCTGCCGCCTTGGGGGCGTCGGCGGGGGTGGGGGCGGGGGCGGGGCGGTCGCGCGCATCGTCAAGCTGCGCCTTTTCGCTCTTCTCGGGGGAGTGGCTCCGGGGGGAGGTGGGGTTCGAAAAGGCAGAAGCGGCCTTTGACTTCGATCCGGTGATGCCAATCGTGCGCGAGACGAGGAGGGCAGTAAAGAGGATCACGAGGATGGGCACACGGTAGGCGTGCCAGAGGGTCAACAAACCTATGAAGTTTGAGTTAGCAATCCATACTCTACCTCTCGAAATTGCTTCCCTAGAACGAATCAAGAAAGGACTTCATTTCTTACCCTCGACCAGAGATCCTTGTGCCATGGCGACGGGAAGTTAAACAGCCGTCGGCTTCAAATGCAGCGCGCGGGGAAAATATGGTGCACGACCAGGCGGTCGGAGAATTGTGGGCGGAGGAAATTATCCACTATCTAATCAAGAGGGGCAGACATCGCAGTGTTGGCAGAAACACTTGAACTGGAGTGGTGATAGCCTTGACTTCTCGACAATCCAAGACGGTCGACGTGCAGGAAAAATGAAGTTTGAGATTGAAGACCATCGAGTCGTTTATCGATCATGACTAACCGGCGTGACTGCCTGAGGACTTTTTTTTTTCGGATTTTCAGGGACTGCCTGATTGGCCAGGCTCCTCTGGCTGCCACTTACCTGATCGGGAAGTCTCCACCGTTTGTTGCCTGGGGCCGCAGTGTTGATATCAGATGTCAATGAGAACTTTCATGGATGTCGCTCTGAAGATTTCAATAGTTGATGCAAGTAGACTTTTTGGGGGAACTTGTGAGAATAAAACAAAGGTCTAGGTGTGTTATTTACTTCATGATATGGAATTTACTAATTAAGCCAAATATGGTGGCAGTGAAGCCCTAAGTACATGGTGGGATCTACGATAGTCTCTGGCCATGTTTTTGCGATCCTGCAAATATTCTGCGAGAAACGTTTCATAGTCATCATAATCATCAAATCATTCATCTTTTTGGCCGTTTCATCGGTCCTCCCACATACTACAGGGCTTGGTCAGCTCCATTTGCTCCTATTCGGTTTGGCAGTAATGAGAGTTGTTAGTCGTCCAAGCCGAAAGGTGCTTGTTCACTCCAATCATGGCACTGTAGCCGCTGATGTTTGATCAGAAGATGATCGATATGTTAGCAAACATATCGGGCTGAATCTTGGTGCGTTAGCAAGTGCGGAGAAGGCGGCTGATCTTAGCCTTAATCCAGTATGGGCAGCCTTGTCCTATTGCCTAGTTGGAGACACGTTTCCATGCAATGGACTTTTCTTCTTTTAACTATCTTGAAGGTTTTCTAGGAAGCGAAGAAGTGCTATAATCGTTCCCTCTTGAATTAGTCTCGCCAAGACCTGCGATCTATACTTGAATTCGGTATCTAGATGTTCATTTTCATTCCAGCTTTCATTCCATAGCTTGGTACTAGGGAAACGTCTTAGCCAGTGCACCTAAGATCTGAACGGCAGTTTGGGAGGGCTTGAACTGACTGATATCCCCAGCAAAACATGTCACCCACTTGAAAGAAGCTTGGCAATGTTTTTAAACGCAAGAAGAGAAGAGAAGTCGGGAATGTTGGTCCTAGCCCAGTGCACTCACACATCCCCCCTGCGCCGACTAGCAGCCCGAATACGATAAGAAAATCTCCTGGAGTCGAGTCTCAACACTCGAATGATAATGAACCAGAAATGGATTGGAAGATGCCAAGGCCGAGGTGTGCTTGATCGAGCAGCGCCGTACAAAGGAAAAGAACACCGAAAATGATCCCACAATGGAGCATGCGAATGATGCCCGTGATCTTGTTCGCGACACATGTAACCAGAAAATTCCAACAACAGAACACCAAGTTCAACATAATTTGGCCAACAACAGGGCGGAAAATAGTCTAAAGTCAGGCAAAATGGAGTTCCGAGGACTTTGGGAAGAGGCGTATGAAAAGCTTCGAAAGGATGAGGGCAAGTTGATTGAAAAATACGAGAAGTATCTATTGGCATCAAAAAATAACGACCAATCGGAAAAGACGGGCGAGCATTGGGCACAAGTGCGGTTTGAAATCCGAGACCTTGCCGACCAGAAAATCAAGGAGATAGGAGACAAGCAGGTCCTGCTGAGGGTGGGGGGCGAGATGGAGGTTGCGAAAGCTGCCGGCCGAGACGTCGCGCAGCGGATAGTCCACGGTATTATGAGGACCAAAGATGTTATCTCGGCTGCAATAGTTAACGAACCTCATGCTGCGTTGGTCTGGGCTGGAGTCCTCGTAGTCTTGCCGGTATGTGTCTGTTGTACTCTCGTTGCTTTGATACTTGACTGAATGTCCCTCAGGTGCTTTTGAACCTTGTTCTGCAAGATGAGAAAGCTATTCAAGGATTGAACACGATCTCGGAGCTGGTCATACGCTGCCATTATATGGAAGAGTCACTTTTCAAGTATGTACGCATCTCAACCCGAGAATCTCTTATGCTGATTCCTTAAAGTGGTTTGAATGAAACCGGGGATCCGAAGACAACTCAGGATCTCCACGAGCATCTGAGGACCAGCATAATTTATATGTATTCCATGATCTTGAACTACCAAATATGTGTCACAAGCCATTACTCCAAGTCAAAATTTTTTCAAGGTGTTGATAACCTTGTAGTGAGGAATGACTGGGACGACATGTTGCAAAATATCAACACAGTACACACCAACATCATTCAAGATCTGGACCACAAGCAACGTGATACTGTTAAAAAGATTGATCAAAAGATGACAGACCTTCAGGCAAATATCGAGAGGGGGTTACAAGAGATACAAAATGATATTAAAGTGGGTGAAAACAGTATCAAGTGACAAGTGTGCTTTTCGCTGACGTTTTGGAAGGAAGTTCGAGACCAACAGCTTCTTGACAGACTGGGTGCCGTTGGAAACGCGGGGTTCAATGCACAGGCTCAAGGGGGAATCCAATGCTTTCCTGATACCCAAAAATCCATACTTCATCAAATCCAATCCTGGATCGATGAGCCTGATGGACCACCCATTTTCTGGCTTCATGGAATGGCTGGCACTGGCAAGTCCACTATCGCTCGAACAGTGGCTACCAAAATCCATAATAAAGAGCGTTTTGATGGCACCGAATCCTGGCCCCGCGAGACATTGCTAGGAGCCAGCTTCTTTTTCAAACAAGCTGACCCTAACCGCAATCACCCGGGAAAGCTCTTCCCAACTCTTGCAAGTGATTTTGTATATTCTCTTCCTGATCTACACCCCCCCGTCTGCACGGCTATCCGCGACAATGCTAGCATCGCGGACCAATGGTTGAAGGACCAATGGACGAAGCTGATTTTGAAACCTTTGGAGGAACTACAAGAGAAAGTTTATCCCTGCCCCACCATTGTGATTGTTCTTGATGCACTAGATGAATGCAAGGCGACAAGTGACAACAAACAGACTAGCAACATAACAATCTTGTTAGACGCCCTTGGTCAACTCAAAAAGCTGGACTTATTGAGAGTGAGAGTCCTTCTCACGAGCAGACCAACGCCTGATATTGAACGTCGGTTCAAAGGACATCACAGCTACGACGAGGAGACGCTTCAAAAAGTCGCTGTATCAAACACGGACAACACAGACATCCATCTCTATCTAAGACACGAATTGGCAATTATCAAAAACGAGTATGATCTTGGGGGAGATTGGCCTGGGTCTGTCAACCTAGAACGGCTTGTTAAGAAAGTCGACGGGCTTTTCATTTATGCTGCTACAGTCTGCCGATTTCTGAACGAGCCCGGTTTTTACGATGACCCGGATGACCGGTTGGCGATGGTATTTGATAACGAAATGGGTGCTGATTCGCCCCAGGAAAACCTTGACAGACTGTATGTGGAAATTCTTAACGTTGGGCTACGGGGAAACAAGCACAAAGTCGAAATATTCAAGTATATCATCGGATCGATTGTGGTTCTTCACCACCAGCTTTCGCCGAGGGCTCTTTCTCGATTGATATATCCCACAGTGAAGGAATCCAAAACACAAGAGCAATGGGCCAAGGTTTCAAATTGTTTGAGTCGCCTTCACTCGTTTCTGGGAATTCCCGAAGACTCCGAAGATAATCAAAGTCCAATCCAACTCTTGCATTCATCCTTCAGAGACTTTCTGCTTGACGACGGCAGATATGACGGAGATTTCCACATAGATGAGAAGAAGGCTCACGAGGGGGTTTTCAAACGCTGCATCGAAATCATGCAATACTATCTACGACGAAAAAAACATATGTCAGATTGAACATGTTGCCACTCGTGCTCATGAAGTCCAAGATACTCAAATCGACCAGTATCTTCCTAGGCACGCTCAATATGCATGCTGTCATTGGATGTATCATCTTGAAAAAAGTGACATCTGCGATGGATATGCTCTCCTTGAATTTCTCCGAGCGTGCTTTACCCACTGGGTAGAAGCCATGAGCTGGATTAAGAAAACGGGGGAAGGTATCCAAATGCTGGACGCCCTTCGTATCTACATCTCTCAAAAGACAGTGAGTGAAACTCGAAATATCAGAGTCGAGATAAGACTGACACAATATTACCAGTATAAACCATTCACTGAGTTACGCAGTTTTGTTGAAGATGCGAGGCGTTTTCTCAACGCTTTCAGATCAACTATCGAGGAAGCTCCTTTGCAGGTGTACGTTTCTGCTCTTCCGTTTGCTCCCAAGAAAAGTGTTGTCCGGCAGTGCTTTGTGAAAGAGATCCCGGAATGGATTGTAAGGCATCCAAGCGTCACAGATCATTGGGATACCTTGCTACACATGCTTCACGACGGCGACCGATCATTTTGCTGCTGTGACTTTTCGCCAAGTGGAAATTACGTGGCGTCGGGATCTGACACCGGAACGATACACTTATGGGATGTTTCTACCTGGAAATGTCAACAAGTGTTAGAAGGACACGAAGGTAGTATGTTGGTGTTAACATTCGTTTCCGAATCCCTGCTGGCGTCTACGTCACTGGATCGCACCATTCGGCTATGGTATTTAGACACTTCTCGTTCGAAAGTACTGGACCTTGGACATCGTTTCAAATTTATAACCGGATCGCCTGATGGCAAAAAACTTTCATTTGGTGGCCAAGAGAACGAGTTGGCCTATCTCTATCTCTACGACCTGGAGACAGAAATATTATCACAGAAGATCGATATCAGCCCAAATAGCAAAGTTTGCTTTTCCCCAGACAGCACACTGATAGCCTTCAACTGCGATGAGAATAAGGTCGAGCTCTGGGACACCGCTCAAAATAGCTTTCTGAGGTCTTTTGTCTGTGTTATTGGTCCAGTGAAATTGGCCTTTTCCCCTAATGGCAATCTCCTCTACGGTTCCTCTTTACATGATACTGTTACCTCATGGGACGTGGTAACAGGGGACGCTTGTACTTGCATCAGTTACGATGAGTATAGTGATCACTACAGCTGCAGTGCGTTTTCACCCAATATGAGATATATCGCCATGGTCCGGGACTACAAATTGCAACTCGGGGATCTGCTCACTGGTGAAAAGACAACATGCGCCCTGTCAATTGATCTAGATTCGTACCATTTGGCTATGTATTTGACTTGGACTCCAACAGGAAAGCAGGTTGTTGTTGGCGACTGGGATTTTGTTCAAATTTGGGATCTAGCGGCTCAGACAACAGTCAAAACCATTCGAAATTCATCTCTGATCCTGCCACATAAATTCCAAATTTCCCCGGATGAGCGATTCATGATAAAGTGTGGTAGATATTCTCTATGCATTTGGGACCTTACTCTAGACACATCGGATGGTGCAGATGAGTTTTATGGAAATGGTGTCAAAAGACTAGCATTCTCCCCACATTGCGACAGAAACCTGGCGGTGACAGATTGTAATGAGGGAGCATTACGGTTCTGGAAGAGTGACACCGGAGACTTTGTGCGCACACTATATCTGCCAGATGATATGGGTACTTTGTATAACTTCGCCCCGACCTATGGGGCACTGACCCTCTTTTCTGCAAATTGGAAGAGGATTTTGTACGGACGTGTAAACAGATCAATCACTATCTGGGATGTGACTACCTGGGAACTTTTGAGGACTCTACCTTGCACACCGTCATACCCTGTGGTGGCTACCTTCTCACCGGATGGGACTCTCGTGGTGACAGCAGATGTCGATGGGATTGAATTTTGGGATGTTGAAACTGGGGACAAATTGACGACTATTAATCATGAGACGAGCCTACCCCGATTTCAAGGCAGCTGCCCACAACAAGTTCACCGATGGTATCATTTTCGAGAACGCGCAATGGATTCACCGAAAGACCCAATGAAGAGGACGCCTGTGTGTGCTACAATTTCCAAGAGGGGAGGCCACCTAGCCATCGGTTATTCAGATGATTCAGTCGCGATATTCAATTTCCAAACAGGCGAATTAATCCGCTACTTATCGCAAACAACTTCTCCTCACACGATAGCGTCTTCTGCAGAGCTGCTTGCATTGGCCGGAGATTTCATACAGATTATTGAACTAGCCACTGGCAGAGAATTAGGGCTTGTTTCAGTTCACCACACAATCCAGCAGTTGGCTTTCTCTGAAGATGGGACGCGTCTTAATACAGAATGGGGACAATTTCAAATTGCTTCGATCATTCATAACCCGAACCCTGAGTCAAAACTACTGAGCGAGGGTATTCATTACGACAAGAATTGGATCTGGCATGGTGGACAGCAAATTATCCTTGTTCCGCATGAACATAGGCCAAATGGAAATCACAATTTGCTCAGTTCTTTTTATTCCGATGGCATCCTTGCCATGGGAACTGCTACTGGCAGGGTTTCTATGATCGGGCTAGATGGCTTAGATATTGGGATACTATGATAAATTATATAGCATATTCTCTCCTAGGAATGAAAGATCTCAGTCACTATACCAAAATGCCGAATGATTATATGTTCTATTTTCCCATCAAGCAAATCCATTTTCAGACAGAGAGTCGCCAGCCTAGACTTGGCCAGTTGTGGCTTGCTTTGAAGCATCGGGGCATCTGTTATAGTCCTGCCATTCATGACCCTGATAACGTATCTCACTAGCGAGCCGTGCACACCACCGAGCCGTTCACCACCCCCGCCAGCAACACCACCCAACAACTTTATATAGCGATATCTTGGTCAAATTAAGCGATATGAAGCCCAAAATAAGTTCATTTAAAAGCTTTTAAGCAGCTCTACAATGCGTACGCTTATAGCCAACTATACCACAATTAGTACACTTTAGTGGCACCCGCTTGCGTGGTTAGTCTGATGCCTCCGCGGTAGCTTAATCAGCTTAATCAGCTTGAATAGCCTCCTTAATCTGTTTCTCTACCTCTTTCCCAGTCAAGATACCATCCTTTTATAGTACTCTCTTAGTTATTTCTCACTTTTATATCTGCTAGCGGTTCACAGCGCGTAGATCACCTACTTCTCGCTTTAAAAGCGCGGCATTTCCCATGACCATATAACACCCCTTTATAATTCCTGATATAGCATTCTTAAGTGGGCTAGAAGAACTTCTTAACCACCGCTCCCATATACACTAAAGCAAGGCAGATCACTTAACCAGCTGCCGGGTGGTTATAGACATTATAATAACTAAGCTAGTTAATTTACCTGAGCTAGAGAGAGGTGGAGAGATCCTAATATTAAGATACTTAAAGTCCATAACCTGATCAGGATTATATGATACTAAGCCCGCAGCTATAAAGCTAGAGATAACATTCTCTGCTTGAAAAGCATGAGATCATACAGCTTGATATAGCTTCAAGAAATCAGCTTTATCCATATAATTAACTCCCGCGCAGATATAATCCTGTACTTAACTCTCATAAACTTTTTTAAACAGGCCAAAGCAACCAATATCAAGCAGTTACAAGAGATACGATAAATAGAGAGATAAATATAACAGTATTATTCTATTCTCACCACAGAAGTGTTCAAATTAAGTAATAAAATAACTATTATAGTTATCCAGAACTAGGAGCCGGTATGCCCTTATACAGCAATTCTTTATATACAAATTAAATACTTTCTCTATCTAATATCGCCCTATTTTATCTGTAGTCCAGCTATTAGGGAATACAGTAATAAACCAGTTCTTTAACAGCTCTTTATACCAAGTATCTGGATACTTCTTGCCCTTAAAGATAATTAGTAAAGACAAGATATAGCTAGTTATATTAGTAGCCTCAATCACAGTCACCCATTCGCGATTTCCAGGCTGAATATAACACAGCCAAGTAATATCTTACACAAATATAACCTAAAGATTACCACAGTCTTAATTTCTATATAAAATTATATATAAATTAGACTAGAGCATACCTTGCAAGTTAATATTAATCCTATTAAGAAACCTGTCTCATTAAAGTTATAGATATCTTCATCTATAATACCATACTTTCTTATTATATTCTTAAATAATAAGAACCAGGCCTTTAGAACAGCTAGATCCTTATAACACGCGTGTTAGTAATTATATCAGCATGTATACCAGAAGCAAAGCTCTTCATAACATTTTATAAAGCAAGAGACCCAGTTCTCTCCAACAGGTTTACCAGCCAAGATACTAGCCATTTCTCATACATGTTAGTAACGGGGAGGTAGCCCACGTTAATCTATATCTAATATACAGTCTTTTAGGACCAGCTCAGCAGTTAGAAATAGGAGAGAGCTATTAGAAGATAATTCAACACATGATTAACAGCTATTTAAGCAGTCGCGTAATGTCTGAACTTTAATATCATATAGTTTCGCAGCAGCCTGAATAAAGTAAACTTAATAACTTTAAATAGCCTGAAGAGCAAGAATTATTTTACCCTCATTTTAAATAGCTTCAGAGCGCCTTTTGGGAGGCATATTAATAGTTAAATTAGTTAAACTATGATTGATAATAGAGGCGGTGAACAGCTCGGTGGTGTGCACGGCTCGCTAGTGAGATACGTTATGTGTATTGATTACATAATACGCTTAAGCAAGTGCATAACTGCGATAAAAGCAGCCTGAGGCATCACGGTAAACATCCCCGCATTCCTGGCTCTTTTCCCAGCCACTTCTGGATCAAAAGAGCAGTTGGCCGTTTAGATGCCGCTGATTTCTATCTTTACATGATACATTTCCATGCTGAGGCCCAAATCTGATTCAAAATGTCACCCAAACAAAGTCTAGAGGCCGAACGCCCGCATGAGGCCAGACAAGCATTATCACCGAGTTATCACATCGCCAAAACATCGTTGACCCAGCGGGTCCAGACTCTCGCCCTGGCCATCTTCCTGGCATGTTGTTGCTTCACCGTGACCAATGCGCTCTCGTCCCACGAGCCCCTCAGCATTGAGGACCGGGTGAACCGAATCCTGTCACGCACGCCGTTGATCGGTAGGACACCGAAATGATTCCGTGCGACGGCACGTGCTAACCACCGACTGGTGTAGACGGCCACAATGATCTGCCTATTTTCGTCCGTGAGAACTTCAAGAACCGAATCTACCAGGAGGATTTCACGGCTCCCTTCACCCAGGGCGGATTCCCAGGCCATGTCGACATTCCGCGGCTGTCGGAGGGCAAGGTGGGCGGCACGTTCTGGAGTGTCTTTGTGGGGTGTCCTGCGAACGGATCTGACTTCTCAGACGACAACTATACCAAGAGTATGCTATCAATGACTATACTTACCACGATGCATCTGGTAGGAGCCGTAAATCACTGACAAAAGTAGGTGTGCGCGAGACGGTCGAGCAGATCGATGTCATGACCCGCCTGCAGCAAGCCTACCCCGACACGTTCTCCACGCCCCCCAACGGCACGACCGCACGGCAGGCCTTTGAAGACGGCAAGATTATCTCGCCCCTGGGCGTCGAAGGCCTGCACTCGATCGGTAACTCGCTGGCCTACCTGCGAGACTTCCACGCGCGGGGCGTGTCCTACGCGACCCTCACGCACAACTGCCACAACCGCTACGCCGACGCGGCCGTTCTCAGCACGCCCGACGGCGGAGTGAAAAAGGCCGAGCCCCTGTGGCACGGCGTCAGCCCGGCGGGCCAGCAGCTGGTGCTCGAGATGAACCGCCTAGGGATGATCGTGGACCTGTCCCACGTCAGCGCCGACACAATGCGCGATGTCCTGGGCGCGGGGGAAGACGGGTGGGCGGGCAGCCGCGCCCCGGTCATATTCAGTCACAGCTCCGCGTACGCCCTGTGTCCCCATCCGCGCAACGTCCCGGACGACGTGCTGGACCTGGTCCGCGAGCGGAACTCGATCGTCATGGTCAACTTCTCACCGAGCTTCATCGCGTGCGTGGCGTCCGACCAACCGGACGGCATCCCCGACCCGGATCCAGCCCACGAAACGCTCGCGCGGGTGGCGGAACACATCGTTTATATTGGGGAGCGTGCGGGGTTCGACCACGTCGGCCTCGGAAGCGACTTTGACGGCATTCCCACGGTGCCCCACGGCCTTGAGGACGTGTCCAAGTTCCCCGCGCTGGTTGCGGAGCTGCTGCGACGCGGGGTGAGCGACGCTGACGCGGCCAAGGTGGTGGGGGGGAATCTGCTGCGGGTGTGGGCGGAAGTCGACCAGGTTGCGCTTGAGATGCGCAAGGAGGGCGCCCTTCCGGCAGAGGATGATCTCTCGTAAATCCCGCGTTGGATCTACCATGTCTAATTTTTCTTGATTTTGGTTTTGGTTTTATTTTCATTTTTATTGGAAGAAAACCAGACCCGTAAGCCCAAATCATCTACCATCAAGCATTAGTCGTCACCGTTCTGATATCCGGCCGTGTATCGAAGATCAGTGTACACGCTGCGAAGCGAAGTCTATCAAACCCAGGCAAAAAAAGAAAAAAAGAAAAAAAAAACCCCCGCATCCAACATAAAGCAAAGAAACCACAGCCGTATTAAACCTTAGCCTTGGCCGCCCCCAATCCACTCTTGACCATCTCAAACCCTCGCAGGAGCGTCCGCGCCTGGTCGCCAATCGACCGATACCTCTCGCAACCATTTGACTCCCTCAGCTCGTCCTCCGCGACCCAAGCATAGTCTTGGTGCTCCGTCTGGTCGACGCGCACCCGATCCTCCCAGCGCAAACCCTCGGTACATCCATTGCCCTTGATGACGCAGCTGCTCCCAGAAGCGAACACGAGGCCGTCAGCCTCATGGACCTCCACCAGAAAGGTGTACTTTGCGAAGCGACGCATCGTGCCCCTCTTGACGTCCACCCACTCGTCCATCCCAATAAGGTCCACCACCTTGGACACGTGCAGGCCGGTCTCTTCGAAGATCTCGCGCGCCATGCCGGCCAGAATGCTCGCGTCGCTGGATTCGCACGATCCGCCGGGTCCTTCCCAGCAGCCTGGGTAGGAGTCGGACAGGGAGCGCTGTAAGAGGAGGACGGACGGCGTCTGTTGTGTGGCGCTGGAGGCGTGCGAGAAGATGTGGCCGCCGACGATGAAATGGGTGTATTGTGGCTTGGAGGCCATGAAGATGCCTAGGGGGGCATTGTATTCGGCGAGGTGGGGGGCGTAGGTGTAGTCTTGGGTCGTAGCGGTGACGGTGGTAGTCATTGTCCTAGTACTAGTATACTGTACTTCGATTATACTGTAGTAACTGTGTACACCGTGTATAGTTGCAGTATACTGTGTAGTAGTGGATAGTAGTTGTATGGTAGTTGTATAGTAGTGTGGTGGTAGTATAGTATAGTAAGTACTGTGTAGATGAAAACAACGGATCGTCCGTAGGATGGTCACGAATATAAGTATTGGGGGAATCAGGCACCGAGAATATCCTTCCAGTTCTCTATTTAATTTATTATAATCCAATAAAATAGATATATAATATCTATAATATTTATTCTATATTTTTCATGGTAAATGTGATTCTATTGGCGACCCAGATCAACGGGACTGACTGGCTGACCGCCTTTTCACCGCTCTGGCCGCAGATCTTGTCGCTCTCCATGTCGGTCAGTCGCGTCTTCTCCCGTTCCTGAATCTACCGGTCGTACCAACTCTCTCCTCCACTCGATACATCATTCCTTATGGTCTCCAGATCCACCCCTCGGGGTTGATGGATTCCTCGCTTCGTGTGACCCAAATTAATTACCCCCGTCTCGTTGCCTGATGAGGTCAAGTGGACATGAGAAGTGGGAGTCAAGTGGAAGTGTTCATAAGACAAGGTCTGACCCTGTCTCTCTGACCGCAACGTTCGCCGCTGAGTTGTACCCCAGCTGTGTCTGCGATCCAATCTGCTTTCTTTGTCTTGGGCGCACAGAGCGGTCTACGAGACAACCTACCTGCCGACCTACCGACTAACCTAGCTCCTCACACCGAGCTTCCTTCATGCGGGTATCCTATTCGTGGAGATCCTATTCGTGGAGATTCCTATTCGTCCACCGGACGAATAGGTAATTTACCGACCTGAAAATAATCCTGTCGCCCAACGAGAAGAAAATAAAATAAAAAAGGGGGGGGAGGAAAAAGAAAGAAAAGAAAAGCAAGAGGAAAAAGAAAGAAAATGATGCATGCATCTATCGATCTAAAGCAAGCCTTCCGGTCTATCCTCCAATCCTTATTTACAACCCAACGCTCTCGAGAGATTCATCATTCTCGTCAGGCTCGACTCGTCACAAGGGGATCCTTTCCCTCGGAATTCACAGCTTGGTTCCCCCGGGTGAGACCGTTTTTGACCGGTTCAGGAACCCGTCGAAAAACGTCCCGATCTGCGTGGGATCGTCCAGACGAAAGACGGCGGAGACATCTAGCCCGTCAGTCCCATTCACTATTGACTCTCCGTCACTCGTCCGGTTTGGTAGGGGTGGACTCACATTGGTCGGGGCGCACGATAATGATGGCGCCCTCCTGAGGACTAATCCCCAGGTGCTCGTAGGCCTGACCGTGGCCCTTGTTGTAGCTCTCGTCGTCAAAGTACAATTTGTGTAGATCTGCGACCGGTTAGTTTGTCCCAACGATGTGGGGCGGGGAGTTGTCACCTCGGATATGGTTCTTGCCGCAGAACGGGTAGAAACAGTCGGGGATCTGCTCCAGCTCGACCTCGTGGCGGTTCCCGACGCCCACAAAGATGGGCTCGATCAGGCTGTCGGCCGCGCCGTTGGGCATCCGGAATGTCTGCAGTGGGCTGTCGTGCGAGCCAAGGTAGTTTCCCAGCTGGGTTCGTTAGTAACAAACCCTCCCAACAAAACATTCTGGTCAACATACCGCGTTCAGTCGAGACCGGTTCGCTCCACGGCGGAGGTCCCCGACAAAGGCCATAACCCGCCAACGGCCATCAGACCGCAGTGCCGTCATCAGCTGCAACGGCTTGGAGTCGCACAAGCGCACGACCTGCGCGCTGGGCAGTCGCATCCCCACCACGACCTTGGTGGCCAGCGTTGCGGACTCATCCCGGGGGGAGGTGATCGGGGACGCCTCGTACCGGGCCGTCAGACCTGCGGTGTACTGGCCGGATTGAACGAAGCCCTGCTGGAACTCCGCGGGGGAGACCTTGCCGCCGGACGAAAACAGCTGGGAGAAGTAGCGGTCGAAGTTGATCAAATCGGTTGCGGTCTTCTGGCGCTCCAGGACGTACGTCTCCAGCAGAGACGGCGGGGCCAGCCCTTTAAGCACATGAGCCAGTTTCCAGCCCATGTTATACCCGTCCTGCAGACTAACATTCATGCCCTGGCCAGCCTTGGGTGAATGCGTGTGGCAGGCATCTCCCGCCAGGAAGACGCGGTGATCCTTGTGGAAAACATCAGCCAAACGCTGGCCGATCGCATACGCCGACCACCACACCGTCTCGACGAACTCAATCTCGTACTGGCTAAGGATCCCCCGCGCCGTCCGCTGCAGGTCTTCCAGCCGCACTTCCTTCGGCCGCGTCCCCGCCGGCAACTCGATGTAGAACCGCGTCAGGTTGCGGGCGTCACCTTCGCGCGGGATGATCAGCAGGTTGCCTGCCTGCGACCGGATCGTCGCCTTCTTGCGGATGTCGGGGAAGTTGGTGCGCGGGATCATGTCCATGACGCCCCAGACGGCGTCGCTGCTGTCGCCGACCATGGTGTAGCCGAGGGCTTTGCGGACGGTACTGTGTGCGCCGTCGCATGCCTGCCTTATGTTAGACTTCTCACCACGAACCCAGAGACAGACAGAAAGACAAAACGAAAATTGAGAAATAATAGACGATAGAAGAGAGAAGAAGAACATACCATAACATACTTCGCCTCAAACACCTCCTCCCTCCTCCCCCCATTCCCATCCACCTCCGCCGTCACTTTAACCGGATACGCCCCCGGATTCCCCACAAGCCCCTCATCAACAACCACGCTCTTAACGTCACACCCATAATCAATCTCCTGCCCATTCCACGCGCGCATCCTCTCAATCAACAACCCATTAATGCGCGCCTGATTCAGAATCACATGCGGCTGATGCGACAAGCCAGGCTGCGTATCTGCCGTCCGACCCGTCCTTCTAATCTTGCTCTCCCCGTAGCCATCCCCACCACCACCACCAACACCACCACTGCCATCACCCTGATTGTAAATCTTATTGTAATCATCCGCCCAAAACACAACTTCCAAAACATGATACGCCTCGCGCAGCAGTTCCTCCCCAACGCCGAAACTCTCGAAGATCTCCACCGTCCGACACTGCACCCCGTCCGCTTGGCCCATCGTCATCGGCCCCGGGCGCCGCTCGAGGATCTTGCAGGGGATGCCGTATCGCGCGAGCCAGGTAGCTGCGCAGAGGCCTGCGGAGCCGCTGCCGCAGATTAGGACGTCTGTTTTGGGCATTTCTTTTTCTTTTTTCGTCTGTGTTCTTGGCTTTTGTTTGCTTGCTTCGTTGATGGTTGTTGGGTATTTAGTTTTCCGCTTGTTGCGTATGTATGTATGTGTGTGTGTATAGAGAGAGAGAGGGAGAGTCAACGGAGTCAAACAGCACCAATACACGATATCAAGCATAGGACGCTTCCTTATCTATACTTGCGCCGGGTTGTGCTCCGGGTATGGCCTGGGTGGGCGTAGTAGTTAAGGCTCGGGATTGATTCCGGGGACATGTAGTGCGGGTGTGTGGGTGATGTGGGGAAAGGTCGGCATCTCCTCCGGGAGTGCCTCGGTTTAGTCAATCAATCGATGTGTTCATTCATCGACAGTATGATGGTGACCGGTTTCATGGTTTGACATGTATACTAATACTTCCGGTAGATAATGCTGGATATTGTATTGTTGGATTTGGTAGTATGGATTGGACTATTGAGATAGTCTACTGAGTAGGGGGTTGCTTTAGCTTATACACAAGGCAGGAAGTAGGCGGTATCAAAGTCAAATGGTAAAACACTAACTCCAAGATAATATGTCGTTGAAGGCTCGCATGCTAGCTTGACGGTTTGGTCGTTGGTCTTTGTGTTGAGTCTCGCTTATGCCTGATGTGTCTATTTGGCTACATATCTCTGGATTTAGACCATAGCTTGGAGTATGCTCTGGTACACCCTCGGGCTACGATCCAGCAAGGCAATAAGAAACAAACATCACTCATTATTGTTCTAAACCGTTATATATGCTCATCCTCCGCCTCAGCCACACGCACCCCCAACGCCAGCGCTGGTGCAAGAACCCCCACGCCCCACCCTTCAACAGCACGCAAGACTAAACAGAACCATCCGGGTATTTTACAAAAAGTACTCGCTGCGGCCCGGCCGCGACGTGGGCACATGTCGTTGATCATCCGCCACCGCGCTGAACAGCTTGAACGTCGGCTTGAGGTCCTCGTTGACCTCACAGACGGATGCCAGATTCCCGCACCGGTAGCAGTAGTTCGGCGCGCTCCACACTGTCACTACGTTTTGGTTGTTGAAGTGGTACTTGTAGCCTTCGTTGACCAGTTGGTGCGCCCGTGCGATGAGCGTTAGGTCGTTGACGTGGCAGAATTCATCGGCCACTTTGTCGCCGAATAGCCAGCCTATGCGATCGCGGTTAGCGGGTTCTGTATAGATATATCATATCAAAAGAGTACGGAGGAAATCTTACCCGCTCCTCTAGGGCTGACTGCCCACGTCTCCACATCATCAGGATCCGACCACACCAGATCGCAAAACGCCCCCTCGTGCGGGATCTCCTGGGCGCGGGCCACCACGCGCACCTGGTCCAGCGTCCTAATCTCGGGACTCAACCCGCCGTGCACACACAGCACCCGGCCATCGATGATGGCACCCAACGTCATAAAGTCAAACACCTGGCAGCACGCCTTCCACACAGACGCGTTCCCGTATTTCTGGAAACACTCCTCGTAGAAACCGTAGACCTGGGTGATCTGGCGAGACTCGTGGTTTCCCCGCACCAGCGTGACGCGGTCTGGGAATCTAGATAGTATTAGCATTGGGATGCGTCAGACGAAGTGAGAATACTAACTTCGCCTTCAAGCATAGTAAGAGGGTCAATGTCTCCAAGCTGAAATACCCTCGATCCACGTAATCACCCAGGAAGACGAAATTGCGGTTCAATGCCAATTCTCCCGTCCCGGCGTTGGAAGACCGTTCTCCCTGGCTACCATCGGATTCTGTCTCGTCATCATCATCGCCGCGGTCATTTCTCAGCTTCTTCCGCAGTTTCGGGTCGGTGATGCTACTCGGAGGCTCAATGTCGTCGGAGGTGATTACTGTGGGTGAGGACTTGGGCGGTTCGGTATAGTCTTGATCGGGCATTCCTCCCGAGACGCGGAAGAGCTCGAGGAGGTCGTAGAATTGGCCGTGGATATCTCCGCAGACCGTCACGGGGGTGGACACGGGCTGTATATTTGACTCTGGGGGCGGTCTGTCAGCCTAGCACCGCAACCGAGGCCCGGTGTTAACTCACCTTCCATCATGTACTCCTTGACAATTTCACAAAGCTGTTTCATATGTGACTCCGACAGGTATTTGCAGTCCTTGGCTGCCTCCAGCCACTCGTCAGGACCAGCATTGCGCTTGAGTTTAGCCGGTCCCGGCTGGGGAATTTTGCTGTCGACCATGTTGAACCCGAGCAAGACGAGCGAATAAAACGACGTTGATATACAGTAGGTTAGAGTAAACAGCAGATGCTCGCCGATCGCTGTGTTCGCAGGATCTCGATGCAGCGACGGTCAGAAAGACATGGGATTCCCCGCAGGTGCCGTATCACTGGATAAGCGGTCACGTGGCGGACCGCCTTGGCAGTATTCTCATCCTCTGGTCATCACTCCAGTTATCCTACTCCCAGGACTCACGCTCTCTATACACAATCCCTGTCTCCTGGAGCCTTAAATACAATGACGCAAAACTCTGCTGGCAAACCAGCCGGTGGCGTCCTGCAGATTTCGGCGGCTGCCACGCAAAAGAATACCCCGACAGCGCCCAGGAAAGCGCCCAAACCAGCAGCCCCGCGCCTCAAACTCCTCGTGAGACGACTTCCACCAGGCCTGACGCAGACAGAGTTTGAGACTGTCCTTGGCCCGGAGTGGAAGGCAGGAGCGGGGAAGGTCGACTGGTTCCAGTACAAGCCAGGCAAAGTCTCCAAAGAGTGAGCGACGAACCCCCGTGGCTTTCTACGCTACGAGCTCTGTCTGATTGATTGATACAGCCCCGCCAAACCGTCTCGCCCCTCTCGCGCTTACATCCACGTCACCGCCGCCGACCACACGATCCCTCTGTCTGACAAAGTCCGTCAATCGTCGTTCGTGGATGCGCGCAATACCTCCACCGATCCGGTGCTGATCGGGCCGCCATCGCTGGAGTTCGCGCCGTATGCGAAAGTTCCCGGAAGCCGCGTGCGCAAGGATGCCCGACAGGGGACAATCGACCAGGATCCGGAGTTTATCGCGTTCCTCGAGAGTCTCACGCAGCCGATCACCAAGCCGTCCGTTGAAGCGTCAGATCAACCGGAGGATAAGAAGGAGGGGCCGACCGTCACGCCCTTGATCCAGTATATCAGAGATAAGAAAGCCAACAAGGCGAAGGATGCGGGCAGATCGTCCAAGCACGGAAAATCCGACAAAGACTCCAGGGCCGAAAAGGTGCAGGCGAAGAAGCTGCTGCAGCGATCAGACAAGGACGGACAGTCCGCGGGGGGAGACAAGCCAGAGAGGAAGTCGAAGAGCGACAGGGCCACCAAGGAAGCCGTCAGAGCAGCCAACAAACAAGCCGCCTTAGTCGCCAAGCAGTCGGGCAGGTCCGGTTCCCAAAGCGCAGACTCCGCGCAGTCCACCCCCACCGAGCGCAAGCGCGAGCGCGGAAACGCTGCTGTCGCGGCCAAGATTCTTCAACGAGACCTGGGCCTGGCCCAAAGTGGTGGTCGTCGCAAAGGCGGCCGCGCAGCGGAGAGCGACGCAGCAAAGAACGAAGCAGCGAGATCACCCTCCGAACCGCCCAAGAAAGAGATCCTCACCAAGTCCAAGGCAGGAGGCCAAAACCAACGGGGTAAAGGAAGCAACAATAACAGCAGCAGCAACACACCCCAACCCAGCGAGCAACCCGAACCCAACGGCGCCCCCAGCAGCAACAACACTACGCCACCTCCTCCAACAAAACCATCCCGATCCAACCGCGGGAAACAAGCCGCAGTACCGGCCCCAACAGCCGCAACACAGGCATTCCTCAAACACGCGAACCCCTCACAAGGCGTAACAGAGCCTCTCCTCGACACGGCATTCTCCCCCTTCGGCAAGATCCTGCGGGTGGAAATCGACAAGAAAAAGGGCTTTGGCTACGTCGACTTTGCCGACCCTGACGCCCTCCAGCGAGCCATCGCCGCCAGCCCGGTGACGGTCGCGCAGAGCCAGGTCGTTGTGCTGGAACGGAAGGCCAACCCGGGGGGTGAAAAGGGTCGTGGTAAAGGCCGCAATGAGTCGCAGGCGTCGGGCTCTGCGGGAGGAGGCAGCGGCGGCGGTGGTGGCAGTCGCAGCGGGAAAGCCGGTGAAGGCGGGAGTGGATCGGCGCCGTCTCGTGGATCGCGCGGTGGACGGGGGCGCAATAAGGGAGGATCGAAGGGGAATACCGGTGCAGCAGAGGGGAAGGACAAGCCTAGTGAGAAGTAACTTACAGCTACTTACTAGCTAGCTATCTTGCCTTAATGTGATGTGATCAATGACTATCTTCATAACCTATCTGTTTTTATTTCCTTCATACCCATTTGTATTTACCACACCGTATACACCCTTTTTACTTCCTAGTGTGTGTAGTAGATATTATACCTATGCTTTAGTGATTGGCAACAGGTCACAATTGAATTGTACCAGAGATCTCTAATGTGGGCTAGAAGGATTCTCCCGACAAGTGGTCGAATAAATCAGCATAAAGCCATATATACCAGCGGACTATACGCGGTCGAAAGGGCAAACACGATCAGACTACAATGCAACAAAAAGGACCATACAGAAGATACACCCTGGGTCAAGACCTGTGTAGCGCCGCAGAGACAGGCTTATCTCCAACCCCGAACACCAAGGCCCTACTTCATGCACCTATCTCGATCTGGCAAGGTCGTAGCCTAGATATATTGAGAACTCGGAAATGATAGGTAAAGAAACCCAAATTAACTAGACTAATCTCATTCCACATTATGATGGATAACCTCCTCCCCCACACAATGTCAATATATCCAAAAAAAAAAAAAAAAAAATGCATTGACACTAGCTAGTGGTATGTAAGAGACTCTGTTAGCTCACGTCTTGGATGAGAAATTCTGAAGCTAGATGCAACAAGTGTTCTTCAGGAACCTCTGGTGGAATCAAGATACACTCTACTTAAGCAATAAGAGTGTTTCATTTCGGCGAGTGAAAGGTTGAATCATCATTAGAGGGAGAGTTTGACTATGAGAGTTGGTCTAGCTTACCTGATAGCACCGAGAGAATTCAGAAGCTGTTAGAGATATTCTTTTTATGAGCTGTATCTAGAAAGACCGAAAACACAAGAGATATAGGGCAAGAATCGTGGTTTTAATATGCTATGCTATAGAGTAAATGCCACCAGAAAAACAACTGAGACCTGACACACTGTTCGCCATTTCCGTGACTCTTGTGAGTCATGGTTAGTAGACTCTGAGTTTAATTAACTTCCAGAATACGAGGTCTAGTTCATATGGCCTATATCCATGACTTTTGTGAGTCATGGCTGGTAGACTCAGTGCAACTTCTTTCTGGTCTGGGAAGTGGGAGGGAGTACAAGCTAATTTATCTACTTCCATGGCGTTCGTGAGTCATGGTCAGTAGACTTGAAACCCTACTGATTCCACTCTAGGAAGTTGAAGCGATCAAGAGAGTGAGAGTCTAGTTTACCTGCGGAGTATATACACCCACTAACCCTGCAGTGCCAAGGTTGTCCCCGGACCCCAGCGACAATTGTGCTTAGATTTACTTTGCTATAGCCGATCCACAAGCCTGGGCATACTATTGATTTGATTTTAGAAGTCGTGAGATTCAAAAAATAGTTTACAGACGTGCCAGAACACACTACAAGAGTAACCAGAAAAGTCCTCAATATTGAAAGAAGGCGAAGAAAGTAGTCCCTCTCATATTAGTATCTGTCGCAAAGAATACCACTCGGCTATAAAAGATATATAAACACTTATGAGCTCTATAGGAATCCTTGGTGCACTATCTTATACTGCGACAGTATCATTGTGATTCCACAAATAGGCCAAACTAGGGAAAGCAACTTGTGAATCAAGAGTATGAAGACATGGACTAGATAGGTAGCCAATCAGATAATGACTAGACTGTATCATATAACCAGCGCATCTACAATATCAATCTAGAATACTGTCTGTTTCATCATGTAAGACCCAAACAATCATGTACAGTAATATAAAAGTCTTCAGTTATCAATGTGGTTAGGAAGGCTTCAATGCATCACACTAGTAATAGCTTTCTCACATGTTTAAACTCTTCTTGGTTATATAAACGAACCACCGAGCAGTCCCTTTTGTCACAATTGTTTAATAAAAAATTATACCTGCTCTTGATCTTCCTTCAGTAACTTGAGATAAAGGCTATTGGACAGGAAACAGGGCCATATCACATGCCTTATATGCTAGTCGGTCTTGCACTTCTTGTCAGTTACTTGCAGTTCATGCCATTCATAGTATAAATTGACAGCATTATCTCGGGCTCCAGAGATCTCAAAGATATTCTCCAAGACCACAGGCCTAGCTAATGATATGGGAATAGCAGGCTCATATGCATTCTGCAGAGCCAAGAGATTGATATTAATTAGATCTAGGGTTCACAAAGCAAACTGGCTATTTAATTCATCCGAATATAAAAAGAGAATGAATCCTCGATGAGGTCTCCTATGGTAAACGAGTTTATGGAGTGGTCACTGGTTTTTGGTCCCTTACCCTATGTCGCCATGAATATGTTATTTACCCCATACTTTACACTGAACATTTTTAGTAAAGCGGATAGTCGGACCTCCGTGGAGTCCGCCTCGTGGAGAGGTCTATAACTGCTTCCTTCCAGGCTCCAAGACGAACAACATGTGGTACGCGAAGGTATATGCACCACATCTGCAATGAGAGGGGTGACTTGCGGCGAAGTTGTCAGCCCCCTTCTTCACAATACATTCTTGGACTACTCGAGTGCTGAACAATTCTTTCAACAAGCGTATTTTAAGAGTAGCTAGGATGGTCTGTGTTCCCGAGTCATGATTTGATCAACCTACAACTGATTTGATTGTCTAGTTAAGTTATACCTCAAAGATGCTTTATTCTGAAACCTCCAAAGGGAAATCTCGAGGATCCACGGACGAAGAGCTGGCATTCAGTTACGACCAACAGAGCATCGACAATGTGCATAGCATCCAGATCTGCTCGACAAAGTTACGCAAAGCCTGAAGGTGACTGAGCCATATGCCTCCCAACGCCCGTATACCCAGCCTGGAAGCAAACGTTGATCCTATCGCGCGTGGCGACCTCGATCTTCTCTCTACCCCTCCACCCCAACCTACCATTGTAGACCGCCCACAATTTAGGTAGAATCCTAACATCTTGAGCACAGTACTTGATAATAGCCTCCGACAAGGGCCGAGAATTGAACACCTCGTAAGAGCCCCCGCGCTCAGGCGCGAACAGCTGTCGTCCATCTTCTTTAATGTCCTTCCACATTCTGGCTTCAAAGAACGTCAAGCCTGCGTCACACTGAATGCACCGGGAAAGACCGTTTATGAATCTTCTTGACCCACTCCGAGTGGCGAGCTCAAAGAGCTGGAGATCCTGGATGCCCGCGAGGTAAACGCCGAAGTGGGCATATAAAGCGTCAGAATCGTTTCGAACATCGAAAAAAGCCTTATGGATGCTTTCGTCTTCTAGTATGCCTTTCAGGGTGCGACCGCTTGTAGAGGGGTGCGAGAAGGCTTCCTGGCCCAGAGTGTGGACGTCGATGAGGTAAACTTCGTTCTTGGGGAGCGAGAAGATTTGCATTATCGAGATTGAGCCGTGACGACATAGGTTTACGCCCTCTAGGTCAACGTAGATGGATGGAGGATTGTTTGGAATGCCTGTAAGCAGCTCAGCCAGTTCGCCAATGGCGGCCGTCGTGTCGATTATCTTTGGGGACGGGTCGGTCATCTTGGGCTCGGGGTAAATTTATAGGACAAAAGGCAGAGAGATATTGAAGCAGACCTTATTTCTTTGGAGCTTTTCAATCCATTTGGGGAGACTGGGCTGAACATATAGCTGTATTTATAGCTCAGACGCCTATTTTGTACATATTTATACGGATATCAACGCTCATGGATTGTATGTAGTACTGCACATGATGGAGCATTGAGAAGAGTGCGATCGGCAATAATTGAGGCCTACCATGGGCATGGAAACCCAAGCTACAATGGCCAACCTGCTCGTTCTTCGATTCAAGAGTATGGAATTGGTTTCATCAACGTCCACTGAGAGCCTGCCAGGACGACGCAAGATCCATTTCTGAGGCCTACCACTGGGGTTACTTCTTCACGAGCCAATGGCATCGGCACCTCAAGCTGCATATGCATGATGCAGTCGCAGCGAACCACGAGCTAACTCCAACGGGAAATTTGAGGCCTACCATTTTGCCAAGAGATAGCCCTTGTGTGCTGGGCTTTCTAAGTCTCCGTCAAGCATATAAAGAAAGAGGATTCCTCGACTGGAAGTGCTCTTCTTCCTTCAACAGCGGCGCCTCTCGCAAGAGGTCGCCTAGTCGCCCTTTTACCACCAACCGACCGCTGCTCACCCTTTTCGTGTTCTCGTCATTCTTTTATATCCCGTTCGCTCTTTGCTTCTCTTTTTTCTGACTCTTGAATTGCTTCGGACTGAAGGCCGGCCCTGTCTGATTGAGAAACCCGTGCCTTAGTAGCCCTCCTATCTCCCTTTCTTTCCAGGATAACCAGTCTGAATCACAGCTCCGTTAACAGTCATCCACGCAAACATCATCTTCATCAGCTCTTTGACTGCATTGACCCTGCGTGGTTAGATATTGGGCATCCTGGCCCTGACCTTGGTCCTTCATCTTCTTCTCAATCCCTTCAGACCCCTTCACAGTCCGATGATCTTCCAAGTCATTCCCCACCCCAACACTCGTTTCCACCGGATACAACCCCACCCGCTAGCCTTGGAGATCTCCTACCACCGACTCCAGCAAACCCACGGCTCACCGGTCCCGAGCATACCCCAACTTCCTCTCCTTTCAAGTGTGATATCTGCAGCCTCACTTTTCAGAAACTATATAAATTCAAGTGAAGACTCCCCAGCTTGGCTTCACCCAGATACTCTGACTCCGGGGCTAACCTCTTCGAAGTCGTCATAAGAAACGCCACGACAAACCCTTCAAGTGCACAGTCAACGGCTGCAGGTGGGCATTCCAGTACCACAAGGACCTCACACGGCACTACGGCACGAAACACCCCGATATGGTCGAAGAGCCTCCAACATACTTCTGTCCCGTTGAGGGGTGCAAATATAGCTTTGAACTTGGCAACGGGTCCTCCAGGAAGGACAATCGTGATCGGCACGTCGCTAGCCATGCGAGGAAGGGCGAACTTTGAGTCATCGCCTATACATTGTACACTCTCGTTAAATTATCGAAATCGCTATTGGAAATCCTCCATTATCCAACGGGTTCCGACATTATATACATATCTTCGTATGGGGCGTAGAAGGCAGACTATCCCAGTCGCATAAGATGCCTCTAGACTGGCAAACTAGCGTATCCTAAGCAGATCCGAAGACAGTCAAAAAGTTTTCAGATGCGAGTGGTACTGTCATGATAGTCCTTACTGTGATAGTTTCCTACTTTCACCAGTTCTCAAACAATAAGCTCGGATTATTCCACTTATCTTAGAAGTATAACTAATACTGAATGCTGTGAGACAAAGATTCACCCAAACTATATAAGTCTGGTGACTTGGCACATCAGTTGAAACACCCTTATATAATTTTTCGAGGGAAGGCTCATATTGCAGACTAATACTGTACAGACCTTTCTACGGCCCAGCACATGGGCAGTAGGGGTTATGTAGCGTTAGATCATAGTTCAACAGTACCAGATTTTGCTAGCGTGGGTGACGATATTTTACCAGGCTTGAAAAGCGATTGGATGTATTAGCGCAAGCCATTAATACCAGTGGATTACAAACAGATGATCTGTAAGCAGTGTACAAGAGCGTAGTAGAGCAAACAAAACCATACTACAATTACAGAAATATTCACAATATTCAAATAATAAAATTTATTCAATTATGTAACTAAACCAGAACCTCCAATGCCTTAACTAGAATCCAACCAGTTCACCATCCAAAAGCAAACCGACCAAAAACCAGCTCCATCCAACTCCCAAACATCAAAAGAATAAAGAGGAAAGGCACCTTTCAGACCTCCTCGACACCCACCAAGTCGGACCGACCGAAGTCAGACATCACAACCAGGCCAAGATCATCACCACTCCCTGGACCAGACGGTGCAATTCACCACGCGAACAGACGATCCGAAGACCGCCGTTTGCGGTAATGAAGAGACACCAGGTCGAGGCGGGAGTAAACAGAGGCTTCACTTTAGGGCATCGAGGACATAAGGGTCATCAGCAAGGGTGGAGATTCTGTGGCTCATAAGAAGAGCTCAGAAGAGGACGTCTACTCTAAAGTGATTCTTTGAACTGTTGGCAAATTGTTAGTGGTTGATTCATCAAGATGAGGATAGGAAAGCCTCGAGAGAATCCTGGAGAGGATTGTTCCCAAGGTAGGAGGGGGGAGAACTAACGTAGAGTCGCTTACTTTTCTAAATGATGGGGGAGAAGCCGCCTTTTATATTTTGCCAGCGCCGCTAGCGAGCGCACTAGTCGCAAGCGAACCCGTCGGGGTTTGTCTCGTTTGTCTGTAGGCGGTGGGGCGAAAAATCTTCCCGGTCCACTTTGTTGTTGTCTGGGCGCGGCTTTGCGACACGGGTGGATGCTGTAGGGTTGCCATTACCATATCGCTTTCTGGACTTGATGGTGTGATTCGTGGAATGGGTTTATTTGACAATTACTATTATTCACAGCTTGGGAAGTGAATGACTTTTCGGCACTGGGACTCTCTACCGGCCCGATTATGGTCGGTTTGCCGAGGCTGCTGTCCAAGAATATACTCGGTGTGCTGTGTATGAGGCCCGTATCTGATAGGATGGGCGTAATGGTCATTTGTAATGGTGGTCATGGAGTATTCCTAGTCTCCTCTCCTGCTACAGTACGGCGTCCTCATTGAACGGGAAACTATCGTTGTAATTAGAGGTACCATATCTACGACAGCACATCCTCGGTGAAAGGGAAACTATCCCACGACGGCAGCTCCATCCCGTCCCAGTCGCAGAACAGACCGCCATCCATAAGTGAGTCGAGTAGATTTGCCTGCGACGGCGTCGTCATACCACTGGCGTTTTCCCCTACGCTCGCTGGTACTTCCTCGCTCGCAGGGTCCCGGTCTCGCTTCAAGCTAAACAGCTTGCTAACGTACCGGTTGCGCTGCGGAGGCCGATGCACCAGCCGCTGGCGCTGCTCAGATATGGCATTTTTCAACAGCGTGAGAATCTCATGGTAGTGGCCCGCTTGGGCGGACTGTTGGGACAGCGCGTGCAGGATGCGGATCGCGCCGTGGAAGGCGTCCTCGACGGTGGTGTTGACCTCGTGCTGCGCGAACAGCGAGAATCCCAGCACGAGGGCGGCTGCGAATACGAATGCCTTGAGGATGCACATGTTGCCCAGTAGCAGGTTGGACTCGTGGACTTCCATGCATGTTTGGATCATGTACAGGGCGGAGTCGACGCACGCTGAGGCGAGTTGCGCGTGCGCTGGGTCGTCCTGCAGGGCTTCGGGTGGGAGACCCAGACTCCCTGTAGAGGCTGGCTGGAACCGCGCTAGGCGGATGCCCAGCACGGAGATCAGGAAGGGCCGCGTGACGATGATGACTGCGAAGTGGTACGAGCATGCGATGTGTAGACTACCGACGATGTGTTGCTGGGCGGCCGGGCGCGCGCAGTCGGTGCCTGGAGGCGCGAGGAGTGACGCAGGCAGGCTGTCGCTCCACCGGGTGAGTTTACCGAGGATGGACGCGGCTGCGTCTGCGGACGCTGCTTTCTCGCTGTACAGGCGGACGATGATCTCGTCGAGGATGCGTGACATACGGTACGAAGCTACCAGGTCTTGTCTTATCTGCGTCGGCCCGTGCTCGAGCCACGTACTTCCGCCCTCTGTCCGCAGGCAAGCCGTCGCTGGAGGACGGCCGAGGATGGAGCTGATTAGCAGATCCAGTATACACAGACTCATCCAGATGCACGCTCTTCTAGCTGTCAGCGCTGTCCTCAATAGTCATCTACGTGACGTACCGCTGTGACTCTTCCGTTGCCGCCGCGGCCGAAGAGTCCGGGATGTGAAGCCCCAGAGCCACCGCGGCCCGGACCGCCACACCGAGGTACATGAACGCGGCATTGCGACGACACGCACCCAGCATGTAGAACGACATGAGCAGGAATAGCCGGACGATCTCGAGGCTGGGGTTTTCCAGCATGCCTGTAAAGGCGCGGGCTTGGGCGCGCGAGAAGAAGAAGCGTTCTGCACGGGTGGTCATGCTGTCGCTTTTGGTGCACTGCGCTCCGATGGCTATCATGATATCGCGGAGGGCCGTCTGGGTATCGAGATACTTCGCTGGTTCTTGAAGTACCGCTGGTTTTTGGAACACCCGCGCTGTTTCCTCATCCGACAGGACATCAACAAACCCACTCGTTGCAGTCTTGTAAGCCAGGAGGAACGCCTCCCGGCGATCCCCATCCAGATCACTCTCTTGAAAAGGGGGTAAGGCATCCTGAGGCGTTTCCGCCTCGAGCATATCCTCCCTTTTCAAACTATGCGAGAACTGCGACGGTCCGATATATTGGGTGACGGTATCTCGAAGGAGTTGCAGGAACGATAGGGAGGCCGCCTTTCCGATGTAGACTACCGGTGTCAACACAGACCGGATTGTCCAGACACGCACGGGAAGACAAATCTTACCTCGTTCCCCTTGTAGGTTGCGCAGCATGCGCGGATGCGTCCGATGGGGCGCTTCAGGGGAGAGTGAGCCCGGGTGGTCCGACGTTTGGATCGGGGTCTGCAGGGGGGGGGTTGCGCATCGTAGTGTCGGAGCGGCGACAGCGTCGTGTAGGTCAGCGTCTAGGATAGCCGTAGCATTCCTCACACGAGTATTCCCCGACCACGGACTTGGTGTCTGAAGTTGTACGGAAGCAGCGCAAGAGTCAGCCCGCCCGGTGCGTACACACTTGAGGCACGGAAACGTTCCGCTACATCGCTTCTTGGCCGCCCTGCAGGCGAGACAGGCTTTGTCGGCGCGTTGGCGGTTCTTCGGGTCGACTTTGGCCCGGGGCATGGTGGGTTCACTCCGAGTGGTTGCATCTAGGTGGGTTGTTGATTGATGAGGTAGAGGAACTTACAGGTGGTACGGGTGTGGGGTAAGCTGGGGGACAATAAACGGTGGTTTACTTGGGAGTTGGAGATGCCAAGATGAGGAGAAGTAGGGGACTGGATTGACCATGTGACCTGATATTCTTACATTTGTATTGACTGGGTGTTTATGAATATAGAATAATTGGCTTAGAATCTATCAATTACTTGTCATACTGGAACATAATTTTGAATCTACTTTTCGTTGTCACCTAGTGAAAGGGTAGTATCGTGAGTGACCTGTAGTGATATATATCGGAGTACTCTGTCAGGATTCCGTAGTACAGCGAATATATCCAACCAACCCCGACAACCTAACCATCTCACTTCACATCTCCCTATCCAACACACTGACAACAATAATTACAACAACCTTACTACCAAAGTATAGTAATTTAATTCAATGAATAATAAATGATCCCTACCAGACAGTCCTAGAACCACCAGCATAATCAACATCACCATCCACTCTTTTCCGCCGTGCTTTTCTTTTCGGGGCTGGTGGCTTAGCGGCAAGTCCTCCCGATCGAAAAAGTCGCAGGTTCGAATCCTGCACGTCACACACGGCAAATTAAGGAAATTAATCTCCTCCCTACACACCAGTGATTAATAGATGGTTCATGACTATAACACCAACCCTCTTCCTTTTCTCGACCGGCGGAGAAATTGTGGCTGCCAAACTGGCTAAAAGCTCAACATCAACATGCCCACCGAGTCGCCCTTAGTGATGGGTTTTACATAACGTATTGCATGTTATATAACTCCCCAGCAGGAAGTCACGTCCGTTTACCCCGCTGGAAGTCACACCAGGAAGTCAAATATAGCCACTACTACCACTACCATCCTTGTCAGACTGCGTCAGCCGTGTCCCTCTACACTCAACCCCACTGAAACAACTAAACCCAAACAAGGACTGCCGAGTACCAACAGATACAGCAATCCGATTGGCCGACATCTCCCGCTGACAGGGCTTAAATCCTTTTATCTCCGGATCAGCACCGGCATTCTGTCCGGGATTCTGTCCGGGGTTCTGTCTTGCCCGCCTGTTCGTGAGACACTATAGTTGAGTTGGAATGTAGTACTAGTGAGAGCTATCCCTACCTGCCTGGGCATTTTCTTTAGGTAATGGAATGTGCAGGCTGCTGTTTCCGACCTATGGGGGTGAAATTCACCCTTGTAGGAGTATAGTGTGTAGAACTAGTAATGTATTGGACAGCTGGATGGTCAGGCTACGGCTATCTACGATGTCTACAATTGTAGCAATAACTCATAAATCGTGTCATTTTTCCATGACAGTGCCATGGTCGAGATCAGACTACTCTCATTATATACGAAAATCCACCCCCCATGATATCCGACATGCTTAAGCGAACAGAGCATCACCCAGACGGATGTGCACGGCCTTGACCTGGGTGTAGTTCTCCAGAGCGTAAGAGCCGAGCTCACGGCCGATACCGGACTCCTTGAAGCCGCCGAAGGGCGCCTGGTAGGAGATCATGTTGTACTGGTTGACCCAGACGGTACCGGCCTTGAGGGCGTTGGACACGCGGATGGCGGTGTTGATGTTCTTGGTGTGCACGGCGGCGGCCAGACCGTAGGAGGTGCCGTTGCCGATGGCGATGGCCTCGGCCTCGTCCTTGAACTTCTGGACGACGACGACAGGGCCGAAGATCTCCTCCTGGGCGATCTTCATGTCGCTGGTGACGTCGGTGAAGACGGTGGGCTGGATGAAGTAGCCCTGATCGCCGTGGCGGTCACCGCCGGCGGCGACGGTGGCGCCGGACTGCTTGCCGTGGTTGATGTACTCCATGATGCGGTCGAACTGCAGCTTGGAGACCTGGGGGCCCTGGAAGGTGCCCAGGTCGAAGGGGTTGCCGAGCTTGTTGGCGGCGGCGCGCTCCTTGAAGCGGGCGACGAACTTGTCGTGGATGGCCTCGTGGACGAGGATGCGCGAGCCGGCGCAGCAGCACTGGCCGTGGTTGAAGAAGATGCCGAAGTTGGACCACGAGATGGCGTTGTCGATGTCGGCGTCGTCGAAGACGATGTTGGGGGACTTGCCGCCCAGCTCAAGGGTGACCTTCTTCAGGTTGCTCTTGGCGGCGGCCTGGAGGATGGTGCGGCCGACGAGGGTGGAGCCGGTGAAGGCGACCTTGTCGATGTCCATGTGGCTGGAGATGGCGGCACCGGCGACGCGGCCGAAACCGGAGATGACGTTGATGACACCGGGGGGGAAGCCGGCTTCCTTGATCAGCTTGGCGGCGTAGAGGCCGGAGAGCGGGGTCTGCTCGGCGGTCTTGATGAGGACGGTGTTGCCGGCGGCGATGGCGGGGCCGATCTTCCAGGACCACATGAGCAGGGGGAAGTTCCAGGGGATGATCTGGCCGCAGACACCGATGGGCTCGTGGCGGGTGTAGACGAGGGTCTCGGGGTTGGTGTCGATGGTCTGGCCGTGGATCTTGTCGGCCCAGCCACCGTAGTAGCGCAGACAGGCGATGGCGTTGGCGACGTCGACCTTGGCCATGGTGAAGGCCTTGCCGTTGTCGAGGGCCTCGATGGCGGCGAGGGTGTCGGAGTCACGCTCCATCAGGTCACCGAGCTTGGTGAGGAGACGGCCACGCTCGGTGGGGGTGACCTGACGCCACTCGTTCTCAAAGGCCTTGCGGGCGGCGGCGACGGCAATGTCGACATCCTTCTCGTTGGCCTCCTGGACGCTGGTGATCACCTTCTCGTCACTGGGGTTGATGGTCTCGAAGGTCTTGCCTTCGGAGCCCGCGACGAACTCATTGTTGATGAACCTGGTTTATTATTAACACGGGGGACTCAATCGGACGGAGCCATGAGGGGAAGGGGAAACATACAGGCCCAGGGGCTGCTCAAACTTGGCAAAGGGGGTCTCGATTTGGGTGAAGAGGTTCGACATGATGAATATATATATGGGTATCACTTGAAAGAGGGAGAGAGAAGAGAGAAAAGAGGCAAGGGAAGAGGAAGGGAGAGGGTGGTTCTAATAGTTGGGCCGAGAGGGGGAGGAGACGAGGAGAGAGGGGGGCGAAAGCGAAAGGAGGGGAAACCTACGGAATCGTCGACACCGACGATAGCCAGCCAGACCACCTTCAAACAAGCTCTTCCAGGCCATTAAGAAAAAAGAATCTTCCATGATTGATGAAAAGTTGCCCCTCCCATTGCTCCGGGGATCCACTGCGGTGATTGGAAGTCGAGGGACAGCAAATCCCAGGTGGAAGTGAAAGCCCACCATTGACCATTGGCAACCGCGGTTCCAGTCCAGTGCGGGGTTCGACAGAGGACTGACCAACGGGAGATTCTCGAGGATGGGTTCCTTCCAAGGGACCAATCCAGGTTTCCTGGTTCAATTGATGTCATCCGTCTGGTGACAGTGTTCCACGCTCCGGATGATTTCAGTGTTCCTAGAAACCACACGCATGGAACAACACGAACGATGATGAATAACAGAACAATCCATGAGAGACGGATAGATGAGTCAGCAGGATCATTAATCATCCCGTGACGATCAGCCCCACTCACCGCCTTCGTGGCGGGACTTTGGCTGGATTAGGTAAGGATCCTCTCAGGCATTCCCTCTCGGACGGAAATAACAACAGAATCCAATAATCATATCTATGAAAGAAAGAAAATGAAAGGATGATATTGATGATGGTAGTCATAATAAGAATCAACAAAGGAAAACTACAAGAAAGAAAAGTGAGCAGATGTTGTCCACCATCAATCCCCAGATCTATTTTTATGATAGACCGTTATATGATACCCCATTCCTCCGTACTCCGTATCTGACCCTGACTAGTAACCTACCGGACTACCGTTTGACTATAATTCATCTATTCCTCTTTTGGACAGGCTCAAACCTTGGTGGAAAGTCCTGTCATTTACTGCATCCGGTTAGCAATATCTAGTCGGGACCCGCTGCTCGACACCAATCTCTTTCCCGGTCTCCTACGCAAGATTCTATTTCCTACCTCAACTAGGTGGATTACAGAAGAAGGTATACAGTCCTTCCCCTTACGATTAGCTTGTCGGAGATGACTTGCGGAAAGGGGTTCGGCTCAATAGTCCGTAGTCACTAGTCAGTACTGGCCAAGATCAATCTCTATCCTAGACCAACCTCTTTCCCACCACTAGTCCTTCGTAGTCTGTACTTGGATCAGCTCCCTACCAACTAGCTGCTGTTCGGCATAACGGGTAGTGGACACTGCACTCGGCGTATACCGAGTGTTGCCTTGTTTGGCCTCGATCAGTACCATTTTTCTTGGGGGGACAGGATCTCCGTCCCTATACTTGCCTCCTCTCGTCTTTCGAACTCGGATCCGAAAGTTTCTCTATCCGTTGCCTGTACGACTAGACTGTGGATTGGCGACTGTTGACCACGCAGATTCTGTATCGAGAAAGGGACCAGTCTACCGAGTAAACTGACCTCCTATACTCTACGGTTGGCTTGACCGTTCGGGTCCCCACTCCCCGCCCAAGGACCATTAGCTGCCATAGGTGTATTCTGGAAAAACACATGGAATGGTTCAGCCTGGGCCCACTGGTGTTACCCCTGAGATCTTGTCCCCTTCCGGTTCTTGATCGCAGGAGGTATCCTGAGTGACACGCGGATAGGACCTCAGAAGTGGCTTGCGAAATACCGCTCATTTCTAATTTGTTGTTGGTCTTCGAAGTGCTATCGAAGTAGTTTGAGTTTTTCATTCTGTGGATTTGATATCACCAATTCAAAACAGGTAGAAAAATAACCAAGTAAATAAGTCAAATCCTTCCAAACCTCATTGCTCCTTCTAGTCGATCCAAATCGATAGCGCCATCTCGGAGTCGTTCTCGGATCGAGACATTCGCTCTTCGCGTCTTGTTTCAACCGCACTCTCCGTGACCAGATCATCATCACTACAGTCACGTAAGAGGGACAAAACCGCCTCTTTGGATGATCTGAAGATGCGAGCCTGTACCTGTTCCGCCTCGGCCAAATCGGCGGCTGTAGCTTAGAGTCCATTCCCGCACCGGAGGAGCACATACAGCATATCTTCAAGCATCTCCGCGGCGTTTGCAGCGTCATGCGGTGTCCAAGAGGCTAAGCCGGCTATTCGGGAAAACATTGCTGCCAATGGACTTCCACGCTCCCCCCCAGGCCGAGTGAACACTTGCGCCGTGCTCGAGAAGGGCTTGGACAGTCTTGCAGTCTGCGAAAGCTGGCAAGGCGATGGCGATAGCGGCCCGTAGAGGCTACGATATGCACCCCCAGCAAGGTCCATTTGAGCACCTGCATCTAGTAGTAGCTGTACGCATTTATGATCTTGTCCAGCAAGTCGCGGAGAATGATGGTTTTGCCGCGAATTTCGACCTTCCAGCGCTTCTTTAGACAAAGTTTCTTCCTTTTTTTCAGCGACCTCCTAAAATCCGGCCAATGCGTCGATCTGGGGGTCATCTATGATGCCAGCCAAGTTTGCTTTGGTGTCTGGATCGAGTGCATCGGGGCTTTCCCCTCTCAATTGCCCCCAGGGACACACTTTTGGATACTCATGTTGGAGGCATTCGAAGTTGAGCCCAAGCAAGGGCCAAACCAATCTGGATAGTCAAATCCAGAACACCAAGCCCAAGAGGATTTGGTTGGCAATACGCTTCAAATCCTCTTCACACTCTCGTCGATTTGACACCGCTTACCCAAAATGCGGGGTAGCGTCAGCTGGATCGTCTTCGAGTATAGTTATATAGCAGGTAGCAGCATCAGGTAAAGGGTATGCTCCATCCTTTTCTTTTCCCTCCTCTACGTGTAGCAACGTGGTGGTTTCCCTGCCATAAAGTTTTTCCCACGAAGGAGCTTAACAGGATCGGCAGGTTTTCAGCGATCGCGAATTGCAAGATCGAGGCTATTGACAGTCGGCTCAGTACGCTACTTACCTCGTTCGTCTTCCAAAGTTTGAATTCTATAAACATGGTGTTATTCGCTTAGAGTTGGATTGGACATGGTTCAAACTATGTCAGAAATGTACATATACTAACTACTTCCCCTGCTCTTCTTCCCCGATTCCTTCTTCCCCGGCCTCTTCTTCTTCGCCCCGCCCCGGAACTCATCCGGTCGGCTCTGACCCCGACTTGGGCCCCCCTGTCGCAAGTCCTTAACCTCGCGGATCACCTCGCGGAAGCCCTCTTCGATATTGTTCATCCGCGCCAGCACCAGCTTGCTTAGCATGTCCTGGTCGTGAGAACCGTCACCCCGCTGCATACCGTATGCGATCTGCGTCGTCCAGCTGGATGGCACCTCCCCGAGGAATCCGTTCACGATTGCTCGGTTGTCGCCGAGGTCCGATCCCAGCGCTTGCAGCAGGGCAGCCTGCCGTCGGTGTCGCTCGTCTCGCGGGTCGAGACCTGCGGGCATGCTGGATAGCGCGGGTAACGACATGGGGCTGGTCGGGCGGACGCTGGGAGGTAGCACCGGCTGGAGTGGCTGTTGTCCGTTGCGCGGGTGGTTGGGTTGACCGGCGGATGTGGGGATTTCCATACCTCCCTGGTCCGGTGTGTCGGCGCGAGGGCGGATGGGAGGCGAGCTCCAAGCTGTGTCGTCGTACATGCTCGGGCCGGGGTTCGTCGGGTAGGGCATTGTGACGCTGGAGCGGGTGCGCAGGTGGTGGTGGTTTGGTCGAGGAACGGGACTGGTCTTGCGGGATTTCATCCGTGCGGTTGACGGTCCCGACGGGTAGCCCTTGCGTATCGTTTTTCCAGGACGCTCGACGGCTTTCGGGCGTGAGCCCCCGCTGGCTGGTGAGGCTGGGGCCAGCGCGGGATCTTGCTCGTCTTCCCAGCCTCCATTGTTGTCGCTCGTCAGTTCATCGTCCCCTTCCATCCCGGTGTGCTGGGAGATTTGCCGCTGCGTCGTGGCAACGAGAGAATGCCGGGTAGGGCGCTGCTCCAATGGGGTCTTACCCACTGGGGGAGAGGCAACATCGCTGATGTGGTCCTCGGGGTTGGATATGGCGGAAAGGTGAGATTCCGTGAAGCTTCGGAGATGGGCCCGTCTCCTTGCAAAACGCCCCTGTGCACCTTTCGGGGTTATCTCTAGTCGGTCCATCTCGTCTGAATCCTGTTCATCGGGAGGGTGGACCGACCCGGAGCCCATCCTATGCATCCAGTCCACAATCTTGTTTCCCTTTGGGTGGGTCTGGTCGGTACCGCCCATGTCCGGAGAAGCACGTCGGAATAATTCCTCCAACGCCCGATCCTTCTGGTACGTTGCCACTGAGGGCTGTCGAGCAAAGCGCGGGCCATGGGAAATGAAAGATCTGATGCGGCTTCGGCGAGGCATCCGCGGATGGCCCGGAGTGCCCGACTCAGTCAAGCGGATGAGATCCGTTGGCTCAAACAGTCGGGAGCTGAGGATCACTTTCTCATACAAGTAAATGGTCAACAAAATCGGTAGATGGGTGACCTTGATAATGGTACGGTTGATTTGGACAAAGCGCTGGAAGGGCATGACATAGCGAAGGGGGGTGAGGAGCCACGCAAGAATGTTAGCCGGCGCGATGTAAGAGAAAAGCGCATCCGACTTCACCATGGAGTGGCAGTTGACAGCAAACAAAAACTGATGCTCTTGGTCGGCGTTTTGGACAATCCCTAGTCGAGGTTAGAGTCATACGACGATCAGGGCAAGTGGGTGAAGCATACGCATGAACGAGTTGGTCAGAACGGTGATGAGGATGGTGACCACGACAAAATGGCAAATAAAAAGGAACACTGTTAGAACGGTTCTCCCCAGAATATTATAGTCATCCCATAACGCCCAGGCGGCTGGGCTGAATCCCATCAGGATTTGAAACAGGGCGTACGCCACTGATCCAGGTGAATGATCTTCATGGGTGCCAAAAGATAGCGTGAAGGCAACAAAAAACCCACTACAGGCGATGATGATCAGCACGAACACCGCCACGAGATCCGCGGCCATGATGCGGAAGGCGATGAGCAACTGCGAAAAGTAGCGATAATGATCCAAGATGGAAAACAGCCGCGGAAAGAGGAGCACGGCGTTGGCCGCTAACATGTCGTAGGCCTGATCGGCGACCGCCTGGCTGCGGGTGTAGGGCACGACTGCGTAGAGGCGCATACAGTAATAGCAGAAGAGGAGAAACAAGATCCCTAGATCAAACAAATTCCAGAAACTCATCAGGTAGAGGCTGAAGCCTTGCTCGTTGAACCCGACGATCTCGTCCATCATGAAGCCAGCGCTCCAGAACCAGAAAACGAGCTCCAACGGGGTGATCTCCAGTTTTCGCTGCTGCAACACCGCGAGAAACAGCCCCAGGAGCACGGCGAATGATACTGTGGATAGGAACTGCCGGTACCGAGGCACCCTCAGCCTGGAGAGTTTGCAGAGAGAAGCCTCTTTTGGATTGTACAGTGTCACGGACCGTGAGGGGTCTAGACGGGTTCCGGGTGAGCTGATTCCTTGATCCCAGCGGCGATTCTGAGCACTCGCTGCACCCCTATACCTCGAATCTCGCCTCTCATCGCGCGTGAGTCGCGCCGGACTACGATGTAAACTGTCTGCGGCGAAATGAAAGACGATCGTGCCAGCCCAGATTGCCTCCAGCTGCTGCACGACCAGCGGGTGAGAGATGAACCGTTTCGCTTGAGCCCGGATCGCTAACTCAAGGCACGAGATGCGCGCGACCCCCGCCATCGGTTGGCTCTTCCGCGCTGGAGGTTCGACAGATGGCTGGCCTTGAAGCGGGTAGAACTCGTAGGACAAAGCGTCGATCAGCTCCTCCGTGGAGTACTCTCTCAACAACTTGATGGCGAGCAGCTCGCTCACCATGGCTCGGGTCTGACAAGTGCCACTGTTGCCTGGATTGGACTGCGTTTCGCTGATAAACCGTAGGCAGTTGGCCATCAGCGCATATAGAGTGGCGCGAGAGAAATGTTGACTCCGGATCCGTTGCTGGATTGGCTTCACCAAGAATTGAGAGATCTGGGGCGAGCGCAACTGATCCCAAGTCAGAGTGGTTTCGCAGCGAGAGACGATCAACGGGCGAATAGCGTGGGTGATCTCAAAGACCGGCAGCGTATCTAGATGCGGGGCGGAAAATATGGGAAGCAGTGGTGTCGACTCCAGGGGAGCATCGTCTTCCTCCTCGTCCCGATCTGCGTCTGGGTCCTCATCCTCTATCCCGTCTAGTTCTCCGATCGCGCCATAATTGCGCCGGACATACTCGTTTTCTGCTGCTGCAAAGTCTCGTTGTCGGGCGGGTCGCCGGGACGCGAATGGGGAGCGCTCGGGGTCGACTCGTCGTTTCTTAGGACGAAGGAGACAGGCTAACATGACGAAGGTAGACCATGACCTAATGATCAAGCTTTCTTTTTTCTTTCTCTTCTTCTTTCCTTTTTATTGATATGGTGCTCCAATGGTTCACCACATCGTGGAGGGGCACACTGAATGAGTAGTGGGAGTTCAAGGATCAGACGCGTCGGGTGGGGAGCTAACTAGTCTGTCACGAGTGGTGAGCGAGATTGAAAGAAATAATTCAGATTATCCCCCATGCAAGAGATCAAAGAAAAAGACGGGATGGGTTGGAAATGGCTCAGCTGGCTCATCTGACCGAAGGCGAAATTCGCGATGGGGGAAGCTAAGAAGTATCATTGGCAGGGATTATTGGCGCAGGAATGCGCATGGGCTGGTGGTGTCGGGAGGTGGAGGTGGAGGGGGAGATCGGGACGTTGGAGATGGCTTGCAATCAAGGAATGGCCAGGGCAGGGATCGACTGATGGTACCCCCTGCTTTAGGTATGATCTGCGGGGACTTTTCCCGGCCGCAGCATGGATGAGTTGCAGAAGCAAGAAAGGCAGCCTGTAAGCCAAGCGAGAGTCGAAGCTCCTGCATTGATTGCCATTGATCCTTGCAGGAGATGTCTTGGCAACTGAGAGCTCGAGTGGTTGACGGGAGTTGATCCCAACCATGGTTCGTTCTTGACCAGAGGGTTCATAGACCATCACGATCATACCAGGTGACGGGAAAACCACGAAGCTCCTGGAACCCTGATGGAATAGAAGATTGGAGACTCGTGCGTTGGTGAGAAAACCGTCTACTACGTAGTAGAATACAAAAGGCACAAGAAGACAGCCACACGTGACGCCAGGACCACCATCTCCAGTCCTCCACAGCAGGAATAAGTCAGGTGACCTGTCGGGAATCCACCACTATGTTTTCCTACAGGATGTGTCTATTGTAATACGGGAGAGCTGAGATGGGCTAATTGGCTTTGTTCTGTAGGCGGGACTGAACAAGATATATCGGGAGAAGGATAACATACTTGAACGTTGTCAAGATACTCAGATAGGTGGAGTTATTGACAGTGGAAGCACCCATGGATGTAGATTCCTGTGGACTTTCTGCCTCGATGCCTGACCGGAGAGTGACCGAGCCCAGACGGAGAGAGAAAACCGGCTGCTCACCGCCTACCGGAAACAGACGGATTAGCAGGTGAAAGTGGATCCATGAGAACTTTTACCCCGGGATCCTCTCGTGCTATTTGTTCTTCATTCTTGGGATTTCTTGGATGGAACTGATGCAGTGGGACTGCGTCAATCTTCAGGACCGTCACGTGCATTCTTCTTTTTTTTTTTTTTTTTTGCTTTTGCTCTTTAAGTAATGGAATCCGAATTATGCGGGTTT